GGGCGGGGCGTGACAGTGGAGGAGAGGCAAGCACAAGTGTTAGTGCAAGTGTTGCAAGTTTTAAGAAGAAATGCAAGCGCACCTTAACAGTTTAGGAGCACTTCAACACATTCGAGTAAGTCGACAATAATGGTAACATTAAATACATAGCTCAATGCAAATATTGTGGTGATAAATTACAAGGTAACACTATTCACAGTACAACACACTTGAGAAGTCACTCTGAAAAGTGTTTTCAAAAGCAAGGAGGCGGACCCGATCTCCGTCAAACACAATTATCAGTTGACTGCCAAATCGGCGGTCTAACCAAGAATGGATCGACGAATTTAATAGATTAACTTTTAATTTTGAATACGATCCTTCAGCTTCAAATTAAATTCTATTATTGTAATTTGTAAATATTTATTTACTTTGTACAATGTTATTGTAATCTTGTATAGACTTTATAAGTTCGTCAAATTTGTAATTCGTCCCAGAATGATTGCACTCTTTTTTTCTTACTAAGTTTTTATCCCAATTGGGTTTTTTTTGAAAGGTTTTTAACAATGCAATCATGAATTACAAATTTAAAAATTAATAAATAAATAAATTTTTATATAGTTCGTGTTCATTTCAAATTTCAAATTGCAATCTCCCTTATAATTTTTATCTAATTTTTACAATAAATAACTTAAAAATCATTTATATACATACCATAGGTAATTAATAAACAAAGTTATATAATATATATATATATATAATAGTATAGAAATATATAAAAAAAATATTAAAAAAAAATTTCGGGCACCTATGGCAGGCTCGAGTAGCCAAAACCTGCCTGAAGCCTGTCCATGGTCTTCCTCAGGTCGAGTCGGGCAGCCCGAAAATTCAAGCTCGGTCATCGGGTAAAAATTTAAAATTTTCGGTGGTCATGGACGGCCCGTCCAAAGTTTCAGCACTAATTTCAATGGATGTTATTTGTATTTTAGTGTGTTATGAATTTTGAGTTATTTCTAATATGTAAAAAACTAAATAAAAGTATATAATTTTTGTGTCAATTTCGTGTCACGGGTCATTTTCCTGTCAACTCGTAAAGTGATCGTGTCGTGTTCGTGTTGCGGTTTTTAAAAAATTTCACAAGTCATGTTCGGATTAACTACAAATTTAGAAAGAAACGATCAAAACACGATATGTGACACGAATTATCACCCATACCCACAGGAGACATGTCGCTCACAATACTTATTTTTAGTACTGAATATTGCATAGATTTAAAAAAGAAAATGGTGTTAAAGATATTACTATTATGTTAGCTGAAATTTATTTTTTAAAAGATGATGCAAAAAAAAAACAAATAACAGATATATAACTGCATTAAAAAAATTAGTAAGGTATATGCGTAAGCCGCGGCGGCGGTCTTGAACCATCACTTTTTTCAAATCAAAGTTTATTAAATTTGTATGTTTTTTATTGTGATATTGTAATGAATCTAAGGTTCAGATTCCCTCAAAATAATCTGAGGTTCAGATTTACAGAATTTCAAAATAATTATTGATCTGTTTTTTTTTTTAATATCCTAAAACAAATGCTCTCTCTCTCTCTCTTTTCTTTTTTCTCAAACCCATTTTTCTTTGCAAATCTAGAATAATAAACGACAGTAATACTGTAAGGAGGATGATCATAATAATAACAACAGTAATAAACAATGTTTTTTGGGGAAAAAAATAATAATATCAAATTATCAATATTCAATAATAATTAGAAAGCTCTTTTGCTTAATTTCTTTTCTTTCTCTCTCTTAAAAAAAAACACTCTTTTCAGCACTGACAAGAACAGAGCCCAATTTAGGCCCATCGTCATTTAAGATCTAGTCCAACACACGTGGATCCAACATTGGAAGCCCATAATTTCTGAATCGTGGGTTACAAAGGTATAACCCGGTCCTTATCACAACGACAAGCGAACAGAAGCAAAGAAGCGAAGCAAAAGACAAGCTGGTCAAAGCAGCCAGCCAGGGGCAACCGGAGAAGAAATGGAGAAGGCCAAGCAGTTTCTGGAACTGACCGAAGAGGAATCAGAAATCATCTCGCGACTCGCGATTCCGACCCATCGACCCGGTTCTGGCTCGTGCTTCTACGAGGATTTTGCGCTCAAAGGCATCCGAGTCGACCGAGTCGAAGCCGGACTCGTCGTTTGCACTTTCAAGGTCCCTCCTCGCCTCACCGTACGTCTCTCAGCCTCCACCACTTTTATTACGAAATACTTTTAAGTAGAAAAATCAAAGTATCATCGAAATTTACAAGCTTTATGATTTATCAACGTAAAGTTCTGTTTCTCTGTTTTTTTTTTTTTTTACTTTTTTGGGCCTTATTATGCCGGGACTTTTTTGAAAGAAAAATTAAAAGTGGGGTTGCTTTTGGACTTTTGTGGCAGGATAGGGATGGGAAATTAGCAACAGGAGCAATTGCTAATCTGGTTGATGAAGTTGGTTCTGTATTAGTCCACGTTGAGAGTCCTTCCATGAATGTATCAGTGGACATGTCTATCTCTTTTTTATCCACCGCCGAGGTTGATGTAAGTGTCATCAAACACCCATTTAAATATCTGTCGCACTTTTGTACTTTTTGATGCAAGTATGAAACATAATAAATATGTAGCATTTTGTAAAGGAATTGGTTTATCTTGAGTGGAAAAAATAATAATAAAATAAAGGGATTTTTAGCCAACTTTGAGTCGGCGAATTTTGAATTGAGCTTTGGCACATGATGTGGATCATATAAAAATTGCTCGGTGTACCACAACTAATAAGAGGTAGTGGTCTAGTTGTAGAAGGCGATTTTGGAAGACTTATTTTTTTCTTAATGTGTGGTAACGTTTTTAGCATTATTTAATATTGAAACTGATATTGTAATTGTGTAAGCGTTGCCTAATAAGTTAAAGACAGTCATAACTTTTAAAGGAAAGAAAAAAAAAAGATGAGAGAGAAAGAAGAAATCAACACTAAATTTAGCACTGATATTTGAGGGAATAATTAGTTGTTTACAACTGGCTCATACGATTTTTTTAGGAGAGCTCAGTTATAAATAGAGCTCTTCTGTTTCTCAGCATTCCATTCTCACCCTTCAGAGAGAATGCCCACAGTGTGAGAAAAATTTAATTTCTCCAAGTTTTTTTCTTTTGTGAGGTGTTTCTTCTATTTACATGAGAGATTAGTTCTTATTATTCTCTCTGTGTAATTTAGAGATAAGGTTGTAATTTCTATTTTTCATAGAGAAATTCTTCTACACGTGTCTCGTAGTTTTTATCTTGTCTCTTTTGAGCTATTCCACGTAAAATACGTTGTCCATATTATCTTCATTTTTACTCATTTCTTATTTTAGCGTTAGATTTGCCAACAAGTGGTATCAAAGCAATCTAGGTAAAGTTATTGTTCACGACAGAGCTATTGTTCAATATACGATACTATTCACGTATATTGTACTGTTCACGATGCAAATAAGTATGACGTAAGTAGGTTATGTCTAGGAGGTTGGAACTTAAGTGGTCCACCTGAGACCCTCCACACCTTTCTTAGACACTTGCTTAGTGAGGTGGTTATGTCTAGGAGGTTGTCTGAATCTATCATTTGTTGATAGAACCGGTGTATTCATTTACAATTTTTCTTGAGAATTACCTAGTCAGTACAATTACTGTACGGGTACTGTTCACAGCTATAATGAAACGGTGGGAGTTAAGCAAATCATGAAATGGTTAGAAAATTCGAAATAGAGAAGTTCAAAGGAATCAATTTCACATTGTGGAAAATGAAGATGCATGCAATTTTACAGAAGGATGATTGTATGGTGGCTATCGGAGAAAGACCACAAGAAATCACGGACGATGGCAAGTGAAACGAAATGGATGGTAATGCTATTGTAAATTTGCACTTGGTATTAGCAGACGGTGTCGCAAAGAAGAAAATAGTGAAAGAAAGTTGGGATACTCTGACGAAGTTGGTACGAGTCCAAGTCACTTCACATTAAGATATTCTTAAAGAGAAAACTTTATACTTTTCGGATGGCAGAATCCACACTAGTATTCGAATGGCAGAATCCACACTGGTAACCGACCATATCAACAACTTGCATACTATATTCGCGCAGTAGGGTCAAAAGATAGAGGAAAATGAACATGCAGAGATTCTTCTTCGAAGTCTACCTGATTCGTATGATCAATTCATTATCAACATAGCCAATAGTAATATTGTAGAAAGCCTACGCTTCGAAGATGTTGTAGGCGCAGTCCTCGATGAAGAAAGTCAATGCAAGAACAAGGAAGACATGTTGGTAAGTTCACATCAAGCAGAAGCTTTGACGATGATGAGAGGGAGATCAACGAAACGTGGCCCTAATGGGGAGTCAAAGTCATGATAGATCAAAATTCAGGAGTAAGAAGACGAACATAAGATGTCACAACTGTGGCAAGAATGGGCACTTCAAGAGTGAGTGTAAGGTTAAGAAGAGGGAAGACGAGAATTCTCAAGGGAATGTCGCAAGTACCTTAGATGATGATGGCGTCTTATACAGAGGAATTGTAAGGTTAAGAAGAGTGGAGAGAAGAATTCTCAAGGGAATGTAGCAAGTACCTCAAATGATGGTGACGTCTTATACAACGAGGTAACTACAATTGCAGAAGGCAGATAGAAGCTCACTGATGCATGAATACTGGATTCGGGAGCATTATAGCATATGACCGTTAGGAGAGAATAGTTCCATCAATATGAGCCAATCTCAGAAGGATCAGTATACATGGGAAATGATCATGCCTTGGAGATCACCGGTATCGTCACTATCAAACTGAAGATGTACGATGGTATTGTTCGTACTATACAAAAGGTACGATACGTGAAGGGCCTCAAGAAAAATCTATTGTTTTTAGGACAATTAGATTATGCTGGTTGCAAAACTCGCATTGAGAATGAGATCATGAAAATTGTTAATGATTCCCCTAAAAATTGTTAATGATTCCCATGAAAATTTAATCCAAGTACTAGTTTTGTATCTCATCTCACCCTTCAGAGAGAATTATCATATTGTGAGAGAAATTTAGTTTTTTCAGTTTTTCTTCTTTTGTGAGGTGTTTCTCCTATTTATATGAGAGAGTGGTTCTTATTGTTCTCTCCGTATAATTTAGAGAGAATGTCGTAATCACTATTTTTCATAGTGAAATCCTTCAACACTTGTCCTGTGATTTTTACGTCATCTCTTTTGGAAGTTTTTCACGTAAAATACTTTATGTCTATATTATCTTTATTTTTACTCTTATCTTATTTTACCACTAGATTTGCCAACAGATTGTAATTGGCAGGATGAGCTGGAGATTACATCGAGGCTATTAGGACGAAAAGAGGGATATTCAGGAACTACTGTGCTGATGAAGAACAAAGCAACTGGAGAGATTATAGCCGAAGGTCGACATTCACTGTTTGGGAAACATGTCAGCAAACTCTAATTTCACTGCAATTCAAATGTATCAAATATAGAAATAAAAAGTGGAAGTAGTAATAATAATAATAACTTAATAACCAAGGACTCTTTACTCTAGGTTTCACTTTGTATTTTTTTTTTACTTAGATTTTAATGAATATGAAATATACAATATAGACTCTAGCCTAATCTTTTAACACGTGGTTAAATATAAATTTGATTACAAACTCTGTTATAGACTCTAGTTTAATCTTTTGACATGTGACATCTTTATTTTATGAACCAAACTAAGTTAATAATAAGTCATTCTTTTTACACTTATTTCCAAGGATGTCATTACTCTTTTTTCCCACTTAAACTAGTCATTCTTATTTACAAGGTGCAAAAAGCTTGCTCTTTTGCTCTGTTCACGTGTGTTTGTCGGCGCGCGTGTGATTCATTCGCTCATCTGGGTCGTTTGTCCTTTTTTATCCGATGGCCAAAAAAATTGGTTTTATTTATTAATTATTGTATTTACTTATTAATGTTTTGCTTATTTGTAGTCCGATTTTATTTGTTTTGCACTAAATTTTCAATGCAAATTAGGTAAAAGTTTTATAAATAATTCGAGTAAAAAATTTGAACAAGGATGCACTAAAATAAAATAAAATAAAATTACACAGTTAAATAAAAAAAACAAATTAAACAAAACAAATAAAACTAATTTAAGACATAACGAAATAACTTAAAAACTGTTTTTCTATCTTTTCTGCGGATCTTTTTCCCGTTTTTGTTTCTATTTCTTTTGTGCCGTTTTTTAATTGTTTTTCCTTTCTCAGTGTTACTTAAATAAAAATCTTTATATAATTTTAATAAAAAATAAAATTAAACAAAAATATATTAAAATAAAATAAAATAACAACCAAATTAAACAAAATAAAATAAAGTTAATTTAAAATACAACAAAAAAAACTAAATTTTTTCTCTTTCTTAATTTTCTCTATCTTTTGTTTTGAATCTTTTCTCCTTTTTATCTTCGTTTCTTTTATACATATCTCGTTTTTTCTTCTTCATCTTTTTAAAAAAAAAAATCCATTCCTATAACCATCGTTTTAAATGAATCACGGGCGCACTACAAATTAGTAATAATAATAAAGGGTAGTCCTTAAAAAAAAGACCCATAAGAATATCAAGAATAATTTCTTAGGAAAACAATAATATTTGAAAATTATCAATGATGATAAGAAAGCTCTTTTTCTATTTAAAAAAAAAACACGAACACACCATAAAAAAGCTAAAAATACCATTAAATATGTTTAAAAAAATATAATTTATATCACTCTATTTAAAAATTATCAATTGTCATTCAATTAATTAAGAGATAACAAAATGCCATAATAACACTTAATTATTTAGAATAACCTAAATAATAGACCTAAACAAAACCATGACAGACCGTGTATTTTTTTCCATGAGAAAATTAGACAAATACCCATCAAAATGCAGAGGTTTTAGAGTTTTATCATTTACACTTAATTAATGCTTTTTAGTCAAAGAACTATATTAGGAGAAACGGTATTAATCAATAGTAAATGGTAAAAATCTTAGAACAATACATTTAGAGGGTGAGTTCACCAATTCTCTCTTTCTCCACATGCTTTAGCACTAACAAACACAACCTAAAATAGGCCAATTTTCATTCAACATTTAGGTTCCATTTGGTGTATGGGTTCAAATTGTAGTTGAAATCAAGGTTCTTGATTATGACTTTTGAAATTGAATTTTTTTTTGTAAGAGAAAAACACTACAGTAGAACCCAAACTATGGGTTTGCACTATAGCAGAACCCATATACCAAATATCACCTTAGTCCAGGGTTAATTAGGCGAACACTGTTTTCATCAATTTTCAATACTAAATAATATTTACACAAAAGGTCTTATTACACTGACACCTCGTGTTTTATCAAAGTAACAAAGATACCCCTTGATCAAAACTAATGACATCAACCCCCTCTTTCGGCGCCACTTTCGTGTAAGTCGACGTCGCGCCCCTCCCCCATCACCTCAAGATCCAACGTGCAAGTTGAGGTCACCCCCTCCCCTCCGCCCGTGGCATGGTAGTTGATGTTGCACTCCTCCCGCATTGCCTCTAGTCTGACGTGCAAGTTGACATCTCTCCCCTCCCATGCCGCCTCAAGATCTGCAGCTTTGACCCCTACGCACTCTCGTCGTCAGAACTCGGCCCCTGTGTGCTCACCCCCGTCGGACTTCGCTCCCTCACGCGTCATTAGTCGATCCCCTCACCTCCCGGCGCGATGAGCACCGTCTGAATTCTCCTTCACTGTATGTTGTGGTCGATGGTGAGGCCATGGCAATTTTGAGCAACAAAGTTTTTTTTTCTTCAACAATAGAAAAGTTATTTTTATTTTTTCGCTTAATTTTTGAGAAAATTAGTTTGATTTGTGTGGTTTGTGTATTAACATTAACTATTAGTTAGATTGGTTTTTGGTGAAATTAGGTTTGGTTTTGAAAATTAATTTGTCTACTATTGGAAGGTGATATTTGTAAAATGCATTTATAATTTATGTAATTAGCTTGACATTTAGTTTATGAAATTAATTTGATTGATATTTGCTGTAATCAATCTTTTTAATGAATGAAATAAGTTTAATTTTGTGATTACTATTAAGAAGGGGTTTTGAGAATCATTTGTTAGCTCAAGATGTTGTAAGAATCATTGGTATTTCTAAATTGAAATTTATGGTCATAATAAGTTAGAAAAAATCATGATTACAAAAAATTTAATAAAAATCATTGTTAGTTAAAAAAAAAAAACTGTCAGAAGGCTTATTACCATTAAAATAGGTTGTAAAAGAATGTTAATTTACAAACAAACAAAAAAACCTATGCTCAAAAGGTATATTTTTGGTGTCAAATACGGGGAAAAACGTTATTTTTAGCATTATATATAATTTAGAAATATTTTCTGATATAAGGACATTTTTGGTATTTTAAATAAATTTAACGGTTAATTAACGATCAACTAACATAAGGGGTATCTGTGTGATTTCATTAAAAAGTCATGGGTGTTGATGTAATTAAATTCGGGCAGAAAAATGTCTTTATTATTTTAGTAAAATACAATAGGTGCCGGTGTAAATTACCCTACACAAAATTGTGGTTAATAAGGGTAGAAATGTCATGTTAGAGTTTATATGTAATTATCACCCAAGTATCAGAGATTATTGAGGATTCATTTGGATTGGTTTAAGAAAAAAGTTATTTTTAGCTTATTTAGTTTAAAAGCCGTTTTTAAATATGTTTAGATCGACAATTTTAGAGTGTTTTTTATTTTTTAAATACTTTTTGAACGAGTCATCTCCTTGACGTTTATAAAAAGTTTTTTTATTTATATTTTTAACTTTTTATTTGTGAATAATAAATTAAATATCTCATATATATTTTTTTATTATATTTCTTTTTATAACAATAAGTGTTTTTGACTTTTTTATCCAAACATATTCAAAAATTATTCTTAGATTTAAAAGCTTTTTTTCGAGCACTATCTAAACAGTAATTGGGCCCTTAATATCAAAATATGTAATGAATTTTCAACGTTTAAAATACCAAAACTAACCTCATAAGTTTCAGTCCTATTGGGGGCTATTTTTGTAATTTTGACTATTGAAAGTAAAAAGGATTTATTTCAGTGAGGAAGAAAATAAACGGTGCTTTCAGATTCAACAGGAAAAAAAGTGGTGTAGGAGCCTAATTCTCTCTGTAATCCAATATACATAATAGATCCTAAATTTTAAGCCCAGATCTCCGGAATCATGAGTTCCTTTTCGCAACTCGCTTGAGCATACAGAAACACATAAGGAAAGCAAAGACAAAGCTGGTCAATCAAAAGACTCAGGAAGGCAATCGGAGAAAATGGATAAGGCCAAGAAATTTCTGGAACTGACCGAAGAGGAATCAGAAACCGTTCCGAGCGGCCCATTCGTTCCAGGTTCGTGCTTCTACCTGGATTTTTCCTTCAAAGGCATCCGAGTCGACCGAGTCGAACCAGGACTCGTCGTTTGCATTTTCAAGGTCCCTCCTCGCCTCACTGTGAGTCCTCTTATCCTCCACCATTTTGATTACATAAATACATTTGTTTGAATATCAAATTATCATCGAAATTCGCAAGCTTTATGATTTATCAACGTAAAGTTTGTTTGTTTGTTTGTTTTTGTTTTTTTTTTGTTTTTTGACCTTGGTTGATTTTGGACTTCTTGTGGCAGGATAGGGATGGGAAATTAGCAAAAGGAGCAATTGCTAATATGGTTGATGAGGTGGGTGCTCTATTAATCCACGATGAGAGTCTCCCTATGAGTGTATCAGTGGACATGTCTATCTCATATTTATCCACCGCCCAGGTTGATGTAAGTGTCATCAAACTCTCAATTAATTATCTCTTACGCTTTTGTTGTTTTTGATCAATTTGTAGCATTTTGTAGTGTTGCCATCATTTGTGCTTTTACCAAGCCTCTGGATAAATTTTGATCTGTGCAAAAATGGCCGTCTTTTTGAGCTATTCTTAGTAAATGGCCGGAGTTTAGCGAATTTTGAGTGGTGCTTGGCGCATGACATGGATCATATTTCTGGACACTAGATGGAATTTCTAAGAAAAATGCTTGGGGCACAAAACTCTGATTTCACTGCATCACTATAGGCCTAACTCAATTTCGTGTGGTGTTGAACACAATTGGTGCCTTTTTAGGATTGTTCGACCTGACAATATTGGAGACTGATATTGAGAATTGGAATTGGCAGGATGAGCTGGAGATTACATCGAGGCTATTAGGACAAAAAGGAGGATATTCTGGAACTGCAGTGTTGATTAAGAACAAAGCAACTGGAGAGATTATAGCTGAAGGTCGACATTCACTGTTTCTAAAATATAACAGCAAACTCTGATTTCACTGCATTAGTGTATCAAATATAGAAAAAAAAAAAATTTGTTGTTAATCCAGAACTTTTTATGTATTTTGACTCTAGGTTCCACCTTGTATTTGTTACTTGATTTCGACAAATATTCATCGTATTTAAGCTTTTCAATTTATGTGTCATTACTGTCTGAGAATTGTCTAAAATCTTGAAGAGCTTCAAGCTAAGTATCACAAAAGTAATTCCCTTTTCTAGCAATGCTTGCACGAGAAACTTTTTAGGGCCACAGAACAGATGTTGTAAGCTGGGTTTGAAGGATATTAGCTAAATCTCGACCTGATTTCTATTTTTTTCTGTTTGACAGAGAAAAATAAATCAATTGACTATTTGTTTTAGGTGAGACTTGAGAGGTATTCCCCGTAATATGCTCTGCTTTTTGTGGAAATGAAAACAAACAAAAATACATAATGCAATAATTTAGGTGTTGGGATTACCTTTAGCCTACCTCAGAGAAGGCCAAAAGAACAGTGAGAAAACAAATATTTTTTAGGTTTTATGCCTTTAGCTTTTTGTTTTTAAACTGGGAGAATCAAACTCGCTCGGAATAAATCACAACAAAGTTGCAAACTTTATTTGTGTTTCTAGTCTGCTTTTTATTTGTGTTTAATTGTTGTTAATTGAGAAAAACGAATGTCTTTAAACGGCGGCGTCGTGTTGTACTCCACGACAAGATTTTTCATATAAATACGAGAGTTGATATTAATTAAAAATAAAGATTTAATTTATTTCACCAATTTAAATTTAAAATTTAAAATTTATTATATTAAAAAATTTTAAAAAATTATCACATTTAATTTTTTTATTATAATAAAAAATTATAACGTAAAATTATTTTTTAATTTTAATTAAAAATTGAAATAAGTGACGGATTTTAAATCCTAATTGTGGCATAAAACTGGATGTGGACCCCTCCATTTTTCAAATGAACAACCAATGCTGAGTTACCATTTTTAACCCTCAAAGTTCGAGAAAACTACACCCCCACCCGACACATTTGACAAGAGAGAGGAAGGGCATTTTCGGTAAACCGCACAGTAATATTCCGGCGCGACTAATCGACCTCATCATCACTCTGTGTCTGACTCTTTCTCCGCCACTGTGTGTTCTTCTTCTCTCTCAGTCATGGCCTCTTCTGCAATCTCTCTCCCCCACCGACCGTTCCAAACCCGCAAATTCCCCAGCCCCCTACCGGCACCGTCGCCGGCGGGACCTCACCCTCAAGCCTCCCCGCGTTTCGCCGCTTCTCTGAAGCAGAACCGTTTCGCTGGCGTTTCGCTCTCGAGTTCGAGTTCGAGGTCTCCGCCGGGAATTCGACTTCTCCGTGGCTCCGGCGAGCTCCGAGCGCCTCCGACCAGGGTATCCTCGAACGGCGCTCGTTTCGGCTCGTTGCCGGAGGAGAGCGACTCCCAAGCGCCGAGCTTCGTGGAGTTCATAACTTCGGAGAGGGTCAAGGTGGCGGCGATGCTAGCCTTGGCTCTCGCGCTCTGCAACGCTGACCGCGTCGTCATGTCGGTGGCGATCGTTCCGTTGTCGCTCTCCCACGGTTGGAGCAAATCGTTCGCTGGTATCGTTCAGGTTGGTTGGCTTGGCTAATCTGTCTCGTTTGAATTTCGCTATATATTTCTGAGATTATTCTGTTTGTAATTTTGTATAAATGAGTAATATTGATTTGAAGTTTGAACTTATTTGAGCAAAATGTGTAATTTGATCAAGTTGCTGTTTTAAGGTCTAAAGGTCTAATCTTTCAGCCGCGGATTTTCTGCAAGTCAAAATGACATTTTTGATTAATGTGTTTTTGGGGGGACAAAAATTAGATAAGATAAAAACTTGGTAGCAACTAGCAAATGATTCTTTTGTGGAGTGAACTTATTTGAGCAAAAATGAGTAATTTGATCAAGTCGCTGTTTAAAGGTCTGAAGGTCCAATCTTTCAGCCGTGCATTTTCTGTAAGTCAAAATGATATTTTGATTAATATATTTTTGGGGCAAAAATTAAATAAAATAAAAACTTAGTAGCAACTAGCAAATGATTTTGTGGAGTGAACATACTCAAACTCATTAATTTAAGGAACTCATGACAGTCATCTTTCCTTTGGGGCTACATGGTATCTCCGATAGCTGGAGGAACTCTTGTGGACTATTATGGTGGGAAGGTAGTCATGGCTTGGGGAGTGGCCTTGTGGTCTTTAGCTACTTTCCTCACACCTTGGGCTGCTGAAACTTCCGTGTGGGCTCTCCTAGCTATGAGAGCTCTTCTTGGCATTGCGGAAGGAGTGGCTCTTCCTTGCATGAACAACATGGTAGCAAGGTACCCGATGATCCACAAACTTATTGATTTATAATAGCTCACACAAATGAATAAAATACTTGAATGAGACAGAAGAATCTGAAGTTTTTTGAAGCTGAATCTTTGAACTTTTCTTTTAGGTGGTTCCCTCCAACAGAAAGAGCAAGGGCTGTTGGGATTGCAATGGCTGGATTTCAGCTTGGAAGTGCAATTGGCCTCACGCTTTCTCCAATCCTCATGTCGCAGAGTGGTATATTTGGACCCTTTGTCATTTTCGGTTTATCTGGGTTTCTTTGGGTGTTGGTATGGGTGTCTGCAACATCAAGTACGCCTGACCGAAACAATCAGATATCAAAGTACGAATTGGATTACATATCAAATAATGGGCAGAAATCATTTGTGGGTGACAATAAACCCAAAACTGCCAAAGTCATACCTCCGTTTAGGCGCTTGCTTTCTAAACTGCCAACATGGTCCCTGATTGTAGCAAATGCCATGCATAGCTGGGTAACGCATATACATCCAGAACTAGCTTTTTTCTAAGCAACATGATTTTTAACATGCTCACTATTTCTGAAAGGATGATAATTGTTTATCAAACTTGGCAAAATGCTGACGTAGTTTGTGTTTGCATTAGTGGACATATTATACCTTTATTTCAAGTTATATGTGGAACTTACTATTCTTCTAAAACATTGCAGGGTTTCTTCATTATTCTTTCCTGGATGCCCGTTTACTTTAACTTCGTGAGCCTAATTCTTTCTTTGTAATTGGTGGCATTTATTTGTAGCATTAACCTATATCTTGAAATTCAAATGAATTGCGTCGTATTTTAGGTGTATCATGTTGACCTCAGACATGCAGCTTGGTTTAGTGCTGTTCCATGGAGTGTGATGGCAATCATGGGATATCTTGGTGGTTTGTGTTCAGACATGTTAATACGAAGTGGTACAACTATCACTTTAACTCGCAAAATCATGCAGGTATGAAGTACTAGCATATACTTTCATGTCTAGAGCAAGGATCATTGTTTATTCATGAGATACTTTTTTCTTTGCTTTTTAAGAAAACAATAATTGGCTTTTAGTTTTTACCTTTATACACATTATTTGCTTTAATAAGAAATAAATAAACAAGAAACATAAAGATATCCACTTGTAGTATAAATTCACCATATTAATGAAAGGGAAATAGCTTTTGAATAAAGTCCATTTAGGAACGTTGCTTTATATGCTCATCTCATGATTTAGAATCTTAGTTGTGATGCTAAAAGAGAACGTTTATATACCTATTTTGACCATAGAAAACTAAGTTTTCTGCTTTTGCTTTAGGGAAAAAAACTTGGGGATTAAGGAACTGCACTTATCTTTCTTATTCATTAATAGATTAAACATTCCTCCTTTTTATTCTTCTTTTATGATGTGCAAGATATGACAGGAAATGACATGCAATTTGACAAAATTAGTTGTCAATGCTGTATTCCCTTTTTTCCCCTCCTCCTGTGGCATTATTTTTGAAGTGTTACATCTTTACAGTATGATAATTGTATCAACACCATAGAAATATATATGGTAAAAATCAATCTGTGCCTTCTCTACAGTCGGTTGGTTTTATTGGACCTGCCATCGCTCTTGTTGGTTTAACTACAGCGAGAAGTCCGTTGATTGCATCTGCTTGGCTTACGATAGCTGTTGGGTTGAAATCCTTCAGTCATTCTGGCTTTCTTGTGAATCTCCAGGTTCAACTGAATAATCTTAAATTGAATTGTTAGTCAGAATTGACTTTCTCTCTCTTAACTTTGTGCTATTTCTTTCTTTTTTCCAGGAGATCGCTCCACAATACACTGGTGTTCTGCATGGTAGTATAATATAAATTGTTTGTTTACGTATCTTTGAGATGCTGTAATTTAATCACTTTACTGTATAACCTGGCGATAGCAGTGGAACAACATAGACTTCTATTTATTGTTTCGATTTAGCAAGTACTATAGGATAACAATTTGCGAAGAAGAAGAATGTGAAAACTTTTAACCATGTACTGAGAACCTTTTTCTTTTTTTAGGACTGTCAAATACTGCTGGATCATTTGCCGCAATCCTGGGAACAGTTGGAGCTGGTTTCTTTGTTGAATTAGTGGGCTCTTTCCAAGGATTTTTGTTGCTCACGTCACTCTTGTATTTTCTTGCCGCCCTTTTCTATGTCCGCTTTTCTACCGGGGAGAGGGTAAACTTTGATGAACCTGGTAAATAGCGCATCTTGTTCTGCATATCCTTTGATCTTTGCTTACCTTTTCTGTGGAGTATGAACTTGCCACTCGCTGTTGCTGAATATTGTTGAGAAGCGATAGACGGTATTGTCATCCTGTGGCATTGTCTTGTAAACGTCAAATTCTTAGCTTTAGTTCCATGAAACCTTGGCACGTTATGATTTCAGAGTCTGCATGCTTACTTTCTTCACTTTTCTTATTTAACCGCTTGTGTCTATTAAGTTGTATCCGCGCTGTTATATCCCTGACTGATGTATACAAATTATTTTCTTGACAGTGTCATAAAAGAGAGCACAAGACTACTGGCACGTACCATCCAACTGTAACCATGCATGTGTAATAATATTAGCGGACGAACAATACGCAACATCGGAAGAAGAAATTCCGTCCATAGTATGGACCCATGCCCCAAATCCTCTGTATGTGCTCTAATGTACAGTGAACTTTCAACTGCCCCTCACGCCGCATGCATCATTAATTTGCATTAGGTGTAGTTGGGGATTTTGACTACCAAATCTTGTAAGATTCTTGTTAATAAGTTACAAAGAGGTGTACATTGGATTCCTTGTTCAAATCTTTTTGTTTGCTTGGATCGTTTCCATATGCTTATGTAGTTTTAGAACTATACGAATGCTAGATATGAGCAAATTTTGGCCTGTCGCTAGAAGAATTAGCTTTAACTTTTGTAATATGCAATTTGTCTTCTGCTAAACAGGAGAGTCAAAAAACCAATGGAGTCCATTTGCCTTTTTGGTGCTAGAAGTGTACGAGGGCTCCATGCGGAGGCCAAAAGAAGGCCCCCATTCCCTCCATGCAATCAATAGATTCTAAAAACATCTCTCCAATATTAGAAGGGGGCGAGAAGATAAAAGAAGACTCTTTAAGTCAAATTTCAATAGTGAAAATGATAGCGTTGCAAGAGTTTTCGGCAATGTTATAGGGTGCCTCAACTTTATTGCAAATGGACTAACTCTGTAGGTTTTATTACTTAACAATGATGCAAATTAGTTAGTCAGTTTTATGTGTTGTCCTTGCACAGTTTACTCGTTCTTTCCTTCTGATAAACTTTTTTTTCTTTTTAAAAAAAAAAAAAAAAAAAAGAATCTGAACTGTTTTGAACCGTCAGTATATTTATACGCCAGTATTTGTATACTTTATGTGATTTTAACAACATCAATATTCAGGAACAGAATACTTAACGTAGAAAGCTCCTTTGCTCAGTCTACTCTGTTTCACGGCTTGAATATTTTCTCTTGCAGTCAAAACAGTCAATGTCCTAATTTCAACATCCTTCGTCACCATGACCAGGGCCATGAATTCCGGGCTCAATTTTTTTGGGCTTGGGCTGCTCAATACGAACGCCCCAGTTGAAAACGGATTATGTATATAATGATACAAATCTATTCATTCCCCACGGATTCGAGTTTAATTATAATAAAATAATTATAAAAAATAATCACACTTAAAGTTTTTATTACAATAAAAAATTTTAACATAAAATCACATTTTAACTTGAATTAAAAACTCAAATTAAAAATTTGAATTAAAAACTTAAACGGACCATACTTAAGAATATGCATCTTTCCATTGACGTATAAAACTTTTTATAATACCGTTGCCTTGCCACCAAGTACCAATTGAATTGAATGCGAATGAAAAGCTAGCACGCCTTGCTCATTTGAACTTGGAAGTTGGAACTGGTCCTACATTCATTAACTACGAATAAACAAGCTAACACATCAAAGCTGACCACTTTTCTTTGAATTTTCATCAAAAAGATAAATGATCAAATGACTCAATAGAGGCCAACCATAACCACCTGCAAATGAAGAGAACTCCCAGTTCTTCCCATAGCCTTCAATCAAGCCTCAGAAAACAAGAATCCAGCAATGACGCCCCAAACAACTCCCACCAAAATTCTAGCTCTGCTCTCAAGTATATCAGAGCTGCAGCCAAAAAAGTTGCAGGAATTCTCACACTGACCTTTCTCTTCAAACCCAGAAAGGCCACCAAAAAAGCCATAAAGAATGGCCAAATTAGAGGGGTTTCTTGTAAGTTACTCTTGATCTCTGATTTCATTTTTGATCTCAATTCTAAAGGGTCATCGGTGTCAAACTTTTGTTTCATTAAAAAGTTCTTGATTTTGTTTTCCTTCTTGTTGTGCAGCTTCAATTGATCTTTCCACAGGAAGCTATCAAAGAAGTTTCTCAAAATTCGATTCATTTGGTTCTTCCGGTACTGCTGCGAGTGGACTCGCTAGGACACCGAATTTCTCCTATGAAGAGATTTTCAAAGCAACCCAGAAATTCTCTCCGGCAAATATAGTAGGTACGGGTGGCTTTGGAGAAGTGTACAAGGGAAGGCTCGAAAACGGAACTTTCGTAGCTGTAAAGCGTGCAAAAAAGGTATATCTTATTTTATGATATCACAAAAGAATTAGCTATTTGTCACTTTATTTACATACCTTATACATCATAAGCATGTAACAAAGTTGAACTTAGTGCATATTGTTCATCTCTTAGATTTATAAAGGTAGGAATTTATATTTATACTTGTGATCTTTTTAGATTTATTTTTATTTGCATATTGGTAACTTAAGGTCTATGGCAGAATACATATGACAGGGTTGTGTCCTCAGAGTTCAAGAATGAAATTATAACCTTGTCAATGATTGAGCATCTAAATTTGGTAAGATTATACGGGTATCTGGAGCATGGAGACGAGCGAATCATTCTGGTTGAGTATGTTGGAAACGGGACACTTCGGGAACATCTCGATGGTAAGTAAAGTAACAATTTGTTAGAATTTTAAGGGTGAAATTAGTGCAGAATTTGGAAATCTGAAATAAACATACTTAAGTATTCTGTGAACATAAACGAATAGGTTTCTGAATAGGTTTCACATGTACATCTTGGCGGTTTTATTTGATATTTCCATACATAAATTTGTTGAGTTCTTGCAAAAACTAGAATCCATTAATTTCCCATTGAAAGAAATTATATTTTAAAGCTTTTTGGTTTTGGGGCTTTAAAATGGATTAGAAGAAGATGAGAGACAATTACTGAAATGCATGTTCTTTTTCCTCCTGCTCTCACAATAATTTGTCTCTGTAAAGATTATTATAAGAAAATTGTTCTATAATTTGTAACATTTTCAAAAAACATTGTGATAAGAGCAGACTTTTGTTTTTAAGGTACACGCGGAAATGGACTTGAATTTGCAGAGCGTCTAGATATTGCAATTGATGTAGCTCATGCAGTTACCTACCTCCACACGTATTCAGGTATCCATAGATCAGCTCTAACCTAAATTTGCATAGCTTGTTGCTCGAATAGGAACTTCTTCCCTTGTTTAGTGGCAAAGATAAACAACATATAGATAGTACAAATTTTGAACTTCTTCTTCTTCGTCTTCTGTTGCTGAAGCAAATGAAGGGAGATTTTTAAGTGTACATGTGCGTACTTTACAGTTTATTGGAGATCAAAAAAATGTCCTTTTGACACAGTTCTAGAAACATTCATTTGAATACGAACTTTTCTGAAAAATTTGGCAGATCCTCCAATAATCCACAGAGACATAAAATCATCAAACATCCTCATCACGGAGAAGCTACGAGCGAAAGTGGCTGATTTTGGTTTTGCACGGCGAGCGGCAGATCAAGAAGTTGATGCCACTCACATTTCAACCCAAGTTAAAGGAACAGCAGGCTATTTGGATCCTGAGTACCTTAGGACATATCAGCTGACTGATAAGAGCGACGTTTACTCCTTTGGCGTGTTGCTTGTGGAACTGATGACAGGAAGACACCCCATTGAGACTAAGAAGCCTAATAGCGAGAGACTGACAATAAGATGGGTAAGTATATCTGCTAAGCAACTTTGGCAGAAGTTAGCTTTGCTTCATTGTGAGGAAACTTTATATGGTAGTGCATGTTTCTGAACGTTTAGATTCAGTCAAAATCACATAAAAAAATGAAACAAGTACGCAAAACTGACAAAACCTGATATCGATCTGACGGTTCAAAACACAACTCTACCAATGGGGTATTTCTTCATACCTTATGTAAAAATCTCATATAGTGAGATGCACCTCATCTACACATTATCTGGTTGCCAGGAAATATTGAGGCCAATGCCAAAACATCTGTTTATTTTTAGCAACTAGTGGATTAAATAGCCAACCTTAAGTATAGTAAGTTTGTTCAAGGAAGAAACCCAATTACAAGCATCAAGTGTTAAAAAGGGAGGCAATTTTAATTTGTTGTTCTAATAAAAGATGAGGTCTAGAAATCAAAATTTTCACGGTTTCAACTACTCTTACGCAATGCCTAGGTATTTTCAAGTGACTGGTGATTTTCTGTCAATCTGTCTAATAGTGTTGTTTTCCCCCTTGATGTTACCCGTAAGTTAATAGCATTACTCATGGATTATTTATCTCTCAAAAGAGAGAAGAATTGATGTAATTACCTACACATTTGACTTGCTATGCTACATGGAGCATGAAATAATTTCATATCATCCTTCACATGGATGTGCACTCCATGTTGCCTGAGCATATAATTGCAGTCTCTCAATTCCAGCTCTAATAACACTCCCTTTGTTCCTAGTGTTCCTTTGAGACATTCATCACATGAGACCAGAGTAATTCGTTTCCATAACTAGTTGCATTTTCCCCTTCACATGGTGTGTTCCCATGAATGGACTATGAATCAGTAATAGAGGCGATTTTCGCCGAACATCAGCCTGCTAATGTTAGATGAGATATTAGATTGCTCCGAAATGAAAGGTAACATGCACATAAGGTGGAATTCTGTTTGCCAAAATGGTAAAACAAGATCAAATGGCATTGAAAGGAATCAGTCCAGAATCCCTTGAGGTAGTGTCTGAAAGTGGAACAACGAGTACACGAGTATTTGGCCTTTCTATCAAGAAACCAGTGTTTGTTCTAATGTTTTCACCACCGACCTTTTAAGCCAAAAGATGATTACTGATCGAATTTGGACTTTCTAAGGACTTGAGCTTCCATCTTGAAAAGTCAACCTAGAGTAACCAATGTCCTTATAACTCGGTATTTATTTTTGTGTTTAAACGATGTCGGACGCGGGATTGTTTTTACCCTGTACAATTACAGCCTTCACTCCCACTGTTTATACAATATCAAACAGTAAAACTTACAGCGTTATTCTAGTAATGCGGGAATTGTTAAAATTTCAAGGAAATACTCGTAAAGTTCTTATTCTTTTCCATTCAAACTAACACAGATGCAAAGAACTTAACAAGCTAGTGTGAAACTTTTTGTATTCATTTATGCAGGCAATGCAGAAGCTGAAACAAGGAGATTCTGTACTTGTCATGGACCCAATACTGAGAAGAACCCCAGCATCAACCATGGCATTGGAGAAAATCCTCAAACTAGCTCACCAATGCCTTGCATCTCTAAGACATTCAAGACCTTCCATGAAAAAATGCGGTGAGGTATTATGGGGAATTCGAAAGGAGTTTAGAGAAAAAGCTTTCCCTCCTCATCCTACGTTTACTTCTCATCATTCAGCCAATTATCCTCAGACGGATTCAAGACAGACTAGACATATTACATTTGGGATTGAAGATGAAGATAGTCGCAAGTTCATCTCTGCATAATTGAGTGTTTTCTTTTCTTTTCCTTTTTTTTTTTTTTTTTTTTTTGGGGGGGGGGTGCCAATTTGTTTATACATACCGTTTCTTATTTATTATTCATACATCATTCTCATATTATAAAAATTCTTTGAACCGTATTAGTCTCAATATTAAAAAATTGAAAAGGTTGTTATTTCATTGAGTGGGGTGCCAATTTGTTTATACATACCGTTTCTTATTTATTATTCATACATCATTCTCATATTATAAAAATTCTTTGAACCGTATTAGTCTCAATATTAAAAAATTGAAAAGGTTGTTATTTCATTTATTTTTGATTTCTTCATAACTGAGTAAATTAGTTCGGAGAATTATTGGTAAACATAGTTATGAATTCTTCGTGTTACATCATAATAATTATGTTTAGATTAAGAAAAATATTGAATTTAATGAAACTGTTTCGAAAGATACAAAACCGGTGATTGATATAGAGACACCCTATTCCAACTAGTTGGTAGAATCCACCACTAGGTAGTCTTAAAACTGTGAGACTGGTGTAGTGAGGACGTTCAGAAAACAAAATCCCAGCTGGGGCAAAACACGCAAGTCACACAGTTTGGAGTTTTACTCTCATCATGTAGCGGAACAAAAATATTCAATTAGAATATCGGAAATAGGATTTCTATAAACATGTATCATTCATTGATTCTATAGAATTTCTATAAACTTGTATCATTCATTGATTCTATAGAATATGGAGGTAATTAGAATGTTGAGAGAACTCTCAAACAACATTATTAATCATCTAAACTTAATGACAAAATAATAATAAAGGTTTTAAATAGCAAAACTTATAATCCTATCTCTAATTTGAATTCAAAATCCAAATCCTAAAGATTATGAATTCTATACCTATCTGAATTCAAAATCCAAATCTTAAAAGTCATCACAAAAACAAAATAAAAATAATCCAAAAATAACTAAAACACCCTAAAGCAAGACCCAATTTAAAGTACAAATAATTAACCATAAACTTCATAAGCTATATGAGTGCAGCATGAGGACAGGTTTTGGCTCAAAGAGAGCCCTGCTCGATTATCCCCTTTCTGATGGCTGATTATCTCTACTTAAACTTTTCAATTTGCAAAAAAAAAAATCTGTATCGTGTTATCATGGTATTTTTTTTTTTTTTTCATTTCTAACCATAAAATTCTCTAATTTTTTATCCAATTCAAAAAATCGGAGAAGAATTACAGAGGGAAAAATACTAAAGGTGCGTTTAGAATTCGTTTTAAAATAATTTTATTTTTTATATGAAAATAGAAATGAAAATGTTTTTCATCTTAGACAGAAATTTTTTTTAAAAATGTGTTTGGTAATTTTATCAAGAGATTATTTTTAGTATAAAAAAATCTATTAATATCTCTCTTTCTTTCTGCTCGAGAGATGAGAAAACAGAAATAAAAAATAAAAAATAATTTTTCATTTATCTCATTTTACACTAAACTAAAAAATCATTTTCATCTTTATTTTTGATCTTTAATTGTGTCAAACGTCATTTTTCTCTCATTTTTATTTTTTTCTAAAAAAACATAAAAAATAAAAATAAAAACAACTCCAAACACATATTAAGGGCCCGTTTAGTTCGCTGATTCGAGTTTTTAATTCGAGTTGAGATGTGACTTTATGTGAGAGCTTTTTACTGTAGTAAAAAAGTTAAATGTAACTATTTCTAAGAACTTTTTACAGTAACAAAACTCAAATCGGTAAAATGAACTATTCTAATAATTTTTAAGCTAAACAGAAATGACGATCCAAAGCCATGTGAAATCTTGCGTGAAATCTTGTGATCAGTACTGCGTCCGTGAAATCTTGTGATCAGTACAGCATTTGGATGCATTGGCATTGCTTTCCTTACTCCAAAAGCAAACGACAGCGTTTCGGCCCAAACATCGTCAAATTTTAACGATCAATATCTATCGTGAAAGCAAAGTCAAAACCCACTTTTTAATTAAATGCGAACACGTGTGCTTAGCCCCTTCAATATCTGATCCCGAAATGGCCCAGACTTGCCATGTAAGCCGCTCATTTAACTCCACTCTCTCTTCTCCATTTCCATGTGAACCTTCACGTTCACTTCAATCACTTTCCCGAGAAAATAGAAAAGAAAATTTAAAAAGAAAAAAAGCTCACTCCAACTTCTTCTCCTTCTTCTTTTCTCCGATATTTTTCTTTTTTCACAGAAGCTTCCAAAGATCTCAATCTCTCTGGCACTTTGTCCGCTTTCCCAAGAAAATCAGTGTACGTAGCATATTCTTTCTCTCTCTAAAAATATCTCCTCTTCCACTTTCTTTATTTATTAGACTCTTCTCTTCTTCGCTAGTGCTGTATCCAAGTACCACTTCTTTATTCTCTTTAACGGTTCGGTACTGAAATTTCACGAAAAAGTAAATTCATTTTGTTTAATTTTGCAGTATCTACAACTGTATGACGCTGAATTTCTTCATTTTGATAAAGTTCTCTCCCTCTCTCTTTCTTTTTTTTTTTTTGGGTGCAGATTTCTGAAAATTGGTACTAGGCCATGGCGGCGGCGGTGAAATCGAATGGCGGTACTGGTTCTAGAACCTCCTCGAAGGTTCCAGCAGCTGCGAAACCGCTGGCCGAAGAGCCGGCGGAGATTGCGTCGAACATCAGTTACCACGCGCAGTACAGCCCTCACTTCTCGCCGTTCAAGTTCGAGCCCGAGCAAGCCTTCTACGCCACCGCCGAGAGCGTCCGTGACCGTCTCATACAGGTTTGACTCCACACTCTTGATCGAAGATCTTTTCGGACTCCGATTTACTTTCTTATTTTCTTGTTTTTCAGAGAAAATTTGTGGAGAGATTTGATTATTATTGTTTTTTTTATTGCGTATTATTTTTTGGCAGCAATGGAACGAGACGTACCAGCATTTTGATAAGGTGGATCCGAAGCAGACGTACTACTTATCGATGGAGTATCTTCAAGGACGAGCTTTGACGAACGCGATTGGGAACCTCAATATCCAAAATGCCTATGCAGACGCTTTGAATAAGTTGGGACATGATCTTGAGGAAATCGTAGAACAAGTAAGCCTCGATATGAATTAGCTTTGAGCAATATTCTATTCGGTCTTGTATTGGTTTATCATATTCTTGTGGCAGAAATCTCGATGCTTTTACGTTAGTTTAGGAATTTTACCTGGTGAAGTTACGATTTTTAGCCAAGTAGTCTTCTTTTGAAATGAATAATTTGCCTGCTTGAATTCTATTTCTTGGTCTTTAAGTATAGGCTAGTCTGGATATATATATATATATATATATATATATATATAATTCAATTTCAGCAGAGAGTGGGTTGATGATTGTTGGGAATGAATCTTTGTAGGAGAAAGATGCTGCCCTGGGAAATGGTGGTCTGGGAAGGCTTGCTTCGTGCTTTCTGGATTCAATGGCGACATTGAATCTTCCCGCTTGGGGTTATGGTTTGCGGTACCGATATGGGCTGTTCAAGCAACGAATCACTGAGGAAGGCCAAGAAGAAATTGCTGAGGATTGGCTAGAGGTTCTGTCCTTCTCTGTATCTGTAATTTTGTTTCTTCTATACAGTCTTTGCTTAATAACTTTTAATGGAAATTATGCAGAAGTTTAGTCCTTGGGAAATTGTCAGGCATGATGTGGTGTTCCCTGTCCAATTTTTTGGCCACGTTAAGGTCAATCCTGATGGATCGTAAGTGACTGTTAAGTAATTTCTCTTTGAAAATGCCGCTGCATAAATTATAGATGGGATTTTACCAAATTATTCAAGAGTAATTTGCTATCTTAAATAAAGATGAAACTTGATTGCACCGAACGTCTTTATCTGAACTAAAAATACCTGTACTATGAATCTTTTACAGGCGAAAATGGGTAGGGGGAGAGGTATTCCAAGCTCTGGCCTATGATGTGCCAATTCCAGGATACAAAACCAAGAACACTATTAGCCTTCGTCTTTGGGAAGCAAAGGCTACCTCTGCGGATTTCAACCTATTTCAGTTTAATGACGGACAATATGAATCTGCCGCACAGCTTCATTCTCGAGCTCAACAGGTAGGTTGTTGCTCATATATCGAAAAGTATTTCAGGAAGTGCACACCCTTTCTTTGAAAAGAGCCATGAATTTTTGATTGAGTACTGATATTGACTCCTACTGCCGTTGTTACATTTCCACTGAAAATGTTCATTTAATGTTAAATTGTTCTCTTTCTAAGAGTTTCTCTCGCATCATGTTCGTACCGAATCGTGAGTCTGCAGATTTGTGCTGTTCTATATCCTGGAGATGCTACCGAAAATGGAAAGCTTTTACGGCTGAAGCAACAATTTTTCCTCTGCAGTGCATCACTTCAGGTTCGTTGATCTTCTCTACTCATATTGAGTGATAAAGTGGCTATAAAGCTTTGTGTCAATGACCATTACTTTATATATTGAGGATTTCCTATTCCATGTTCAGTTGTTTGTTTGTCTTTCTATTAGAGCTCAGTCCATAATCCTGTTCCCTGAAAAAAAAATGCAGGACATTATCTTTAGGTTCAAGGAGAGGAAACCGGGAGAAGGCTCACGGAAATGGTCCGATTTCCCCAAGAAGGTTGCTGTACAATTAAATGATACTCATCCTACACTTACTATTCCAGAGCTAATGAGATTGCTATTGGATGAGGAAGGACTTGGATGGGATGAAGCGTGGGAAGTGACAACAAGGTCTATTACATGTCACATATTAAGATATTTTTTTAGTGTGATTGTCATTTGTTGAGGCTGCTGGAGAGCAGTCTTTTTTTTTTTAATCTTAGTTTGGAGTTTTTTTTGGACCTAAACAGTGCGATTTTAATTTTGACCAGGACTGTTGCTTATACTAATCACACAGTCCTTCCTGAAGCGCTTGAGAAATGGTCAAAATCTGTGATGTGGAAACTTCTTCCTCGCCATATGGAAATCATAGAAGAAATTGACAAGAGGGTACATCTTGCATATATTCCTTCAATATATCTGTACCAAAGATTGTTCTTATGAAAATGAAAACTCCTTGCAGTTTATTGCTATGGTACATGCTACACGATCCGATCTCGAGAGTAAGATTGAAAGCATGCGCATCTTAGACAATAATCCACAGAAGCCTGTTGTGCGAATGGCAAACTTATGTGTGGTTTCTGCTCATACGGTAAGACATTAAACGCATTGGCAAATCTAAATCGAGTGTCTCCTGTAGCTCACACAATGTCACGTAAATCTTCAGCTACGGCCTACAGGACAGCTGATATTACTCGTATCATAAACAGTTCTTTTATCTTGCTTCCTTTTTCTAGTTCCCTCCTATGTTCAATGATACCACTTCTCCTTCATTAGTTGGTTGTTTGATTTCATTTGATTTTTTTTTTTAAACCGACTGATGCCTGATTATTTTCAGGTTAATGGTGTTGCCCAATTGCACAGTGATATATTGAAGTCTGAGTTATTTGCAGACTATGTCTCTATATGGCCAACAAAGTTCCAAAATAAAACTAATGGCATCACTCCTCGCCGATGGCTTCGGTTTTGCAGTCCTGAGCTCAGTAACATAATCACCAAATGGTTAAAAACTGATGAATGGGTCCACAACCTAGACCTACTAGGAGGTCTTCGGAAAGTGCGTATAAAGAATATATTTTTTCTTCCTCTTTATGACTTTGGTTACTTTTTATTGTTATCTTATTACTTTCACCAACGACGTTTTCTCCAACAGTTGGCAGACAATGAAGACTTCCAAGATGAATGGGCATCAGCCAAAATGGCTAATAAACTGCGTTTGGCGCAGTACATAGAGCGTGTGGCAGGTGTGAGTATTGACCCAAATAGCCTGTTTGACATACAAGTGAAGCGTATCCATGAATATAAGAGACAGTTGCTGAATATTTTGGGTGCTATATATAGATATAAGAAATTAAAGGTATAGTCTTCCCGTTGTTACGTTTCACATCATTTAGCTGATATTGTATTCTCTGATAACTAGCTTATACTGAATCTGGATAGGAGATGAGCTATGAAGAACGAAAGAAAACAACTCCACGCACCATCATGATCGGAGGAAAGGCATTTGCAACATATACGAACGCCAAAAGAATAGTGAAACTGGTGAACGATGTTGGTGTGGTTGTCAACAATGATCCTGAAGTCAACAGCTATTTGAAGGTTAGTTGTATTCTTCTCAGAATTGCAACATCTGTAATACATTTCAGGATCTTCAGATTTTCTGTGGCCATATAACTAGGTTGAAATTTCACGCATTTCTAATACATAGCACAGGCCTCGTTGCTCAGATTTATTTTGACATTCTAAAGACTAAAAGTAACTCAAACAGACCTATTCAGAGATTAAAGTAGTTTATTCCATCTGGTCATAGAATTGCTATATATTTGCATGATTCATCAAGGTCCTTTAGATTGTCTTCAGATAGCAGAAAATTCTAATACATGAGATGTTAATTTTGCAACATCTCTCAAATTTTCATACCTGATGATGCCTTTGATATTCTAAAGCTATATGTTTTATACCTCCATCCCCTACTCGTATTAATGCCCAGCCATGAATGTGGTCTACATAGACTTGTCTTTTTAAAACTGGCGAAACTTTTCAGGTCGTGTTTGTTCCAAATTACAACGTGTCTGTGGCAGAGATGCTAATTCCAGGAAGTGAGCTATCACAGCATATCAGCACTGCCGGCATGGAGGCAAGCGGCACAAGCAACATGAAATTTGCACTTAATGGTTGCCTCATTATAGGAACACTCGACGGGGCTAACGTGGAAATCAGAGAGGAAGTTGGAGAGGACAACTTCTTTCTGTTTGGTGCTACAGCAGATAAAGTCCCCACAGTGCGGAAGCAACGAGAGAATGGGCTGGTACATGGTGTCAATTTTTTCATTATTGGTTACAGTCAGTAGTTCACTCTGTAGGTTGAGGAGCATTCACACACATGGACTCTTCAAACCATTCTTTGATAGTTTTCTCACTTATTGATAATCTGACATCTTGGCCTCTTAAATCATTCAGTTCAGACCAGATAATCGGTTTGTAGAGGCCATGCAGTTTATTAGGAGTGGAGCATTTGGAAGCTACGACTACAACCCACTTCTCGAGTCTCTCGAGGGAAACTCCGGTTATGGCCGTGGAGATTATTTCCTTGTTGGCCATGATTTCCCAAGCTACATGGACGCTCAGGCAAAAGTTGATGAAGCTTACAAGTAAAGATAAAATAATAGCACCCTAAACTATTATTCGAAATTCTTGAGTTAATTTATTAACCACGATCACTTTCATGCTACGAACAAAATAAAAAATATTAACTTGTTTAATTTCATACGCATCTTGTGGAACAAAAAGTGCACATGTTGGTCTTATCATTTGACTAGAATTCTTCAATGCTCTTTCCATTGACGATGACATTCAAAATTATGCCCTTCTTATTCAACTACAGGGATAGGAGAAGATGGCTAAGGATGTCAATACTAAGCACAGCAGGAAGTGGAAAGTTCAGCAGTGACAGAACAATTGCTCAGTATGCCAAGGAAATTTGGAACATCGAGGAGTGTCGTGTACCATGAATCCAACCTGGACTTCTGGTTCTTGGCAACATGTTACAAATTCCACAGAATCACATGAAAAATAAGGAAAAAAGAGAACAATATACACCAATAAAATGCTACTCAAAGGCATTATGAGCTCGTACTCGTTTTGCTTACCCCCATCCCGTTTCAATATCTTGTGCTGTAATATTTTAAAAAACAGAGAAATAAATAATTTGATTTGCTGTAATATCCTAAGAAACAGAGAATTGAATAAATTGGTTTTCATATGCAATTGTTTCCTTTTATATGAATTCTTCACGCTTTTATACTTGCGTTCTCTCCCATTATAAGCAGCTTTAGGCACAAAAAACGGCACAATGAGATTTTTTTTTATTATAGGAAAACAAGGAGATTTATTCATCTCCACTTGCCCGTCTTTTTAATATCAACGAGGTTGTAGGTATAGCCTCTACCAATATAAAATAAATAAACTCAAGTTCTGAAAATTATATATCAATAACATGGGTGCGCAAACAGACGTTCAAGAAATCACCCGTTACACGCGCTAATTATTTAATGTCACTAAAATAGATATCTAATAGACGAGAAGCTCCAGATACACAGTAAATTGTCTACCAACGATCAATCTTTTTAGACACAACTCTGAAGAGAACCAAATATGCAGCCACTTAGTCATGGATGACAGCTCTAGGTGGAGATACAATCACTCCTCATGATGAAGGCGAGGCTGATCTAGGACTAGCAGATCTCGAAATAGATCTAGAGCTTGCACTCGCACTCCGACTCCAGCTTCTGCTCCTAGAGTAGCTACCCCGAGAGTGGTGCCTAGATGAACCTTTGCGAGACCTTGAGCTCCTACGAATTGGAGAAGCACTTGGGGGGCGACTGCTTGAGCTTCTCCCATCAGGAGAAAGGCTCCGTAAATAAACCCTCCTTGAACTTCTAGGTCTAGGTGAGACACTGCGTGAGTAGCTCCTTCTTGAGCTCCGCCTTGCCCTTGGCGAGACACTGCGGGAACGGTAGCAATGCTTCCTCTCGTAGTAAGTCTCATCTGGGGAATACTCCCTGGAGCGGTATCTTCTTCTCTCATAGTAGGAGTCATCTGGGGTATAGTCCCCGGAGCGATATCTTCTCTCATAGCAGGAGCCATCTGGGGAATAGTCCCTGGAGCGATATCTTCTTCCATAATACCGATCATCTGGTGAGTAGTCCCTGGAGTTATAAGGAGAGTAGTACCGGTCACGACAGCGCAATGGTGATCTGCTGTAAGGGGACCGTGACCGAGAGTAGGATCTGCGTCGACTTTCATAAGGAGAGTATGATCTGCGCCTCGTATAATAAGGGGAATATGACCTTCGTCTGTAATATGGAGAGTATGATTTCCTATGGCTGTACTGAGGAGAGTATGATCTACTCCTACTTCTATCCAGCGATGGGGGTGAGCGACTCCGGCTCCTCCTGATTGGAGAGTAGCTAGGAGATCGACGAGGAGAGTAGCTTGGAGTTCGTCGACGCACTAAAGAGAAAGAAGAACAGAAGATTAGAAAAGAACAATCATACAAGCCGCTGAGACCACAAATACTAATATTAAAATTCACGTACCACGTATTGTTCTTAGGCCAAGATACCGTCCTGGAGTAGGAGTACGCCCTCTTCGTCTCCTAGCCTGTAATAATATAGTTTTGAGTTAAATCACGGAAATACTAGACCACCACGAGAGAACAACACAGCCTAATAAGACTTGAACAATTGTTACGACATGGTCATAAATTCATAATAAGAAGAACATAAATCAGCACAATATTTAATTAAGCTTAAAAAGAGAGAGAAATGCAGGGCATACAACCCCATGATCTGATACTTCTTGTTGAGTTCGATTTGTTTGTTAGTTGTTTGGATTTTGGTGAAGAGCTGCTACACACAGCTAACCTGCTGCCACAAACACTTCAAGTGGAAGAAGCAAAGAACTTTCAAACTCAAATGAACTAATAGAAACCACATCCAGTAACTCTTATACAAAACGCAATTTGGCACAGAAGCCACTAGTGTTTTTGAATCTTGTAGTAGTCCACCAAATGATCAATAAACAAACATAAGCAACTATTACCTTCTCCACTGTGATTACACGGCCTTCAAGTACAGAGCGGTCCAAATACTTGATGCAGCGATCAGCCTCCTCAACACTGGACATCGAAACAAATCCAAAACCACGGGATTCTCTCGTGCACGGATCAACCACAAGATGAACATCCACAACCTAGGGAAAAGAATAAAAACAAAGGCAATAAGAAAAGAATAAAACCATTGAAAAATACAGTAACACATACAAGAAGAAATTTCAATGGGCAATTCTGTCGAATGAAGATTTGGTTGCTGTGCAAGTCAAAAAAAGGTGCAATTACTAGCATACCTTTCCCTCGGTCACAAAGTGCTTCTCAAGTTCTCGCTTCGTGATCCGAGGCGACAACCCTGTCACGTACAGATTGTTACCAGGATTATCAACATCACTTGAAGGGCTCCTGCCACCCAAAATACAATAAGATGATCAATACATTCAAGATGATCAATACATTCAACAGGTAAGACGACCCAATAAAAAGAAATGCATAAAGAAGCAGCTGGGTTAAGTCACCACCTTGACCGACTTCTTGACCTTGACACAGACACAGACCTCGAGACTGACCTACTGTATCGCTTGTTGGGGGACGGAGAACGAGAATACCTGGAAAATCAATCAAACATCATAATAAGCACACAGTCACGAATGAACCATAATCTTCATCAGAAGTCCAAGTTACACAGAACAGAAAGAACGCACCTTGACCTCCTGGAGTACGACATCTGGCACAATAGAAAAAAAAATCAGAATTTAGTTCCAAGACAAGAAGACGACTAAGAACAACGCATGATAAGCGGCATTTAATTAATAGGAAAAAAAAACACCAAAACTTGGAAAATGATAAATAAAAGTATCTAATCCAAAATGGAAAAGTGTGACATAAATTCTGCTCATGGTTTGTTCTCTCTCTCTCTCTCTCTCACTCTCTCTCTCTCTCTACAGAACAGATATCACAATTCACATGTTAAAACATTGAAACAAGGTTTTTGCTAATTTCACTTTTTGAGGTTGTCATTTCGGCAAACTTCTCCATGTTAAGCCGCAAAGTAAACAGATAAATATTGCATGTTCCATGATGTTATATTGCGCGTGTAATCCTAATCCTAATCAGGAACTTAAATTCAAAAACTACTTTCTCTATCTCAACAAGCAATATATCCCTTAGTCTAATGTTCATTTGATTGAAAAATCGTAAACCAAAGAAATAACATATAATTACCGCTGTATTATTCTGAGAAAAATTAAAACTGCGCCTACAACATATTTCCTAGGATTAATTCATACGACAAATAACGATTATCTTCCATTTTCAACAAACTCGGAATCAAAATTTTCATACAAAGATAAAGAACAACGAAACAGAATCTAATCGAACACCAAAACATAATCAGAGACCAAAAAAAAAAAAGATAACAGAAGAACAAGAGATCGAAACTTACCATAACAGAGAAGTGCAGAGAAAATTCTCGAAGAACACGAAAATGCTTTTTCTTTCGCTCGCGATTATCTGGACTCGCACACTGATCGTCTTCTGAACCTCTAGTACGGTTTAAAGAAAAAAAAATGGTCCTTCAAGAGTTGTGAAAAAATCCCGGGAGAAGGTTCTGGACGAGCGGACGCGAAGCCAACTTTCAATCCAGTTGAAAATTTCGTGGCTCGCGCTTCTCTACGGTTGTGATCATCTGCAACGCGCGTGCGGTCCCCTGGATTTTGCCACGTGGTTGATGGGGCTTGCTTCACTTTGACTTGATTGATGAATTTAGAATCATGATTTAAAATTATTTTTAATTTATATGTATTTTTATGAGAAAAAATATTGTAACGAACTATAATTCATGATTCGAACTATGATATAGATTCTTAAACAAAATACATACTAAAATCTCATTCATTTTACTGATTTAAATTTTTAATTTTAAGTTTTTACGATAAAAAAATTTTTAAAAAATATTATATTTAATTTTTTTTATTATAATAAAAAAATTTTAAAAAATATTATATTTAAACTTAAATTCGCAAAGTGAACGTACGTCTAGATTCAGAGGAATGGAATTACACATGCAATCTCTCTACCAAAAAAAAAGGAACATTTTGTAGACCACGTAAAATGAGTCGTGGGGATTTGGATTACACGTGCTACGAAACAATTCGTCTTTGGAGGCCGAAGGCCCGTTTTAGGTTATATTGACTTTTATCATAGTTAAATTTATTACAATAGTTTACATTTTGTGAACCAACAAAATTATGCTTATACTTTGTGTATTTGATTTATATCTTTAAATTTTGTGAGAGTTTTATGATTATTTATGCATATATTTGTATTTTATGAATTTTATATAGTTTTTAAATATCTTTAGTTGTTGGCATTCTCTAAAATAATTTATTTCTCTTGACATATGTCAATTCAAACTTAAAACTTGAAGTGTTATTGTAAAGTGTCTATAATAAAAGTTGATTTATGAAACTAATTAAATAAATGATATATTTTAAAATTATTTATTTTAAAATTATTTGAAATAAATAGCAGTTTACCGTTAAATTTCATTTACAATTAGTAAAAATATTTTTTCACATAAATTTTCATTTTACGATTGATAAAAAAGTTACACGTGAAAAAAGATTTTTTACCACGTAAATTATTCTTTACTAATCATAAATGAAACATTTACACCACAAACTATTATTTACTTTAAATAATTTTAAAATTTAACATTTACTTAATTTAGTTTTAAAAATCTGTTATTTACTATAATTTTTGACAATGTGTGTGGTTTTAATGGTTACTATAATATTTACTCATTAATGCGTATCATTATTTTAGTCATAAAATATTAATCCAACGGTTATAATAAATTATATAGTTGACTAAAAAACTTTATGACAATTAATAGATTTAGATTATTATTACGTCATATCATCATATTTATATATTTAGTGGTAACTACCGATGCAAACGTAACCATTAAAAAATCATAATTTCTGACAATAATAAATAAATGAGTAAATTCAAAAAGTTTTAAATAAACTATTTTCAGTTTTTCTTTATCACTAGTTTTTATCATTTATTTAAAACAACGATTATGTAAATTGTTATTAAAAAAAGAGAGAAAATGACAAAAAAAATAAAAGCAAAAGTAAGGGAAAAATCCGAAGTAAAAGACTAAGAAAAAAGATTTTAATTTATTTTGTTGCGTTTTAAATTTTTTTATTTTATTTTCTTTAATTTGTTTTTTATTTAATTTAGTGTAGATTTATTTTGTTTCAATGTATTTCTATTTAATTTTATTTTTTATTGGAATTATTTACAATAATTTTATCTAAGTAGTATCAAAAATTTGACGTTGTTAAAAATTTAAAATGGATAAAATGACTACAAATAAACTTAAAAATAATATATAAATATATTAAATAATAGTTATTTAAAAATTAAACAGGGATTTTTTTGCGGCCGTCGGATCAAAAAACAGAGCGGTTTAGATTGGCGCCTGAAGGACACACGCAGACAAGGGCGCGTTGGTGGTAAGCGTGGCAGTTGTCCGCGTCAGGTAGTGGGGCCCGCCACGTACTACGGTGGCGAATAAGACGACGGCAAATGGCCCAACTGTCGGCCGTGATATTTTCCGGTATGATCTAGTGTGTCTTGTACCGTGTAAGCTCAGTTTTTTAGCAAACAAAATGTTGACATGTAGCCACATAATTTAGCAAACTAATCATAATCCGCCACGTGGATTCCACGTTGAAGACTCCAATCAAGCACGACGCGTGGCATGTTCAAGTAAGCGTAGTACACTGAATCATTTCCTTAACCAAAAGAAAGAAAGGAAAGAAAAAAAAAAAAAAAAAAAGGGGACAAACTGCGCCTACAACATATTTCCTAGGATTAATTCATACGACAAATAACGATTATCTTCCATTTTCAACAAACTCGGAATCAAAATTTTCATACAAAGATAAAGAACAACGAAACAGAATCTAATCGAACACCAAAACATAATCAGAGACCAAAAAAAAAAAAGATAACAGAAGAACAAGAGATCGAAACTTACCATAACAGAGAAGTGCAGAGAAAATTCTCGAAGAACACGAAAATGCTTTTTCTTTCGCTCGCGATTATCTGGACTCGCACACTGATCGTCTTCTGAACCTCTAGTACGGTTTAAAGAAAAAAAAATGGTCCTTCAAGAGTTGTGAAAAAATCCCGGGAGAAGGTTCTGGACGAGCGGACGCGAAGCCAACTTTCAATCCAGTTGAAAATTTCGTGGCTCGCGCTTCTCTACGGTTGTGATCATCTGCAACGCGCGTGCGGTCCCCTGGATTTTGCCACGTGGTTGATGGGGCTTGCTTCACTTTGACTTGATTGATGAATTTAGAATCATGATTTAAAATTATTTTTAATTTATATGTATTTTTATGAGAAAAAATATTGTAACGAACTATAATTCATGATTCGAACTATGATATAGATTCTTAAACAAAATACATACTAAAATCTCATTCATTTTACTGATTTAAATTTTTAATTTTAAGTTTTTACGATAAAAAAATTTTTAAAAAATATTATATTTAATTTTTTTTATTATAATAAAAAAATTTTAAAAAATATTATATTTAAACTTAAATTCGCAAAGTGAACGTACGTCTAGATTCAGAGGAATGGAATTACACATGCAATCTCTCTACCAAAAAAAAAGGAACATTTTGTAGACCACGTAAAATGAGTCGTGGGGATTTGGATTACACGTGCTACGAAACAATTCGTCTTTGGAGGCCGAAGGCCCGTTTTAGGTTATATTGACTTTTATCATAGTTAAATTTATTACAATAGTTTACATTTTGTGAACCAACAAAATTATGCTTATACTTTGTGTATTTGATTTATATCTTTAAATTTTGTGAGAGTTTTATGATTATTTATGCATATATTTGTATTTTATGAATTTTATATAGTTTTTAAATATCTTTAGTTGTTGGCATTCTCTAAAATAATTTATTTCTCTTGACATATGTCAATTCAAACTTAAAACTTGAAGTGTTATTGTAAAGTGTCTATAATAAAAGTTGATTTATGAAACTAATTAAATAAATGATATATTTTAAAATTATTTATTTTAAAATTATTTGAAATAAATAGCAGTTTACCGTTAAATTTCATTTACAATTAGTAAAAATATTTTTTCACATAAATTTTCATTTTACGATTGATAAAAAAGTTACACGTGAAAAAAGATTTTTTACCACGTAAATTATTCTTTACTAATCATAAATGAAACATTTACACCACAAACTATTATTTACTTTAAATAATTTTAAAATTTAACATTTACTTAATTTAGTTTTAAAAATCTGTTATTTACTATAATTTTTGACAATGTGTGTGGTTTTAATGGTTACTATAATATTTACTCATTAATGCGTATCATTATTTTAGTCATAAAATATTAATCCAACGGTTATAATAAATTATATAGTTGACTAAAAAACTTTATGACAATTAATAGATTTAGATTATTATTACGTCATATCATCATATTTATATATTTAGTGGTAACTACCGATGCAAACGTAACCATTAAAAAATCATAATTTCTGACAATAATAAATAAATGAGTAAATTCAAAAAGTTTTAAATAAACTATTTTCAGTTTTTCTTTATCACTAGTTTTTATCATTTATTTAAAACAACGATTATGTAAATTCTTATTAAAAAAAAGAGAGAAAATGACATAAAAAAAATATAAAGGCAATCACTAGTTTTTATCATTTATTTAAAACAACGATTATGTAAATTGTTATTAAAAAAAGAGAGAAAATGACAAAAAAAATAAAAGCAAAAGTAAGGGAAAAATCCGAAGTAAAAGACTAAGAAAAAAGATTTTAATTTATTTTGTTGCGTTTTAAATTTTTTTATTTTATTTTCTTTAATTTGTTTTTTATTTAATTTAGTGTAGATTTATTTTGTTTCAATGTATTTCTATTTAATTTTATTTTTTATTGGAATTATTTACAATAATTTTATCTAAGTAGTATCAAAAATTTGACGTTGTTAAAAATTTAAAATGGATAAAATGACTACAAATAAACTTAAAAATAATATATAAATATATTAAATAATAGTTATTTAAAAATTAAACAGGGATTTTTTTGCGGCCGTCGGATCAAAAAACAGAGCGGTTTAGATTGGCGCCTGAAGGACACACGCAGACAAGGGCGCGTTGGTGGTAAGCGTGGCAGTTGTCCGCGTCAGGTAGTGGGGCCCGCCACGTACTACGGTGGCGAATAAGACGACGGCAAATGGCCCAACTGTCGGCCGTGATATTTTCCGGTATGATCTAGTGTGTCTTGTACCGTGTAAGCTCAGTTTTTTAGCAAACAAAATGTTGACATGTAGCCACATAATTTAGCAAACTAATCATAATCCGCCACGTGGATTCCACGTTGAAGACTCCAATCAAGCACGACGCGTGGCATGTTCAAGTAAGCGTAGTACACTGAATCATTTCCTTAACCAAAAGAAAGAAAGGAAAGAAAAAAAAAAAAAAAAAAAAAAAAGGTGACGAATCGTGGGGTGCAACGAAACGCCCCACCCTAGAAACGGATTCTCTCTTTTAGGGTAGGAAGGATTTAACTACATTTTGCCGTGTAAAAAAAAAACTACATTTTGTTAATATTTTATTAAATTAAGAAAATTCGTGATATAGGAAAAAAAAAAAAAGCAAGTAGCCGGTGCCGTGTAGTATAATTTTATATTGCTATAAAAAATTATTATAGAACATCATTATTTAATATTATCGTTGAGTTTATTGAGTCTGTAAATAATCTTACTTAATAAAACTCAAGTACAATTCAACTCTTATGAGAGGTATGGCCCTCAATCCCGCTACGGGGCTAAATTGGAATTTTTTTTATTGTTATAACACAATTATCTTGTACTCAAAATGCACCACAAGTCGCTAATTATGTTCACTATGTGGCCCTGCGCTCAAGCTTCCACACGTGAACTGCAATCACTTGGCCCTCATGGTTAGGTTCACTAGACACATTGACCAACGAGTGGCTCACTTAGCACATTACGTGTTGAGAATGGTTGAGAGTTGATACCTAATCATTCTTCCCAACAAGACTCCAAGGCTACATTCGAAGCATCAGACAACTAATCAAGAAGAGTGTCACGTTGAGCAAGAGCATTCCCTAAATAGGTGGATCAGTATACATAGCTTAGTATTAATATCACACACAGCGCAGATTTCAAATCCACGTAGGAAAAAGACGAGAAGAAAAATGAGAAAATAAAAAAGAAAAAAAGGAAAAAAAAAACATTGTGCACTTTTGTAAAGAGCCATTGTAGGCCTCGTTGACTTCACAATTTTGAATTGTAAAAACATGATTGCCCACACATTGGCGCAATTAGCGTTTACTATTTATGAAGATCGTGTTTTGTTCGAGAATTTCCTTAGGTGTATTAACTATTTTCTTGCAGCTGATATGGCTGATATGAATTAATAAATGATAATTTCATTTTCAAAATTTTTGTTTGAATAAGCGGTAAAAAATATGACACGAATACGACATGTGACACGAATTACTACCCTTAATTTGAGGTTTTTTTCTCTTATTTATGTAAATTTTTTGTAGTTCAAATTGACGTTTGATGGTGTAAGGTCTAAATAGAGAATAAAAATTTAAACTAGCATTTGGTTACATTATTAGAAATATAGGTTTTTTAAAAATATGAGTGAAAATGATTTGTGAGAACCTTTGAGTTAGTTTTGTAAACATCATTTTGGATTAGAACTCAAAAAATTTTGGGAGGGGGAGGGGGTAAAGTTCTATAGAACTTATACACTATGCTTGGAAGGTGGGAGAAGGGTGGATGAAGAGTAGTGAAGAGAAGGGGGAATCCGCTGTTTAGTTAGAGAGAGTTGGGGAGAAAGAGGAGATACGAAGAGAGAGTCTCTCCCTTAAGACCCATAATTATTTATCTTTTTAATTGATGGAAGTATTTAACCAATCTATCAAATTTTAAATTGAAAAAGACCCTTTTATCCTTAAAAAATATTATTAACAAATAGTAAAATATATAATATAATAATTAAATAAATAATTATCAATCATCATTTTAACACTCTCTATCTTCTACCAAGCATCATACTTGAATTACTATAATTCTCTTAATCATTTTTATTCTCCATCTTTCTTACTCTCTATCCCTCCTAACAAAGTCATAATAGAGTCAAGTCAACGGAAATAATAGAAAATAGGCAAATATGAAAAGCTTAAGGAAGTATATAGGCCAACTTTTAGTTATAGAAATTAATAGGCCATAATTTGTCAAGTTATGGTTCATAACTAGATAAGTTATGGACAAACTTATCAAGTTATGGTTCATAACCAGACAAATTATGGATAAAAATTGTGATTTATGGACAATAACTTGTCACGTTATGGTTCATAACCAGACAAGTTATGGACGAAAATAATAATTTAACCTATTTATTAACTTATGTAAACTATTAACCTATTAATTTTAATTCATCTCAAGTATTAACATATTTACATCTTTCTCCTTACAGTCAACCCAAAATCCAAAGACCAATATGCAACCAGAGAACCCTCCAACCAAACGGGCAGGCAATAGGCAAATGGAGCGGGTCCGTAAACCCAACCGACATAAACGAACGGTGTAACCGGTAGGTGGTAGACACCAAATTCCCTCTCGTTTCTTTGCACCTCCTTTTGATCTTTCTATCTTTAAACCCGCGAAAAAAGCAAAAAGCCTTCCAAATCAAAAATCCAAAGAGTTAAAAAGGCATCTGAAGAACCCTGGAACTGGAACTAACTGTTCTGGAAGGCGACGAGCTCAAATGGAGCCCATCAAAGCAGCCAACGAACTCCATTTCCGCGTCGGGTTCTCCGGCCACAGTGGCCACCTCAGGCTCGACCCTCTCTCTTCCCTTGAGCGCTCCGATCCTCTCAAATCTCTTCCCGATTTCATTTCGGTCCGTTTTTTCACTTCCCAACTTCTATTGTCATGTTCCCTTTTCTTGCTCACATTTTGTTTTTTGCATTTTATCCCTTTTCTCTTTGGAAAAAAGAAGAAATTGTGAATCCTTTTGGTTCTTAGGGCTGACGCAAAATTGTAACTAGCAATTTTTTTTTTTTGGGTTGCTTTTGTTTTACTTTATTATGTTGGATTATTGTTTTTCTTTTTAGCATTTTACTTCTATAATTGATTCATCGTGACGCTGAATTGGATTGTAAAAACAGTCGAATTGGAGGCTTAAATAGAATCCCTCATTTGATAATTGAATGAACAACATACCTTTATGTGTTTATGGAAAACAGATGAATGTTTTCAAATTCAATTGCTGATAACACACTATCAGTGTTCATATTTGTTCTAAGGTGGTTTTTTTTTTTTTTTTTTTTTTTTTTTTTCCAGTCACCTGCGTTTCCCAAGGAAACACCTGAATCAATAAAATCTTATGTAGAGGAGACTTATCTCTCGCCAAGGTTGGATTCTGAGTTATTTTCACCTGAAAAAGCGGGGAGGCAATGGGATTTTGACTGGTTTGACAAGGCAAATGTCCCACTGGAGCCTTCAATACCGCGGTCTGTCATAATACCCAAGTGGGAATTACCGTTCAGACGTCGAAAAAAGGGATCAGAGCAAGGAAAATGGGAGCCCAGATCAGTGCAGGTACTTAGCATTTCTTTAAACTGTCTGTCATCTTCTAAACAAAGAGATATTCTGGCTTATTGTGAAATAATCTTTAAAGTTGTAATCAATCATTCCTTGTCTCTGAATCGTGCACAGAATTCTGTTATCATTTTAGGTCGATGTATCAGAAATAACAGTAGGAGCTCAAGAATCTGGTTCATTACCACGTGTGACAAAGGATTTCATTAGAGGAAGCATTAGCAACCGCCCTTTTCGTCCTGGCGGTTTAGATGATTCCCAATCCTTAGAAAGAATCCTTCCTGATGGTGCTACCAATGGAGAATGGGTTCGTGAACTTCTACGTGGTGGCCCTTCCCAGACTATTCCCCCAGGATTTAAGCAAGGTTTAGACCTGGGTGACATCAAGGTTATTTACATTTCATTCAGATTGGAAAACCATATTATTTACTTTTTTTTTTTTTGGCTCGATTGTAGGATCTATTGTTACTAATACAGTTTCTTTTAATTGTTTTTTGAAGGCATATCCATGTGAATGGAGTGTCTGCAAGGATCAAAGTTCGCCAAAGAGTAAATCCGACAATAAGCTGGTCAGTTAGTGTTATTTTGGGTTCACCTGTTAAGTATATATCTCATAGCTAGGGCTTTCTAATTTAATGGAATAGATATTCCTACATTGGTCTCCATATAATATATTTTTCAAAATTTCATATCATAGTTGTTCCACTTATTTTAAGTTCGATAAGTGTTCTTTATGTATTGCTACCATTTGCAGAATGAATTGTCTGTACAGTTTGATGACTTAATCAAAAAGGCTTGGGAAGAGGATGTCACTGAATTCGTGGAAGATGGTATATATGCCAAGCCGTTTTAATCTATTAAATGTATGCAAATTTCTCTATAGAATATGATATCATGAAGAGATGGAGCTTGCTGGTTGAATTATTATATCAGGGCAGCTGAGTAGCGAATATCATTCTTTCAGTGAGCTCAGCTTTTCATTTAACCCTAAAAATTTTGCAAAAAGCCTTTTGAGGCTGCCTGCTCATTTGATTCAGTATGGAACTCATAAGCCAAGTTGATAAACTTAGAACATCCAAGGGAAAAGAAAGATCTAGAAAAGTTTGCTCTTTTCTTTTTATCTTTCATTTCGTTTTTTCTTCTCCCCTTTTCATTCTTTTTAATTTAGCTAATATAGTGCCGTGTCTTAAGTTCATTTGTCAGAAAAGGAATCTGTTAAGTCAGAACCTGAAGCAGAGTCTATTAAATCAGAAGCAGAAGCAAAAGAGTTGGATGCACCCAGTGATGCTTCTAATACTGAATTATCTGCATTGGATGAGATTCTATTAGTTGAAGCAGCAGAATCAAAAGCAAAAGATCATAATGGCGGTGGTGAGGACCAGAAGGAGGTAACTACAAGTAGTAGTAGTAGTAGTAGCAAAGTTGTAGTTTATGGAAACTGTCTATTGGTGCACATTCAAACATCTTGCTGCGCAAGCCTGTCTCTTTAAATGCTTGACTTTAATGTCTACATTAGCTAGTTTATAAACTTACAGGTCTGGGCTGTTACTGGAGGCAGTGAATGGACTTCACGTCGTTTTCATGAGCTTGTTCCTGACATGGCACTTGATTTTCCTTTTGAATTGGATGCATTCCAGAAGGAGGTATTGATTGATAAAAGCTCTCCTTTATTTTATTAACCAGGTAGCTTGATCATGGAAGGATTGAAAATTTGTGTTATAATGTGGAAAATGATTTTGTTTGAGGAGAGAAAATATTTTTTATGTTCATTTCTGAAGCAAGGAATTTTAGGATTCATGTTTTTCCTAATTTTCTATAGCCACAATGATGGTAAGAATCATTTTAGCTTAACTATCTATTTCTTTAGTCTCTCTCTCTCTCTCTCTCTTTCAATCTTCCTTTCCCTAATTCCCTTCGTCTGTTAGCCCTAATTTTTGCATGCTTTAAAAGGTTTGGAGATTTATTGTTTTTGAATTGGCAAAAGTTACTTAAATATCATGATAGTACATCTACTCTGCATTGAGATGTCATCGCAACTTCAATCCAGTAATAAATTACTGGGCATGCTTTTGAGTTTTTTGCGTGTTTTTTGAAATGATTGTATTGCTTTATGTTATCTTGTTTTCTGTCTCTGTGATAATTTAGTGGGCAGTTCAAATTTTGTTGCTTGCACACTAAATAACCATTCCCCTCCTTTGTTATGTAACAATTACAGGCGATCTATTATCTTGAAAAGGGGGAGTCTGTTTTTGTGGCTGCTCATACTTCGGCAGGAAAGACTGTTGTTGCAGAATATGCATTTGCTTTGGCGTCAAAAGTATAGTAAATATCCTTGCGTTGTCAGGATTGTACTTTTTTGCATCAATTATGTTAAAGTTTTATGTTTATTCAAATGATGCAGCATTGTACTAGAGCTGTCTATACTGCCCCAATTAAAACCATAAGCAATCAAAAGTACAGGGATTTTTGTGGGAAATTCGATGTTGGACTTCTGACAGGCGATGTTAGCTTGAGGCCTGAGGCTTCTTGTCTCATTATGACCACTGAAATATTAAGGTCAATGCTCTACCGGGGCGCTGATATTATACGTGATATTGAATGGGTAAAAGGGCTCTTTCCTATCAACTGTCACTTTCATCCTTCTTTCTACAGATCTTATTCCATTTTTGATTTTTGATTTTTAAACATTTTCCATAAGCAATTCTTGAAGACTTCCCCCCCTCCCTTGTATAGGTTATCTTTGACGAGGTGCACTATGTCAATGATGCTGAAAGAGGTGTCGTTTGGGAGGAAGTTATCATCATGCTTCCGAGACATATTAATATTGTTCTTCTTTCAGCCACAGTAAGTGGCCTTATGTACTGTTGTTCTCAGTTACAATGCTCCAGGGAATATTACAGTTTTGAATTTAGGATTGCCTGTCTTAATATTATTTTAGTAGTTCAGGGCACACTTTCTAATACATGCTTTGAGCATCATACAGGATAAATGTCAATTATATTGCATCCTCTGGTATAACTTTTAAATTAATACTTCAGCTTAATAAAGGCACATGTGCATTATTGTTCTACATGGGTTGATGTGGTCACGTCCCCTTTAACAAATTTGCTCTGGCTCAGGCTATGCATGAAACATTTGTTGTCAATTTTCAGGTACCTAACACAGTTGAGTTTGCCGACTGGATTGGACGTACAAAGCAAAAGCAAATCCGTGTCACTGGGTTAGTAGTGAATCTTTGTTTCTTTTGATTTATTTGCTCTTTTGAGAATTTTGAATTTCATTTCTAAATTGATTTCTTTGCTTTCTAAATTGGTTATGAAAAACAATGTATATTACTTTTGTTTGTCTTCAGGACCACCAAAAGACCAGTGCCATTGGAACACTGCGTCTTTTACTCTGGAGAAATCTACAAGGTATGTGAAAATGAAATTTTTATGCCTCAGGGACTGAAAGTTGCTAAAGATGCATTCAAGAAAAAAAATGTAGCTAGTAGCGGTACTGGATCACAGAGTGGAGGCTCAGCTGCTTATGACAGTAGTCGAGCTCAGAAGCGTGAAAATTTTACTCGGGGAAACAAGAATAAGCACTTTGGTTCCCAGGGTTCAGGAAAGTTTCCTGGAAGTGGCGGAGGGAACCAAAACAATGGCAATGGTTTCAACAATTGGGGTTTAAGGAGATCGGATGCCTCTTTGTGTCTGTCACTTATCAACAAGCTCTCAAAGAAATCTCTGTTACCTGTATGAATATGATTCCCTGATGTATAAGATATTTTCTGCTTTATTCCTTGAGTTGATGCTGAGTTAATTTAATCAATTGTGATTGTGATACCATGGATTTGAGGAGCCACGGAGTACTCTTTTTCTCTTATTTTGTGAAGAAAAAATAGAAATGAAACAAAAGAAGATGAAAAAGGCATAAGAAGAGGAAGAGGGAGCTTCTTAAGTTGTTTTCAATTTTTTGATTAATTCATTTTTCTCCATGTAATTTTTTTTTTTAATTGGTAACAAAAAATTTAGCCTTGTTCTTCCACTCTAATATGTTATAATCTATTATTAAAATTTAGTATTGTATGTTAAGATTTCATCAATAAAATTGTTTCTTATTAAAAAAGTGTTGTATGCTCTATTGCTATATAGATTTGTTCAGTGAGCTCAGTCAATTAGCTAGGCTTTCTCCTTTTCGTCCACTTTCCTCCGTATCTGCTATATTAGTATGCAACTTTTGATTATTTCTGCACTTGTGGAGCTATTATAAGAATTTTTGTTTTATGTATGGCACAACTTGAACCGAAGAGTAGGGGGTTAATTTTTAATTCTTATAGGAGTACTAGATGGTCATTAAGCAATTTATATTCATGCATGCGTACACTGTTAATGTTCCTTTTCTTAATTGAAATGCTCTTTAGAAAACTGCAACTTCTTGGTTCGTTACTTCTTATCATCTATCTATTTACTTGGGTGTCTAGGTGGTTATATTTTGTTTCTCGAAAAATCGATGTGATAAGTCAGCTGATAGTATGACTGGGACTGATCTCACTAGTAGCTCTGAGAAAAGTGAGATTCGTATTTTCTGTGACAAAGCATTTTCTCGTCTCAAGGGCTCTGACAGGAATCTACCACAGGTTTGGTGGATTTGCAATCGTTTCTTTTTTCTGGGATATAGTTTTTGGGCTTTGGATGTAAAATAATTCATCACTTGTGCAGATTGTCAGAGTTCAAAGTCTCCTCCGTAGAGGGATTGGTGTGCATCACGCCGGACTGTTACCCATTGTCAAGGAAGTTGTTGAAATGCTTTTTTGTCGTGGTGTGATCAAGGTAAAATTACATTACTTGCGTACTATTTTAATGTTTTATGTGTGTGTGCATATGTACGAAAAAACAAAAGTCGAAAAAAGAAAAGAAAAGAAATGATAAGCTACATCTGATGATCTTAGGAGGCTATAAAAAATACTGCTAATTCAAAGCTGTGTTTGAACGCAAGGGTTGCAATTTAGGATTTTATTATTATTATTTATTTATTTATTATTCATCTTTGCAGTTGCTAATTTCTCTGTTCTTTTCACAGGTTTTGTTTTCAACCGAGACTTTTGCAATGGGGGTTAATGCCCCAGCAAGAACAGTAAGTCTTCAATGCATTCTGTTCATTAGCAACATGTAAAGGGTTGTAAATGTTCATTAAGTATGCATTTTCTACAGCTACTCCTAGTAACAGATGTGACTTCATTGTTTTGAATTTTATTTATTTTGCAGGTTGTTTTTGATACATTAAGGAAATTTGATGGCAAGGAGTTTAGACAATTACTACCTGGAGAATACACTCAGATGGCAGGTCGTGCAGGCAGAAGGGGGCTTGATACAATTGGTACAGTTGTTATAATGTGCCGTGATGAAATCCCTGAACAGAGTGATTTAAAGCGTGTTATAGTTGGAAGTGCAACCAAGCTGGAATCTCAGTTTCGGCTGACCTATATTATGATCCTACATCTCCTTCGTGTTGAAGAATTGAAGGTGAATGAAGAACATTCTTACAGTTCTTTTCCCGGGGAAAGAATTTGAGGATAGTGAAATTATGGAAGTTTTATTAAGAAGTTAGAAGCCTGTTTCAAATTTTACAAGCAATAACTTAAAGCATGCTGCACTTTGGTGCAAACTTAAGACATGTGGTTACTCTTCATCCTTAACTTCCTGTAACTTATGAAGGTGCAAGAACATAACTGGTATTGTTGGAATACTGTTGTTAATATTGTCAGCCAAGTGGATTAATTTCTTAACCTCGTAGTCAATTCATGATTTTCTCCTCTGAGCTGGGGTTTAAACATTTCTTGGACACGTTTTAACATTTTGAAAAGTCTTTATTAACAAAACGAGCTTAGATGTTTGTGATGGCAGCTGGCGGGGTATCCTCAAAGTAAATTTAGGTAAATTTTAGCTCATCACAATTCACAATGAAGGGGCTGCCTTATGCATTTGGCATGCTTTGGAGTATTCTATGTAGCATATTTTGGTTTTGTTTTTGTTAAATGTTCTTTTTGCCATTTTACCTTGGGGAATAGGTCCTTTTTTCTATCGTAAGTTTGACTTTGACTTTAACTGAGAAGAATAACTAGGCATGAGTTTAAGTTTCTATCTCAATTTTTCTGTGGACCATAACTGCAGGTAGAGGACATGTTGAAAAGAAGTTTTGCCGAGTTTCACACTCAAAAGAAACTACCAGAAACACAGCAACTTTTGATGCGAAAGCTTGCTCAGCCTAGAAAAGCAATAGAGTATGTCAAGTAAACCGATTACTTGTTATGTCTTGTGAGAAATAGTGTTGCTTAGGCATGAATCAGTTCAGCCATTTAAGCCGCATTCTAACGTCATCCAATGGATTAGATTTCGTTACTTTCAGTACTTTCTTGTAGTTGACTGTATAAGTATAATATCTTCATTCTGACATTACTACACCATTTCAAATCTTTTCCTGAGACGCGAGCAAGAATATTTGGCTGATGGATCGTGTACCATGGCTGTTTGGGTGTAGATGTATAAAAGGTGAGCCAGCCATTGAGGAATATTATGAGATGCACTCAGAAGCTGAGAAGTATAATAAGGAAATATCAGAGGCAGTCATGCAAACCTCTCTTGCCCAACATTTCCTTACTCTTGGAAGAGTGGTAGTTGTGAAATCACAATCAGTGAGTCCTTATACATGGCTTATATCTATTCCCGTCAAAACTTGCAGTATCAACTTAGTTTTTTCCTAATCTTTCAAAATATTAGTTAGAGTTACTATATTTGATATTAAGTTGAAACATCAAACTAGGACAGCTAAAGAAAATTGTTGAAATTTTGCTAGCAGTTGGGGGAAATTGCACCTCCTGCTGTCATCCACTCTCAAACCAAAGTTGAATTGCTGATGGTTTTATGGTTGGTTCTCATAGGCCTCCTATTTGGCACACTTATGCAAGGGAAAGCAACTGTTGTTGTTGTTGTTGTTGTCGTTGTCTTTTTATTTTTATTTTTTTTTCTTTCCATTAGGAACATAAGATTCAGTACTATTTTTGTTTGATTGTCAAAAACAAACAATGCACTATCAACTTCTTTGTATTGCATGGGTAGTTAAGGTACTAACTCAGTATATCACGCACTTGTAGCAGGCACAGGACCACTTACTTGGAGTTGTTGTGAAAATACCATCCACTAATATGAAGCAGTATATTGTTTTAGTACTGAAACCTGAATTGCCATCAATGACGCAAACTCCCCTGGTGAGCGGTAAATTGCAAGATAGCAGAAGTGGTGATCTCCAACAAGGTTATTATGTGATGCCAAAATCAAAGCGTGGTCTTGATGAAGAGTATTGTTCATCTGTCACTCCTCGCAAAGGATCGGGTGCTATTAAAATAAAATTACCATACAATGGTGTTGCTGCCGGAACAGCTTACGAGGTTAGAGGTATTGATAACAATGAGTTTTTATGCTTATGCAAGTGCAAAATAAAGATTGATCAGGTTGGGCTTATTGAGGATGCTAGCAATGCTGCTTACTCCAAGACAGTTCAACAGCTTCTGGATACAAAATCTGATGGAATTAAGTATCCTCCCGCTCTAGATCCAATAAAAGGTATGTCCTGTGTCTTATGAAGGTAACGAGTGGGCATTAATTTGGTGGATTTAAAGTTACTTGTTTAGTTTTATATGTTATTTGTAGAGGAGTATTATAATGTGAAATGAAACTATGGTACAATTGCCCCTTGAACTTGTCGTGATTTAGCAAATTGCCCCCACAAACTTTTAATTTTGACAATCAACTCCCTGAACTCATCAATATGCCCCATTTTACTAAATATGCTCAAATTGTTTATTAGAGTTGGGGGATTAAAGGTTGAGAAATTGAAAGATTTGTGCTGCAGTTGAATTGGGATGTTAGAATTTTTCGTCAAACGTTCTATTTCGACACTTAACACAAACATTGTCAAAATGGGGCACATGACAATAATTTTACAAGTTGAGGGGACAACTTGCCAAAATTAAAAGTTTAGAGGGTAAATTGCTAAACCCTACAAGTTCAGGGCACAAATTTAAAAATAGCCAAAACTTTCTTATTTTGTGAAATATTGTGGAGAGTTCACTGTTAGGGTTGTTTACTATATAGCGTGCTAGGAGAATCAGAAAAACTTAGTATTACTCTCTTTAGACTAACCTTCTGGTAGACCTCCTATTAGGTATACATATGTATGTCGTAATAAGGTGTAATAGAAGGAAATAGGTATAGTTTAGTTTGATGAATTACTAGTCATGTGTAAGTGGTTAGAGATTTGTTAGTTGGTTTGTGGATTATGAGTCAGCTTACTTAGTTAGGTAGTGGGTTATGAGTAGGTTGTATGGGACAAGAGCTGTAAAGGGAAGTTGAGGGAAGGAGATTGGAAATTTTTGGGGGTGTTTTTACTGGGAAAGGCTTGGATTTCCAAGAAGGGGAGAGTCAGTAGAATTTCTGTATTTTATCATAGGGTTCTTTTCAATCAATAAAGTGTTTCCATTATAATAAATTCTTTTGTGCTAATCTGTTGTTTGTTCCCAAATTTTTCTGGGCCTTACCATCTTCATTATGTTGATTTCCATTTAGACTTGCAGTTGAAAGACATGACTCTTGTGGAAATGTACTACAAATGGGAAAACCTGCTGCGAAAGATGTCAGAGAATAAGTGTCATGGGTGCATAAAACTGCAGGAGCACATTAAGTTAGCTGAAGAGATAAAGAGACACAAAGAGGAAGTTGATAAACTTGAATATCAAATGTCGGATGAAGCTCTACAACAAATGCCTGATTTTCAGGGCCGGGTAAATCTACTTTATGTGAATCTTTCTTTGTGACAGTTGACAACATGGTATAACTTGTCTGATTATGGGCACGGGGTCCAATTAATATATATGTTGTCACTTGTGATTTTGTAGATTGATGTGCTGAAGGAAATTGGCTGTATTGATGCTGACCTTGTAGTTCAAATAAAAGGCCGTGTTGCATGTGAGATGAATTCAGGGGAGGAGTTAATATGCACGGAGTGTTTATTTGAGAATCAATTGGATGACTTAGAACCAGAAGAAGCTGTGGCACTAATGTCCGCCTTCGTTTTTCAGCAAAGGAATGCATCCGAACCTTCCCTCACCCCCAAGTTGTCTCAGGCTAAACAGAGGTCAGGCTCACCCCTAACCACACATCCAAGATTCGTATTTCTTTTCTACATATTTCAAATGGTTGTCCTTGCTTTTTTGTGTCTGAATGTTTATCTCCGACATGAATTCTGGTCAGTACGGAATTTAAATTCTTTATTGATGAAGCTCTAGGTTTGTTTGTCCCATTAGTGAATTCATGAATCATGGTTATTAGGAAATATGATTTTGTTTTCCGTTGAACCTCTTGCTCTGTCCCTGTTGGCGAATTATGAAATTATATAGCTATGCTTATATTTATATTTTCAATAAACATAAATACCAGTTGCAAATTGCATGGTTCTCCTGCCCAATAATAGTGTATAAGAAATGAGGTTATGGTGTTCGTGCTTGCATTGCCGTGGTCATATGCATAATTGCAATAACATGTTTGGTTTAATTTTTTCTATGATACAAGAAAGTCTTAATTTGAGATGAAATTAAACACTCATTCGACTCGTTTTTTCCTCCGTATTCAGACTGTACGATACAGCAATAAGACTAGGCGAGCTCCAAGCTGCGTTCAAAGTTCAGATAAACCCCGAAGAGCATGCCAGAGAGAATCTCAAATTTGGCCTTGTTGAAGTGGTTTATGAATGGGCAAAGGTTTGCTTTGGAAAGTGCTTTTGTTTTGACCCATCTCCTTTTGGAATGTTGCATAATCTTACTTTTCTCTGTGATGGCAGGGGACTCCCTTCGCAGATATATGCGAGCTTACAGATGTTCCTGAAGGCATGATAGTGCGGACAATTGTCCGGCTAGATGAAACGTGCCGCGAATTCAAAAATGCAGCAGCGATCATGGGTAATTCAGCACTCTACAAGAAAATGGAAACTGCTTCGAATGCCATAAAACGTGACATTGTTTTCGCAGCTAGCTTATATGTCACCGGAGTCTGACTTAGTCATAACTTGAAGGTATGTTAATGCCCAGAATACTGAAGGATGTCGAGATTGTAATCTTTCTTGTGTACATTAGTTATTGTTTTCCAGAGCATGGTAATACGTACTATAGTTATTTGATTAGGCGTCGGATAAGCATACATGATGATGTTGATCAATGGTGACAAATATTGAATGTACGATTTTTCACATTTCAGCAGAGAAGCCAAAAACAACTAGTTAAGTCATTGACGTACGGACGAAGTCATTGATGTATTTTTAAATGTCAATCCTCCATGTAGAAGTAAAATAATTTAATTAATCTTTCAAGTCCAGAGCAATTAGCAAGTGCACCTTTTTTATTCAATTCAAAAGAAATATGATGGAAGTTTTTCTTGCTATTTATTTTAAAGAGTATTTTGTGACATGATATGATACTCTGCCGATAAGGCTCTATTTTAAATTGATAGACGTGTATCAAGTTTTGTCAATATTATATACTTTTTTATTTTGACGTGATGTTGAACAACTTTAACATTTAAAACATTTTTAGTACCGACAAGGGTAGCCCTTTTAGTAGAAAGCTCCTCAGTTTTATGTGCGAGTCCGTTGCTAGCAAAAGAAAAACGACATGAAATGATATATTATGGGAATCCTTATTTTGGAGGGAAGAAGAGCATGAGCACCCGAGTTTTACCAGGCCATGCAAACGACATGAAATGATATATTATGGAAATCCTTATTTTATTAACTGTTAAAACAGAATAATATCAGCTATGATAGTTTACTAATGTTAGACGGGTCTCACCCAAATGAAATAAAAAGCAATATAATGGCTGCATACACAAGCATACGTACACCAATCATACTTGACCCTCTCAAACAATGGCATATTACCCCCATGAGTATGGTCAAGTATGCTTATTTTGCAACACCAAATTTTAAAATAATATATAAATAAATGATAGCCAAAATAAGGTAATAGCAGCAATCCACCCTCCATTTCAATTGTCCCTCTTACTGGGCTTGCCGCCTTGCCCGAAACAAAGAGCTATCTGAATCAAAATCTTATTTGTCAATTCGAGTTAGACAAAAGTTCAAAAAATCAGATTTATCCAAAAAAAAAAAAAAAAAAAAGTTCAGAAAATCAAAGATCAATTAGTCTGAATCTATATAATAGAAAGCGCATGCGGGTACTGTTCTCACGCTTTTTTCGACCGAAAACACGTGAACAGTGTGTTAACAATAATATGGATAATATAAAGAAGAATAATATATAATAATTTTTGGAATAACAAAATAATGAAATTGTTACAACACAAATTCAACATTTCTACGAAACTTGGAAAAACGAATTGGCAAGGATGTCGAGGCACGTGAACCATGCTTTCTTTAAAACAGATTTGTCCCCTCCGGCGAGTGTTTAAGGTAACATTCGACGTCCGTCTCCTAAGATACAACGACAACGACAGTAGCTTAAAATACTATCGGAACCGTCCGGCGAACTAGAACTCGGGACCTTCCCCCTATCACCAAAACCAAACGAAAAAAAAACACACAAAGAACTTCGGAAACAAGAGAGAAACCGAGAGAGAGGAAGAGATTTCTGAATGTGTTGTATGTTTTCCTTCATGTTGAGAACCCTTTATATAGGCCTTTGATCAAGAGTGTTACAAAACATAGATTAATGAGAATTAGGCACACATTATTACGGGGCTAATACCATTCAATCTCCCCAGGATGAATCCGGCCACCTTTTGACACCAAGGTTCGGATTTTTGATGGAAAAACCAAAGTCATTAAGGTCTCCATAAAGCCTATTCGGTTTTTTCCTTCATCAAGTCCCATTACTCACCTTAAGCACACCATAAAACTCATTTACCGACCATTAAGCACTCCATTATGGTTATTAAGTTCGATTTTGGCTGGCAAAAAAATAAAATTAAATTGCAAAACAAGGCTTGCACGGAGTGGATTTTTCGGTCTGACATTCGTGTCCGCAGGCGCACACATTGGGCCCTTAACCCGTTGGGATCATGATTCGCACCCCCCCTGCGCGTGAAAGAGTTTCTCTAGTATACATGCTTATCTAGGCTGTAAAGTACAATCACTTATAAACACCACCAATGCTTCATTCCTAGCCAATGTGAGATTTTATAATTTTCAAACTAACTTAACCATTTTAAGTGGCATTCTTAAAGCATAAATTTCTCATTCACCCAATATCCATTTTGAGCGTATGAATATCCAGTTTTGATCTCATTAGGATGAAAAACGCAAATCTATCGAAACTCGTCCCCAAAAGTTATTAGACACCATTCTAATATGAATCTCAAAATGGGCTTTTAACATGGCTTAATAAGCCATTTTTGCCAACACAATGAACCCATTTGCACATTGTTTTTTTTTTTTCCTAATTTTCGTTCTTTCTTTTTCCTCTTACTTTTTTCCCTAAAATTTTATTATTGCCTACTTAAATATTTTTCTTGATGGTACCTTAAAACTTATTTATTCTTTTATTTTAATTCTTTATTGACTTTTTTTTTTTTTACTTTTGTTTTGAAATTTTATTTTTCTTTCGTTTTGATTTTTTTACCTTAAAATTTATTTATCTCTTCATTTTGGTCATTTTTTAACTACTTTTTTTATTTTCTTTTTTATTTATTGATTTTAGTCTTTTTTCTAATTTTTTTTACTACTTGACCTAAAACTTTATTTTTTAAAAAAATTTAGTTTCTTTTTGAGATTTTATAATCATATGTTTTATATTTTTAATAGAACACAGTAATAAAACTTAGTACACGATTATTCTCCCACGTACATAGCACTTATTTTTAACTGGTATAAAATAGAAGGAACTAGATAGATTTTACCAGCACACCACCGCTGGAGCTATAGGGATGGCAACCGGGTGGGACGAGGGTAGGAATGTGTATCCCACCCCACACTTAACCCCCCACCTGTTTAATTTAAAATGAGGTTGGAGTTGAAGAATATGCATTAAGAGAGTCATTCTCTACCCATTTACCCATCGAGAGTTTAAAAAAAATAAATAAATCTTGTAGCATTATTATACTAAAAATAAATTTTTATTTCACTAATATAATCATTAATGTCTCATAAAAATATACCAAAAACAACATCCAAACATTAACACAATCTAAAAACTAAATTTTATAAAACAAACCAAAACTTTAAAATATTAAAATACTAAAACACTAATCTCTCGAATTTAAAATAAAAGTACATATAATCGGGTTGGGTTGGGTTGGGTTAGAAAGCGGAAGAGCTTCTCCTACCCTGCACAACCCCTCAACTCAAGTTTATTTTTAACCCCCTACCCGCCCCCACCTCATATATTATTATTACTCATACCAGGGCTACTAGGGTACCACGTCCGTACAGAACAGGAAACCAGTCAACAGTGGGTTTACTGACTCTGGAATTGGAAACATGGTGTCATCAATGGCTGGGTCCCGCTTGGAAGATTCATCATAGTTGGTCACGGAAGTAGAACCCGAGTTGCAGCTCTCGTCACTCGTGTTGTCCGTCTTTAATCCACATACAAAAAAAAAAAAAAAAAAAAAAAAAAAAAAAAAAAAAAACACAAATTAATTTTAAGATTCTAAAAAATAGGGACAACATTTTTCTTTTAACAAGTACAATGCTTAAATCTTGTTTCTTTTAACAAGAGTAGCATTTTCGAGTTGCTGATAGAAACCTTTATTTGCAGCACATACTGAGTTGAAGCAGTTGGAATTATCTCCTCTCCTTAACTCAAATTCTAAAGTGATTTTCTTTTCTCTCTCTCTTTTTTCTTTTCTTTAGGAATTCTAAAGTGCTTTTCAAGTCATGCCAAAAAAAAAAAAATTGAGAATTTTTTTAAAAATAAATTATTAGTAATTCTTTAATTTTAATCGTTAAATTTGTGTTAAAAATTATCAATTTTGTATATTAATTTAATATGATTTTAATGAGATTTAATGATAAACTCACTCTTACCAAAAAAAAAAAATTGGTATGTAAGAGAAACTCCCAAAGAAATTATAACAAGCACTAAGCAAAAGTACGTACCTTGTGATGTAAATGTTGCTCGTCAAAAGAGTTATAATTCGTGTAGTCGTTCATCTCTTCAAGCTCCTCCTCCGCTTTGCTACCTTTATTAACTAGTTGTTTCTGCTAATTTCGAACATAATCACGATTCATGACATATTTACATATATCCACTCATAAACAGAGACTATGCACAGAAAATTAATGAAATCGATCAAAACCTTAATTGTATTTGTCTAGCTACCATTATAATAATAAATAAATAAATAAATAAATAAATAAAAAAGAAAGCATAGAGAATAAGCCAACCTGAGGATCAACTTTTTCCAAACTTTGGAACAAAGAGAATTCAGGAATAAAGTCATCGAGAGTATTAGGGAGAGCATCAACATCTTTTGATGAATATTCACTCCTTTGAGGCTTAGCGTGTCGTTTGGGAGTGATTCCATCAAAGTAATATGTCGTCTCTTCCTCAATCTTTTCCTCTCCTTCTATTTCCAAGTGAATGCCACTCCCAATAGGCCTCCGATTACAGCTCTCCATTTTTATTTTATCTTCTTTTCTATGTTGGTCTTTCTTTTGGGATCATAACCTCCTTTAATATATACCCCCTTTATTTTATTTACTCTATTTTATTTTCCAAGATATTTTCTCTTGAGGAACACGTAGTCATAATGGGAGATATTTTTGGATTGGCCTGGCCAATAATACTGACCTTTTCGAAGAAAAATATCCAAATTATGAGCAACCTTGTCTCTACATGGGGCAAGCTTGGGACACTTCTTTTCGCATTATATATTAAGGTCCCATGCATTGCCTCTATGATTATCTAGATTTTTCTTGGAGCTTAGAGATCGAGTATAAATAGTAATGGTTTTGTTTTTGCTTTTTTTCCCTTTCCTTTTACTAGTTTTATAACATATTCTATACGTATTGTCATATTTCAAACACCTGAATAATTTATTATTTATTGAAAAATTTATTTATACAACTATTTAAATATTTTTGAATTTATTTTAAAAGAAATATGTGTAAAAATCAATTGACAAAAAAAATTAAGTAGGAACACATTTTAAGAAGACTATTTCACTAATAAAAAATAAAATAGAAACACATAAGAAAAAATTACACTTATAAGAGTAAAGTGAGAAACAATATATTTTTAAAAAACATAAAAAAATTAAAATGAAAAAAAATTTCACAAAAAAAAGATAAAAAAATAAAAAAATAAAATAAGTAGAGGGACTGCCACGTAGAAAAGAGCTTTTTTCTTTTATGTATTGTTAGATTTAGGACCCGTTTAGTTCGCTGATTTAAATTTTTAATTCGAGTTGAGATGTAAATTTATATGAGAGCTTTTTATTATAGTAAAAAAGTTAGATGTGACTGTTTTTAAGAATTTTTTACTGTAATAAAAGTAAAATTTTAAACTCAAATAGATGAAATTAACAGTATTTTAGTAAATTAAAGATGTAGATTTGCATGCATGAACTAAATAAATCAAAAAAAAAAAAATTAGGTGGGTGGTCGGGCAGCCTTTTTAAATTAATGGCGTTTTTTAAATAAATGGCCGAATTTTTGTTTTTTGTCTTTTTAAATTGTAAATGGATGTTTTGTGACAGTAGTCAATCATTGGTCTGCCATTGATAAATCGGTTTCTTATAAATTTATCAATGGTTTATTAATGATAAACTAGTTGATGATTGAAATTAGTTAATCAATTATTGATATTGGCCAATCAATGATAAACCACTATATGAATAAGTGATACACCACTAAATCAATCAATAATAAACTAATTTGTCATTAATTTACCATGATTTATCACTAATAAACAATCATTTCCTTAATTTTTCAAAACTTTGATAATTTACTTTTACTTAAAAGCTCAAAAAGGCCATTTTTGGGCATTTCAGAATCCATAGCGGTATAGAGAAGCCTTGAGGCTTTTTTTTTCCTTGTCTTTTTTAAATCTACGTCTGGGCGGCTAAACTATTCCACAAATAGGGTTGTCTTTATGACCGTAGGAGTTGTATAAAATTTTATCAGTTTCACATACTTTCTTATTTTAATGTGATTTTAAATAGATATTCCCATCAAAGCTCCCTTTAAATGCTTGCAATATTTATATCAAAGTTTAGCCAAGTCATTCGCCTTATTTTCACTTGTAATTTATAGTTATTAGCAAAATAAAAATGCTTTAACAGTCGCTTTGACTATTTGTTGGTATGAAGATGATAAATATTATTGTCGTAATCAAGACATGATCATGGATGAAAATGTCCACAATATTGTCGATATTTTCACGACATTATTCATTTTTTAAAGTCTTGACATGGATAACGGAGAGAAAAATATTCTTCCCGATGTGTCCATAAAATATCAACAATGTTAAAAAATATCCGTAAAATTCGTGAATATTCGTAAATGTCCAGAATATTTTTAGAAATGTCCAAAAACATTGGAAAAATTTGTTGTACAAAAATTAATTTTGTAGCACATTTTTTCTTATTTTTTCAATAAAATGTAACAACATGATTCAAATCAAAAGCAATAAAAAATATTAGGACTTAATTGGTTTTTTAAATAATTTTTACTTTTTAAATTAATGATTCATATTTAAATACTAGAGAAAAAGATTTTACTCATGCTACACAAATGAGTAGCATATGAAGATTATAAGTGTAGGGCAGCATGTCCCGGTATTAGGGCAATTGAAAAACAATTTATAAAAAGACGTGGTGAGATTCTGTAACCTTGAGTTTTGATTCCATGAGATTAAGAACTGAATAAAGTTCATATAGTTATAATCATTCATATAATTCTCGGATCTACTTCAGAACTATGAAACTAAGTTGAATAAACTAACAATATTCAATTTATGGGTTAACAGTGAAAAGAGATCAAGAAACATACATATGATACATCAACAATTACCTCTAGAATTATTTAATAATAATATCTTAAAAAATGTATTGTTTAGATTAAGATCGGATCCTACCTAACGCTCTTTTCATGTAATATATATATATATATAATTATTTTGCCTTGTTTGTATATAATTATGAATATTTCATACTATAACATTTGACATAACTCTCACCAAAATGTATTATTTTTATTATTAAATTAGTCTAAATTAAGTAATATTAATTGTTTTTAATATTTTCCATAGTTTCAATAAAAACTTTTAAGGTTTTTTTAAAGTATCTTTTTATTTTTTTTTCTGAAATATCCATCAACACCGACATTATTCATAAATCAAAACTTCTGAAATATCCATCAACATCGACATTATTCATAAATCAAAACCTCAACAATCCCGTCGATATGTCCCAGCCATGACTAACCTAATCTTCATCACGCTATTGTATTATGTACATTGATAATTTATTCGTCGTACTTTATTTTAATTAAAAGGGAAAATAAGCAAAACTTTGATTAACATATATACCATATAACCAATCTTATGGGTTGTTTAGTTGGTGATTTCGTATCCTGATTTGAATCATAATTTGTAGTTTGCTACATTATTTTTTTTTTATAAAAACACACATAAATCGAGAATGGTTCTGAATTATGATTCTAAATCCATAAACTAAACGTCCACTTAGAGTTTTACCAGGCCATGCAACATGAAATTAAATATTAAAGAAATCTTTATTTCATGAAAAATGGTATTTATCTCTATGAGGATAAATATTTCCCTTCAGCCTTCACTCATAAAAAAATATATGAGTCCCACATATTAATATATTATTAGTGAGACCCACTTCATATAAATAGCGAGATTTTGACTAAATGTTCTTATTTTATCAACGTTAAATAGGAGTACAGAATATGAGGAATGGTAATCCAAATGAAAGAAAAAGGCAATGCAATGGCAACATACACAATCATGCACCACAGCTCATGACTATCAGTCTGTACTTGACCCTCTCAAACAAAAGGCATTATCACCCCCATGAAAATGGTCAAGTATGGTTATTTCGCAACAACAAATTCATTGACCCTTTTAAAGTAACAATAGAGATAAAACTAAATAATAGCAATATCTATCTCTCTGAATAAGATGAAGGTATAACAGCAATCCCATTCTACTCTCCGTTTCAATTGTCACTCCTATTAGGCTTGCCCGAAAGCAGAGTTATCTGAAACAACATTTTATTTGTAAAATTGGGTTAACCAAAATTCAGAAATCAGTTATTAAAAGAGACCAATTTAGTCTGAATATCAAAATTGAAAGAACCAGGCTAGGTTTTTTACTGAGTTTGCAGTCTGATCTGGAGCTGGAAACCAGTCGTTAGTGGCTGGGTTACACTTGGAATGTTCGTGACAGTCGGTGACAGAATCAGATCCCAAGTTGAAGCACTTGCCACTTGTGTTGTCCATCTTTATGAACCCTTTTCCTGTCTGAAAATACATATAATGTACAAAGAAACAAACATTTAACTTATGATCTCTACTAGTCATTATATGCCCTACCACTATTGTTCCTTACTGAATGAGCCATAAATATGTGGACCTCCTCATTATTCATTTCTTTGTTTTTCTTAGTCTATTTCATATTTTTTTTAAAACACACAAAAAAAAAAAGGAAAAAGAAAAGAAACTATTGTGATTGCATTAGCTTTTTATTGGGTTTCATATGCGGAGTGTGCAGGTTCTTATTGTACTATTGTATAAATACATAGATTGGAGATGTTGCTTCAAAAAAAAAAAAAAAAACTCTAGTCTCTTCATTAATTCTTCATTTTTCCTATCCACTTTCCATAACGAATAACAAGTCCTAACATTTCCAGCAAAAAAAAAAAAAAAAAAAAAATGGTGGCACAATATGATTTTCAAGATCTAAAAAGTTTGGAGAAGTTAATAAATATATAAAATAAAATCACACGCATGCAGTTCTCAAATCTCCTAACAAGGACTCTTATCTTTGGAGTTTTTGCAAGTACTACTCTTCAGTTTCATATTGCATCACATTATTATAATTAATTTGAAGCAATTGATCAAATTAGCTTTACCTTGATCGATCTTAATTCAAGTTCTGAAGTAATAAGAAAATTATAATACATGCATTGCATTAAGCAAAAGTAGTACGTACGGTGTGATGTTGCTTGTCAATAGAGTTGAGATCCTTGTAATACTCCGTCTCTACATACTCCTCCTCTGCTTTGCTACCTGTATAAACTAGTTTCTGCAAAATTTCAAACGACAAGCACAAGATCATGTCAAATATTTTATATATATTATCAACATATAATAAACAGACCCATTACAGAAAATTGATGAAATATATATAGATCAAAGACCTTACTTATAATATTTGTCTAGCTACTATTTTTATTAAATATATATATATATATATAAATAAAGTATCATACCCAAAGAAGGGAAAAATAAACATTAAAAAAAAAAAAAAAAGGAAAAGAAAGGAAGGAAGAACATAAGAAAACCTGAGGATCATATTTTTCCAAACGTTGGAACTCAGAGAATTCAGGAATAAAGCCATTTGGAGTGTTAGAGAAAGCATCAACATATTTTGATGAGTATTCACTCCTTTGAGGCTTAGTGTGTCGTTTGGGTGTTATTCCATCAAAGTACTCTCTCGTCTCTGCCTCTATCTTTGCCTCTTCCTCTTTTGACAAGTGAATGTCACTCCTATTAGGCATCTTGTTACATCTCTCCATTTTTCTCTTCTCTTCTCTTCTCTTGATCTTTCTTTTGGGATCGCAATCTCCTTTACTAATACCCCCTTTTATTTTATTTTATTTTCCCAGAGATTTTTCTTTTCTTTTACATGAGGAATTGAATGTGGGGAGATATTTTTGGATTGGCCTTGACTTTTCCAAAGAAAATATCTGAGCAAACCTTATCTTTTCAATTCTATACGTGTCAGTGCTACATAGGTGGGGCAGGCTTGGGACTTTTCTTCTTTTTGCAGTCACTATTAAGGTCCCATGCATTGCCTCAATGGTCGTCTAGATTTTTTTTGTCGACACCTTTTCGAAGTCCTCCTATAGTATGCACTTGAGAACAACTTGAAATCTTAGAGTTTGAAGATAGGGCTGTTCATGGGTTGGGTTGGTGCGGGATATGATTTTTTTTTCTGTCTTAAAGGGTGCGGGTTGCACATATTTAGCCCCAACGATGTTAGAAAACTTTCACAATCCAACGATGTTCGGGTTGGATTGGGGCAGTGCGGGGTGGGTTAGGTGGTCGGTTTCAACATTTAAAAAATCAAAGACTTAAAGTTCAATATAATATTCAAACTTCATCATTAAATAGAAATAGCAACCATCCTTATTAGTCCGGCGAGAGAGCACCGGAGAAAGTGGGCAAGACGGCGGCCGAGAGGACTGAGCAATGAGGAGAGAGTTATGAGGAGGTTCACGTGAGGGGAAGAAGAGGGAAAACTGAAAAGGAAGAGGCAAGAAGAGGGGGTTCATGGGAGGAGAGACCGAGAATGAGATTGTGAACCCTAATGTTAGCGAGCCTAGGGGAGAACTTGGGCAGTTCGGCTTGGGCCGAAAGCTTAGGGGTATGTTGTGCGGGTTGGGTTGGGGATTACGAGTTGTTATGGGCCCAACCCGCAATCCGCCTCAAACACTTCGGGCCAGAGGTATAATGAGCCGCAAATTTAAAAATAATGCTGCAGGTTATTTTTTTCAGCTTGAATTGGGACGGGGTGGGTTGAGTTTACGGGTCGTTCAGATTTATGAACAGCCCTATTTGAAGACCGAGCATAAATAATAATGGTTTTCTTTTTTCCTTTTTTTGGCCCCATTGTAGTAAATTAAAGATAAAGATTAGCATGAAAAAACTAAATAAATCCATAAAGGTACAGGGAAGTCTTGAGCTCTTTTATCTACGTCACCATATGCAAAACTATTCTAAAAATAGAGTAATGTTTATAACCGTAAGATCTATATAAATTTTGTCAATATTTTTTGTATACTTCTTTATTTTGATGCGATTTTGAGAATATCAATAACGTTTAGAAACGTACACTAATAACATAAATATCTTCACTATAAAAGCTCTTTCAAAATGCCCGCAACATTTATGTCAAAGTTTAGCCAAACTATTAGTAGATAGGTCTGATTTTTTATCATTTATTTTTGATTAATACTCTTTTAATTAATATAATTATTTGACGAAAAAAGATATTAATTAAAAATAAAAAATAAAAATCTAAATTTATACATTTTAAAAGTTTTTTTTGTCTCTTTCGTAATAATGTTTAGGAGCTTTCTACGTGTATCTATATAGTGAGATTGAATATAGCGAAAGATCAACCATTGCTACACATTTTTCTTTATTTTGTGTGGCGGGCTATAGCTAATTAGTTTTCCCGTCTAGCACCATTAGAACGGTTTTTATGTTTCCTCAAATTTTATTGAAAATTTATGTAATTATACTTGATGGAAAAATTTGAGAAAGAAAAAAAATAAAGTTAAGGTGGGGCAAGCTATTTGAGATTTTCTTCCTTCTGTAGTAATATTAGTTACGCCCCCATGCCCTGCCTCGATCATACATGCATGCCTATATTTGCACCGTCTAGATTTTTTATGTTCACTTTCTCACGTTGTAAACTGTACACTTTCGAACAACATGATGCCAAGTCTTTATAATTTTTTTCCTTCTTTTTCTCAAATTGAAATTTCTTAAGAGTTTGTAAATCGAGTATCAACGATTATGGTTTTTTGTATTGTATTTAATAAATTAAATGAAGATATATTTTCTTTTAACAAGATAAGAGATTCCAACTCAAAACCTCAATATATATCTCAAAAAAAAAAAAAAAAAAAAAAGAAAGGAAAGTCTCGAGCTCTACGTTATTTTCAAGAAACGCCTGCAACATGTGTTTTCAAGTTTAGCCAAGTCAATTAGCCTATTTGTCTTTTCAATTGTATTTGAGATCAGTGGCGGATTTAAGTAGAGTTTAACGGGGGGTTACCGCCTCCATTTAAATTTTTTTGAAAAAAATATTACCTTTAAAAATTTTAAAATTTTACACTTAAACTGCTACTGAAATAATATATGTACCCACTAAAATGAATATATTTTCTTAATGCTCCACTAAAATAATTTGTTAAAAAAATTTAATGTACGCCCTTACTGAAGTGAAAGACCGGCTCTGTTGGGATAATTAGATGCAAAACAAAAAGGCTTCGTTATAATCTTCTTTGATGCAATGATGAAGAATACTTTGTCCTAATTTTGGTACGACTAAACTAATCATTTTATAGAAGGTAACAGGGCCTGCGGGATTGGCGTTTTTCGCTCTGTCGGGTGTGCGGCTGGGGCAGGGCAACGACGAGCAGGACTTGCGGCTGCTAAGGTGAGGCTACGAGGAGGCACTCACGGTGGGTTTGGAAATGACAACGGTTGCTGGGGCAAGGCAGTTGCTATAGCTTATTTCCACGCTCTTATATCTTTGTTACTCCAAGAAAAAAATACAAACTCATTATAGACACTTCTTTTCATTACCACTTGTACATGTACTTAATGAATGGATTCTTTAAACATGTTTAAGTATATAACTATAACATGTGCTACATAAGAAATAAAGATTACCAGTGAGCCCATAATTCCTATCCGAACTAGTCCTCCCCCAACCCCCTCTCTATGCCATTAGACCAAAGGGTCCTGGGAAAGAAGTTGATTTTGGAAGGATTGAGGTTCGATCTTTCAAGTATATTACTCAAGTACCCTACATTCTATAATTTCTCGTATAAATGGTCTAGCGTTAAATAAATTCCTTGGAACATATCAAAGACATCAATTTCTAGAAAAAAAAAAAAGAAGAAAAAACACAATTATCAGAGATATCATAATTTGGAAATAAAAAGAAATATTAGGGCATTATTAAATTCACGAATTTGAGTTTTTAAATCGAGTTGAGATGTGATTTTATATGAGAGCTTTTTCCTGTAGTAAAAAAAAAAAAAAAAAGATATAACTTTTAATAAGAGTTTTTAACTATAACAAAATTAAAATTAAAAATTCGAATCAGTGAAATGAACTGGACTTAGAATTTTATAGTAATGGTCGGGGATATACATCATATCATAATCATAATTCGCTAAAATGCCAACCTTCTTTGATATTCCATACGTACATCAATTATGCATATATAATTGTTACCCTCCAAAATCCAAATTAGTCCAAACGCTTGTGCCAAAACCGCGAAAGCGCGTGCCCACCCACAACAAGCTGTCTCTAGATTTGTGCGTTTGTCGTAACGAGTCGTCAACGACGAAAACTTATAAGCATACAATTACCATGCATGCACATGTATTTCTGACCGCCAACGATCAAATCCTACTAAGAGCGGATCCCCTGTTCTATATATACAAAAAACACTGCTCAGAAGTATATACATATAGATATGGTACATGCATACATACATACACACACACATATATAAAGTATACGCTGTAAACAACAGCGTCCGTGCTTATAATTTGATTGAAAAGAATGGCATTTTTCTCCTCACTATCTTACATGAAGAAATGTTTGTAGAAAGTGACGGGGGGCCAAAGTCTTGCCAGCTGCTTTAGGAAGTTGTCGTGTGTATATATTTAGTATGAATTTGAGATTCGTCTCAATTTTGCTTCAACTTTTAAGTACACTTTGCAATTGATCAAATTTTTTGTTGGAATTGTTGAAAATAAATTATAGTCCATATGTGCATTGAAGCATGTGGAATGTGGGTTACCTCGAGATGATGCCTGTTGGCTGTCGGAACGCTGCCGGAAAATCACGGGAGAAGGGGAGAGCTTAGGTTCTCTGAGCTCCTCTCTCTCTCTCTCTCTCCCTCTCCAAACGTTAGGCCCCGACAAAATCGCCCACACAACCACACCAAAAAACAAAAGACTGTGCTGCCTATATAAAACGAAATAGGACTATTGGGCTTTAACCAATATTCAATTAGAGATATTACGAGACAAAAGGAAGTTTATGAGTCTCAAGTTAGTTATCAAAACGAGTGTCTATCACATTATGGATCAATTTTTAAGATATATGAATAATTAAATTCTCAACAACAATGTTATCCATAACATGCTTTAATTCATAATAAAGCGAATTATTATGATTACAAAAATCCACATAAAAATATTTCAACAAGAATCTGTGTAGGAATCTGTTTGGGAGCACTACTTATCAGTCATCACTCGATTAGCAAAATCAAATTAGATCTAGCCGCGTATAAATCACTACTTTTTAATTGCAACATTAATATTGAAGTTTCTTTTCAATATTAATGGTAATTCTAACTTAGGATAATATATGTTGGTTATAGGATTTAGTCCGAGTAAAAGTCATATTATATTAGCAACAACTCTTTCATAATTCATATAATACTAATTCATGATTTTCTTATGTTATATATATGTACAATTTTCAAAAACTACATAAAAGAATGCTTCATTTATTATTATTTTTTTTTAGGAAAAGAAGACGAATGCTTTAATAATTGAACTAAGAAACAATATTGCGGCTAAATGCAAATGGTCATATATACCTGGCCATATTTTTCTTCTCCATATATTGACTGTATATATATATTCATGAGTTTGTTACTGGCCGATACAAAAATATATATAGTCAGAAGTAGAAATATAAACACGTTAATTGATTCCATAATTATTCAGAAAAAAGTTATTGCTTCCAGATCCAGTACACGTTTCGAAACAAAATATCAGTAATCTAACCCGTTTGTTTCGCAAATTTATATCAAAATTCAAATCTTTTTTCTAAATATATATTCCCTCTTACAAAACAGTACATGAATTTCTGTTTATTAATAATCTATAAACCAAGTGCGTTCAACTATAGGAGAAGAACAACCAATATAGAGATACAAATTCATCAGTAAACTAACAACAACTACTTATATATACAAACAACTATTTGGATAAATTCAATTGATCAGTTATGAATCAAAATTAATTGATCATAAAATACCTTCTAGCAAAAAGAAAGGGAAAAAAAAGAAAGAAAAGAAAGAAAGAAAGAAAACTACTACATATGCAAACTGTGGTGAAGACTAGAAAGTGATCTTGCTTTCTTGTTAAAAAAAAAAAAAAAAAAGATTCGAGTGATGGTGATGTGGCCTAAGGCAAGCACTAGCTAGAGAGTAGAGAGCTACTATATATCTGTTTCTTCTATTTGTGCCAATATCCCACGTGGTCCATGTCGGAGAAGGATCAAACCCTCCAAATACCTCCGCCAAACTTTGAAAGCTAGGACCCCTATAGCCCTACACGTTATATATATATATATATATATATATATTGCATACTCTTCTTGAAATATCCTTTTCATTTCTCTCTAGCTATCTTCTGCAGATATATATATATATATATGCATATATGCATATGTAATATATAATATTATACATGATATAGAGTTTTATATAGATCATCTATAATATTATACATGTGTACAAATATCATACAATTATAAAGATCTTCGCAATTCGCTTGGCTGTTTGTACGCCGCGCATGCATGTTACCTTTTTATATGTACTTTTTCTCTCATGAATTCATTATTCATAATGGAACTATACGGTGATTATGACATAATTATATATCTATATATACATGTGTATGTATGTATGATGTAGTTCTTCTCCCCACATGCAAGGGGTTATTAATTTCTAGCTAGCTAGGGTAGCTATTAACCACTCGTCTTACAGTAAATATACAGAAGAATACTTACAAAAGAATAAAAGCAACAAATTATTAACGAGCTCTCTCTCTCTCTCTCTCTCTCTTTCCCTTGATCCCACATGATCAGAATTAATCAATGGATTTCGTTTGCATCTGACGGCAAATGTATTGGAGGGTCAGGGACCCAATCTTTTGCCGGGCGGTCTTTTTCTATGTCTTTTTTTTTTTTCTTCATGACCAAATTACTACGTGGAATTCTGTAGGAACGTTATTTCTTTTCGTTTTTTTCCTACTTTTATTTTTCTTTTCTTTTTTATCAACAAACTACGTGGAGTGGTGTAGGAACGTTTATTTTCGTTTATTTTTCATTTTTCACGATCACGACCAAACTTAGTGGAATTTTACTGTAGGAACGTTTATCATGCTTGAAGCCTATAAATAGTCGTGCTGTCTTTGTATCATTCATCAACTTTCCAAAGTTGTCGTAACAGGATCTATCTCTCTCTCTCGGAGTAAATTCGAAACAATGTTTCAGAATATCCTATTTTGTTCCTCTAGTGTTGAAAGGTAATCAACATGTTTTCTTGGTTGTTTTACGAGTTATATATATATATTTCTGTGTTCTTTTGAGAGGCTACCTTAGATAATATATATATATATATATACATACATACATGACCCTTATATATGTGTGTGTTGTGATCACATGCTACTTAAGTTGATCATCATATGCTACACATACAACTTTTTATTTTTTCTGATCACACATATAACTTGCGCATTCCAAAGGATATCTGTTCCTCATAAATTTTCCCCAGTTCGTACGTAGACTTCTCTTTTCTATGTTTTTTACTGCCCTTATTCTCTTTGGTAGCCTATTGATGAAGGCTATTCAGCCGTTTAATTTATTGATTCGAATTTTTAATTTGAATTAGAATGTGATTTTATTATAATAAAAAAATTAAATGTAATTATTTTTAAAAAAATTTTATTTTAATAAAATTTAAATTCTAAACTCAAATCAGTATAATAAACAGAATCTATATGAACGTACATTTAAAACTCTCTTGATTGTTAAAAATATAAAATAATCTAGTCAAAATAGTAGTGTTTAAACCCGATCATAATAAAGCACACGATCGAATTTTGTAAAGCTTAGCTTATCATCTAGCAATTGCAAAGTACAACATAAACAGTGGAAAGTCATCATGAAGGACGTCCATCTTGACTTTTGATGGTCCACTTAACAATCAATTACCTTAAAAAACAAAACAAAACAATAAAAAAGCTTGGGCATTCTCGTAAACCCAATTCTTTGTTGTACAAGTGTTTGTCCGCAAATATATTATTATATAATTGGTTTTTTCAGGGTATTGATGCAGGAATTTTTTTTTTTTTTATAGACATCTCTGTTAATAATATTAATTTTTAATTTTTAAATATAATTAAAATCACATTAAATTAAAAAATATATAAAATAAATAAATTTTTATTTTTAATTTTTAAATATAATTAAAATCATATCAAATTAAAAAATATATAACAAAAATAAATTTTTAATGTAGATAACGATTGAAAAATAAAAAACACTTATAATTTTTTTTTTTTATCTCAGTAAAATACTCTTAAAATATATTACGGGCTTTCTTCCGAATAGGAAAACTTTTAAAATATCCCCTCCCATAACTATACTATTCACACCTCACCGGCTCACCCCCACACTGGCTTTTGAGAGAAGAGAGAAAAAAAAAAACCCACAACTGGAGTTTACTGGTCAACATTATTATTACAAATTTACTAGTATTGGAATCGTTAACAGTGGTTTTTGGGTGATTGTCACAGGAAGACGAAGAAGAAGAAGGCTGATGCCACGTGGAGGAATCTGGAAATAGGACTCGGCGATCCCCAGTTCCCGCAGTACTCCGTTCCGTTCTACGGGAGTCCCTTGGGAAAGCAAACAAAATTGTCGCTGCGCTCCGACTACAGTCACAGGTCTGTCACGCTAGCAACTACCAACAATTTTCGTATTTATTCATGCGGCCATAAAAATAAAGGATATTTAGTTTATAAATTAAAATTATATGATTAAAATTATTTTTAATTTATATATATTTTTACGAGAGAATTAATAGTTTGAATCAAATTTTATAAGAATTCGTTTGGTTGGAGGATTCAAACCATGTGATTCGAATCATTTTTGATTTATGTGTATTTTTTGTGAGAGAAAATACTGTAGCGAACCACGAATCATGATTCGAATCAGGGAACGAATCCCTCTACCAAACGCATCTTAAATGTTCTAAGCCGTAGTGGCATTATCGTTAATATGCGTACCTTTATGGGCATACTCTGACAGCGGTTCGGTGAAAGAGACAAGAGATCAATGCTAACTCGCTCACTGAGTGACTCACTAGCTAACCCATAAACCGGTACCGAGTTAAATCTGATCTTCTATTTCTGTCCCAGTAGTTTCAGAGGCGGAAGCTTCAAGGCTGCGAAGAAGAAAGGGGAAATAATGAGCAAGGTCTCGAATTTCTCCGATCTAATTCAACGAGTCGCGGCGTCTTGCCTGCTCCATCCGCTCGCCGCAGAGAGGTACGACTCCGGCGACGGCGCCAGGAATCGCGACGCCGATGAGGTGTACGAGTACGAAACGGACGAGAACGAAGAAGAGGAAGAGGAGGAAGAGGAAGAGGAAGATGAGGGACAGAGTCGAGTGGGATATTGCAGAGCGAAGGAGGTGGAGCCGAAGGAGACGATAATGGTGGAGGTTTTTGAGGCGGTGGCGGCGATGAAGAAGGCGTACGTGAGGTTGCAGGAGGCGCATTGTCCATGGGACGCGGAGAAGATGAGGGCGGCGGACGAGGCGGTGGTGGCGGAGATGAGGAAGATCGCCGTGCTGAGAGAGAGGTGGAGGAGGATTAATGTTTGTGGCGGCGGCGGCGGAAGAGGGAGAGGAGGAATGGTGATGTCGTCGGCGGCGACGGTGAGGGAGGTGGTGGCGCCGTACGAGGCGGCGGTGGAGGAGCTGAGGAGGGAGGTGAAGGCGAGGGAGCTCGAGGTTGAGAATCTCAAGGAGAAGCTCAAGAGCGTCGGAGAATCTGAAGAGCTTCGCCGTTCTCTCCGCCGGAGGCGGCACCGGAGGAGGGAAGAAGGGCAGGTCTCCGTCGAGGAAGAAAGTCAGCTGTAGTCAATCTCAAGGTACTGTTTCCGTTTTGAAATGACGATCTTGCCCTTCAATCTTTTGATAGTTTATGACTTGTGTGGTACTTTCACTTGCCTGGTTCTGACATGGCAAGCAATTATTGGTCCGAATCCTTTGACCGAAAATTCCACCTTTATCCAAGAAAAAAGAAATTTAAAAAAAAAAAAAAGCTACTTTCTGGTTCTGTTATGAAAGGAAAGGAAATCTAATAAGCCATTATAGTGGATTACTTTTCGTTTTCAATATATATAAAGTCAGCCCTAAAAAGTTGCTTATTCCTCTTTTTAATTATGTTTTTACTCAATTTGACATAAATTAGTGTTTTTAGATATAATACAAACATCATGATTAGCTATATGATCAGTACTTCTAACATATATATGTAAATACAGTTGCACCATCGCCATCACCGGAGCTATACGAGGCGGCAATGAGCAAAGTAAACGACGCACTAAGATCCTTCACGTCCCTTCTTCTCTCCTTAATGAGGTCCGCCCATTGGGACATAGGCGCCGCCGTCCGCTCCATCGAAGCCGCCTCCATGGCGGCCGATAACCCAACAGCCAGTGTCGGAACCATAACCACAACCTCCTCGCCGATAACCGCCCAGCACGCTAAGTACGCCCTGGAGTCCTACGTTTCACGTAAGGTCTTCCAGGGGTTCGACCACGAGACATTCTACATGGACGGAAGCCTCTCGTCGCTGCTCAACCCCGAGCAGTTCCGCCGCGACTGCTTCACCCAGTACCGTGACATGAAGGCCATGGACCCCTCCGAGCTTCTCGGGATTCTGCCCACGTGTCACTTCGGGAAATTCTCATCCAAGAAGTACCTGGCCGTGGTTCATCCCAAGATGGAGGAGTCGTTGTTCGGGGACTTGGAGCAGCACCGCCAGGTCGTGGCTGGGAACCACCCGAGGAGTCAGTTCTACGGACAGTTCTTGGAGCTGGCCAAGGCCGTCTGGCTTCTGCATCTGTTGGCATTCTCGCTCGGCCCGGTTCCGAGCCTGTTTGAGGCCAGCCGAGGGGCTGAGTTTCACCCTCAGTACATGGAGAGTGTCGTGAAGTTCCCCGGCGGGAGGATGCCATCGAGTATGGTGGTGGGGTTGCCGGTGAGTCCCGGGTTCAAGCTGTGGAATGGGGCGGTTATCAAGGCCCGGGTTTACTTGGTGTCGAGGAGTTGAGGCGCTTACTCAATTGTGATGATATGTATGTTAGTGAGGAATGAGGATCTTGTGTTGTTGTGTTTGAGGTGAAAGTGGGCAACATATATTAGGACTGGGAAGCAAGTAAAATAGTTGATTTTGTAATCTCTAAGTAGTAATGGTTTGTTGATGTTTTATATCAGGAGGGAAAACAAAAAAAAAGGTTTTGTTTATGTTGAGATGTGCATTTTAATGGCATTCTCAAACTTCCTATCATGGTCAAGTTCAGGGTAAAACTTTAATAGTACTTCTTGAATCTGATATTGATTATGAAACCATACTTGGAAAAGACGCATGTTGAGGTGATCAGAGCGTTCTTAAAAGCTTCAACAATCGATTATTTTAATATAGCATAATGCATTTTCGTTTAGATGATAATACTACTAATACAATTCGATTTGAAAGTGTTCATCTTTGGCACGCCAGTTGTCAAGAAATCCCAATGTCTTGCTCTTGCACAAGGAAACCCGGTTGACAAGTCGACACCAGTTCTTGAAATCAAGGCTTATTCATTCAAATAATGATGTGGAATACAAGTCAATGTCAGTCCAAATGGACGTATAGCAGCTTGTGTTCCTACAAACGGGTATATCATAGTAATGGCTAATAACTCTATTTTTTTTTTTTTTTTTATATAAGACGTAACCACATTCTACGTAAGAATCTGTAGTAGAAGAGAACAATAGAATAGAAGGCCCAATAATCTCTCGAGGGGAAAAAATGATAGTATCATATCTGCAAAACCATTATCAGGTCCAGATTTATGCCGACCCTGTTACAAATTTCTTCGTCTGTCGTGAAAAAGTGTGAAAGAGCAATTAGATATTATAATAAGCAGTTTAGCAAACACACGCAAAAAGCATCTAAAAACCTGCAACATGGTTAATAAATTGCTATCTTACTTGCTCAAGCGTGAGAAACATAATCACATTCCAAGATCCAAGCCGACCCACGTTTGGAAGGAAACCTTTGTAAAAGGCAAAAAATCCCTGCAATATAGTTGCAATCAGAACAAGATAATTGATACTTGGTCATTTCATGAAAACACGTTCAATCATTTATTGAAATACAGTCGAGAAAACTTATACAAGGAACGAGAAGATCGGCAAGAGGAAAGCAGCAGGTATGGTCACTTATAGGAATTCATCTCCTATGACTGCATAATGAAATGAATGAACATACCTCAGTCTTCAAAGTCTTGATGAAACATTCAAGCGTGTTTTTATAAGTTGAATCTCCCATCATCCTTGATTTCACCTAGAACATATAAGACAAGATAGTAAACCAATATTCCTCCCCATCAAACTATAACAAACCGCTTCACATGAAACAAAACCATCATCACTAATGTTGCTAAACCCTTTACTGGCACGCCACTATAGTTAGTTGCTTGTATTTTCTACCACCGATGCACCAGTATCACTTTATACACCCTCACAGGTTGGCAAGACTTATTTTTCAGAAAAGGAAATTACTAAGTGGTGAAACAATGCGTACCACATCAACAGGAGAACCAATACAGACTGCAAATAAACCTGCACCTAGACCAGCTAGGAGGTGAGTGAAAATACTGTCCGTGAACCCTGGAATTTTCAAAATCGTCTGCATAAGTATAACGAATCAGGATACAATGTGATTAACACCCTAGACATAACAAGTTATCCATAAGTTACAGATTGTCATGTAACTTCAATTTAAAAGAAGGCATCGTTACCTGCTTCACTTGGTCGTAACTCGCCAGCTCAGCAGCATTAATAATAGCATTTCGAGCTAAATTTGGCCCCAGTCCAGTCCATAGGGCCCCTAATCCTTCCTGCGTTTAATGAAGGAAGAAAATGAGTCACAGTCTTTTAGGAAAATAAGAAAACAAGTATGAAAAGACAATAGTACAATACTCGCATCTCATGGGGAAACTAACCTGTCTCACTATAGTGAAATAAGCGTTTAAAGCTCCAGAATAACGCCTGGGCACCCCGGGGGGCAATTTCCCTTCAGCTTGAAGTCGAACTTTCACAAGGTCCGTCGGGTTTGCCACTGCGATTGCCAGAGCACCTATTTTGATTCAAAAGATGAAAATTCAAATTATTATGATGTTTACAGCATTCTAACCTGTCAATTCAAGGCAAGGACAAGGAAAATAGAAAAAAACATGATGGGGGCACCTTCACATGCGTAACATATGATGTTGGTGCAAGGTTGTTTGATACCATACTAACCAGTTATCAGAGCAGCAAGTATTTTATAGTACAAAGGAATATCCCCAACAAAAGCACTGCCGACAAAGAAAGTTTTGACCTGTTCAAATGCAATTTGCAGTTGCATACAATGTGTCACAACTCACAATCAATCTACTATCGTACTACTCAACTCATGGAAGGATTTTTTTTTTATTTTTTTTTTTATTTTTCCCATAACTCACAGGATCATATAGGCCAATCCTTAAGCCTCCATAAAGACATTGGCGTTGTAACCCTGGAACAATACCCTTCCAGAGTGCTGATAGACCCTCTTCCCTCGCAATTGTAACAACAGTACCCAACAAGCCCTTGTACTTAGGCACGGTTGTCCCATCCGCCACACCTGCTTTCCTTTGGAGCTGTAGTCTTACTTTAGCAGTGTCCAAAGGAATGGTGCAAAACTGAAAGTTTCAATGTACATAAAAATACTTAAAACAGATCATCCTTGATAAGGCATAATAATGACACTCTAGCTAAGGGGCAAATTAAATGCAACTCAAATCAGAGAGTTGAGACCCTGCAACGCTGTTAAATAAAAGTTTTTGAACCAAATAAGGTGACAAGTGAATTATCATTTCTCAATTAGTGAACCCGCTCATAAAGTATTACATCTTACCAATAAAAAAATTAACAACTCATTACTGATAATTTGGAATGGCTAGCATAATCCTTTTTGTAAAAACAATAAATGAAGATTTAGGGAAACTTTCCAAATTTGTCTTTAATCATTGACCAAAAGAAAAGTTTATTGCAAAATTACACCGAAGAAGTCTGCACTTTCGGAATCCAGAGAAATGAGTAACGCAAATTTGCAAGTATTGTTCTTATCCATAGTGTATTACTCTCATAAACTAATTCGGAGAAAGTATATCTAGTTACGTACAAGAAAAACTCCAACATTATTCTAATCAAATCAGTGACCAAAACAGAGAAACGGCATCAGAGAAATTAGCGCAGATTAAGGAAAAACTTGGACGTACCTCCGCGAAACAGGCAGCGAAAGCACTGCACAAGAAGGTTTCGGCGAATGAGATCTCAAACCTGGGCCCGAGATCCGCCATGAGAGAGCGCAAAAAGGACAGGTCAGACGAACTGATTGGGGAAAATGAATATGGAAATTTGGGGTTTAAGAATGGGGCTAATGAAAAGGGGTTTTATAGAGAGCGTGGAAATGAGTGATTAAGAATGAAAGGTGCTTGGAAAAACGTGTTCATCGACCACCATTGAAGAAATGAAGCATTGCAATGGGTTTTGGTTTTGTTTCGTTTTTTGGTTTTTTTTTTTTTTTACACACCTGATGGTTTGAGGTAGTTGTCCGTATCAGTTCCATTTTATTTTCCTTTTTATGAGTTGGTGGGTTCTATTATAATTAGTTTAATTTACAGGGACGTCTCATGAGAGATGTTTAATTTATAGATTAGAATAATGTGATTATAATTATTTTTGATTTATGTGTATTTTTATGAGAGAAAATATTATAACAAATCACAAATCATGATTTAAATCATGGTTTGAATTCTATGAATTAGAATAATGTGATTATAATTATTTTTGATTTATGTGTATTTTTATGAGAGAAAATATTATAACAAATCATAAATCATAATTTAAATCATGGTTTGAATTCTCTAATTCCAACCGTCAATTTATTTTTTTATAATTAATTAATTCTTTTTCTTTTTCAGTTTAATTTATACGTACCTACCCATGATTTAAGTTTCTTCGCACATTTGACGTGCCATGATATTTTATTGTTGGAGAATATCTGAATCCTACTGTCGTTTTAGGGACAGACGACGACATTTTTGTAATCCGAAATATTACTGTCGTTTAGGTGCAGACGACTCAATTTTTGGTGTTTTTACTCGTAAAAACACGTTTCATATTGATTTTCAAAAAATAAAAAATAAAATGAAATGAATTTAGTGATTTAAAAAAAAAAAGAACTGTAGTGTTGCGTAACCATCGTTTACTTTGATTTGTTAGAGAACGACATTACGTTTAAAGTTGGTTGTACTATATGCCAGAAAAATGACGTATTGATTTTTCTTTTAAATTTTGATGTCGTTTACTTAACTACATTTCGTGCTCTTTGAAATTCAGTATAAACGAAACAAAATGAATAGTTCTACTCGAAAAAAAAAGGAAACAATGAATCGTTTTTCTTTTAGAACGATATTTGTGTTTTTAATGTTTCACAGTTAACATGACGGTCATTTTGTTACAATTCATGTCCCGTATTTGAAAGATTGTGTCAATTTATGTCTACAAAACAACAAGTGGATTCTCGTTTTAAAATTGATGTCGTTGGCTCGTTATATAAAAAAAAAGAGCATGTCATTGATGTTGTAGCCTGAAACCGCGCTCGTTTGTTTTATAAAAAGTTGTGTCGTTTTGTTGTTATAAAGCATAATATCTTTTATAGTTTAAAGTTCTCTGATCGTTTTAGTGTTGTTTTCTGTCGTTAATTCATAACTTTGTGTCATTTATCCTCAAAAAATTTTACTGTCGTTTATTACAGAAAAACGACACATTGTTTTTACTTCAGGATGTGATGTCGTTTAGGCCAGCCAAATGTTGTCCTAAGTTAAGAACTTTCCTTTCTCGTTACATGTCGTTTGTTTCATAAGACTCGTGTGTTTTTCCATTGCTACCCTCATTGAGGGCATAGAAGGGTCGAGATATTCCGCCCCCCGCCCTTTTTTTTTTTTTTTTTTTTTTGCTGCAAAGTCGAGATATTCCCATTTGAGGGCATTCCATAATCACTCTAACTTCCACCGTGAAATGTTAATCGTCATTGATATTTTTGGTAAGTTATAAACAAAAAAGAAAAGTGAATCATTTTTAACTCAATCTAAATTCAATGCTACCACAAAATAGACCAAAATCCAACAAAATACATAGAGAGCGATACTAGGATTAAAGTGAATGCTATATATTATTTTAAATTAAATAATAACATGTATCTTGAAATATGTATGGGAAGGGGTTGAGACCGTAGTGTGTTCCCCATTTGCTCTTTGTACCATCGCCGTCTCGAATTTTATTAGTATCTATTTCCGCCCCAAACTTTGTTAGGACATAATTTCCCGTCTTTGTTTTGTCCTGACGAGAAAAAAGCCATCCTTAATCTAAATTTTGATGCAATTGAAGGAGAACGTTTTGAGTGCGTTTGGAACTCGTTTCAAAATAATTTTATTTTTTATATGAAAATGGAAATGAAAACATTTTCAATCTTAGATAGAAATCATTTTTGAAAATGCATTTAGTAGTTTTATCAAAAGATTGTTTTCAGTATAAAAAAAATTCATTAATGTCTCCATCTCTCTACTCGAGAGAGGAGAAAATAAAAACAAAAAATGAAAAACGACTAAAAATCGTTTTTCATTTATCTCCAATTATATATTAAACTAAAAAATCATTTTCATTTTCGTTTTGTGACTTTAATTGTGCCAAATGACGTTTCTTTCCCATTTTCATTTTTTTTCCTCAGAAAACGTGAAAAGCCTTTGGTTGTGTTTTTTATTTAGGTTCATGAGATGATAGATGTTCACTATTGAATAAGAACACCTTTCCCACGTGGAACCCATCAAGTGCTAAAGTGCAGGAATCAAACAATAGAACGGTCGCAGGCAATCCCAGCCAGCAAATTGCCCCCAAAACGCGTGGCGGGAAATAAATTAGGGCAAAATCCCGCCAATCTTTTCAAAGACACATTTCCATCCTCCACTATTTATACCAACCCGACGAAACCGAACCGACACAAACCGCTCTCCATTTTCCCTCCCTTTTCAAAACCCTAACCCTAGAAAGCTTCAGAAGAAGCTCGCGGCAAATCGGACAGATCCGGAGAAGAAGAGCCGAAGAAGAAGAATATGTTGGAGCTACGGCTTGTGCAGGGTTCGCTTCTAAAGAAGGTTATGGAGGCCCTCAAGGACCTCGTCAATGACGCAAACTTCGACTGCTCGGCCACCGGGTTCTCGCTGCAGGCCATGGATTCCAGCCATGTCGCGCTCGTGGCGCTGCTGCTCAGATCGGAGGGCTTCGAGCACTACCGCTGCGATCGGAACCTCTCGATGGGGATGAACCTCGGTAATATGTCCAAGATGCTCAAGTGTGCCGGAAACGACGATATCATCACTATCAAGGCCGACGATGGAAGTGATACTGTCACTTTCATGTTCGAAAGTCCCAGTATGTTCTCTTTTTCTTTTGTTTTTTGTTTTTTTTGAGAATTAAGACGTTTGGAAGTGTTTGGGTGTATTTGCACTTTTTCCTTCCGTGGTGAAATTGGCCTTTTTTTTTTTATTTTATCGCATTATTTTCAAGGTTTTTTTTTTTTGGTGGATCTGGGGATGCTTTGTTTGAATTAAGTGGCTGTTAGTACGTATTTCACTTGGACGTTGGATTTTTTTTTTTTTTGGGAAACTATGTTCTGGTTTGTTGAAGACGTAAAATTTCAGGATGTGAGGGCTAGTGGAAATGAATTTAACATTTAAGCATGTTCTGGTAATTTTGGTTTTAGTTTTGCTTTTGAGTCGAGAAAGTAACATAAAAGAACAAGATTCGGTCAATTGTAGAGGAATTTATGCTGTTTTTGATTTTTGGCTCTTTTGACTAATTGGAAATTTCAGTTTTAACTGTGAATAAAGATGAATGTAGTCCATTTACTAAAGATGATTGGACTACAGGTTATCCAATTCATGAAAGAACTTTCAGTTTTAACTGTAAATAAAGATGTTGGGTGGTTACGTGAATTTGGTAGTCCATTTAGTAAAGATGATTGTACTACTGGGTTATCCAATTCATGCTTATTGTTTTTGTTTGTCTTTCATCTGGGTAATTGATTATAGCTCAAGATAAAATTGCGGACTTTGAGATGAAGCTAATGGACATTGATAGCGAGCACCTTGGAATTCCGGAAGCTGAATATCATGCTATTGTTAGGATGCCTTCAGCTGAGTTTGCTAGAATATGCAAAGATCTCAGCAGCATTGGTGATACTGGTACTTCCTAAAATCTTTTCTGCAGATTTCAATCTCTTTAAAACCTTGCTGGTTTATTCATTCATGGATATTGTGTTTGCTGTGCAGTTGTCATCTCTGTTACTAAGGAAGGCGTGAAGTTCTCGACAAGAGGTGATATTGGTACTGCTAACATAGTTTGCAGACAAAATACTACAGTAGATAAGGTATTGTTAATTTAATTCAATTGTTCTATCACATCATCTTTGTTAAAGTATATTTTGGGGATTCAGTTCTTTTCTATAGTTTTTCTCCATTAAAGCACACCATGTTGCTCATGTAGTTTTCTCTTATTTGTGGGAATTGCAGCCAGAAGAAGCGACAATTATAGAGATGAATGAACCAGTTTCTCTAACATTTGCTCTGAGGTACATGAACTCCTTTACGAAGGCGACCCCATTGTCAAACACTGTTACGATCAGCTTGTCTTCAGAATTGCCTGTTGTGGTTGAGTACAAGATTGCAGAGATGGGCTATGTCAGGTTCTACTTGGCTCCTAAGATTGAAGAGGATGAAGACGAGACAAAGTGAGTTTAAGCACTATGCCATTTTGGATCACCCAATAGGCTGCTTTCTCATTTACCCTGGTTGTACTGTCTAACGTTCATCTTAGAACTTTTGCTTATATGGCTTAATCAGGGTTGTCATTTAAGCAGTGAAGTAATAGTTTAGATGATTTTCCCAGATCTATTTAGTATTGTTCTTGCTATGTAGTGTAAACAATGTTACTTTTTTATGTTCATTGGTTGTTTGTATATGTTCTTTGGTATTGGCACAATTCAGGTTCTGAACTAACCCGATTTGATGAATCTAGAAGTGAAACTAGATACCGTATCTGCAGTTTGGTAATGCTAAAACGTAAGCATTGTTAAATTTGCAGTTTGGTAGTGCTCAAAACCTTTGATGAAGTAACCAATCCCTCTAGTGTGACCACTCAACACTTAGGTTTGATTAGTTTATGCGTTTAAATCAGTAATTTTTAATTTTAACACGTGAAATTTAAATTTGAGGGAAAAATATTATAGTACGATCAAAACATGAGCTTAAACGCAACAAACGAGTCAAATAATTGACTGGGTGATTTGTTCAGTACTCTTTGGGTAAACTTTCCTTAAAAACAGTATTGGGGAGTGTGGTCTTTAAAATCTCATTCTCAGAGAGTTCATAAGCGTCCACGAAATTAAACAAGTTTCAATAAAGAAACATTGCTTATAAACTCTGCTCATTATGGAGGTAGACAAGGACAGCTTTCATACGATCTGACATATTAAGTTACCAGAAGCCCGTCTTGGAACTCCATTGGATACCTAGTTCTAAAACCATAATGAAACGAAGTCAGCTGCTTGATAATTTTACAACACTAAAAAGTTATTGAACCATAGTAAATGGTAAAGCTTGATATTTGAATCCATTAGCAAAAAATAATTTCTTCTTTCACTGTCACTTTTCTCAACAATTTCAATAGCTCATGTCCATCTCAAGAACTTTGCAATCTCGGTTACACATCCTTTGATGCTCTCTACACAATCTCATTAAAAAACAGAAAAAAAAGACACTCGAACAACAACAAACGAAGCACCTAGGAAAGAAAAAGAAAAAACGGCAGCAGAAGAATAGTATATGATCTTAAAAATTCTGGGACCCCATTTTGCAAAGTGAAGGTTAATAAAACCAATTACGAGGAAATGATTTGGACTATTGCCTCCAATCTTCACCAGCATAAACTGCATGATCACCAAGCTCTTCTTCAATTCGAAGCAACTGCATGAGATTTTGGTTTGTCAGTCTCATCGTGCCACAAGTTTAACATAAAATCAAATAACACGTCTACCATTTGAGGCATAAGAACCTCAGTGACTGGACTCTGGACATAACATCCCGTGCTTGGACTATTATTAAAATAAATTCCTAAGGACTAGGGTATATATTATTTTTAGCTTTATGTACGAGTCACGACAATAAAGAGAAACGTCTCATATGGCAGCAAACCAAGAACTTGTTTATCATATTGAAACCTCTTTCCTCTCTCCCCCTTTTAATTACAAACTCTTTATTTTTATCTTTTTGTTAAAGAAAAATTTCCTAGTGTTGAGACTAACGAGATCACATTTGGAAAAAGCATAAATCTGGTAGTTAATGAGAATAGTTCTCTTAATTTCTAGAGCATGAGCCGTGTAGGCGTAAACAAAGTTCAAAGTGGACCTGATTGTACTTTGCCAGCCGCTCTCCCCTGCAAGGAGCACCCGCTTTTATCTGACCAGTAGCGAGGCCAACAGATAAATCAGCAATGAAGGAGTCTTCAGTTTCACCACATCTATGAGATGTCACAACTCCCCAGTGGGCATCCTTTGCCAACTTCACTACTTCGATAGCCTCTGTCACCGTCCCAATCTGATTTATCTAAAAATTTAACAATAAAATCCTCAGCATTGAAAAGCCAACGATGGTGATATAAACTATAAATTTCAAATGAGAACATTAGCTTCAGCAGAACAGGGTTTAATACTGTAGTCGCATAGTGAGGTCTTTTGCCACTTAAGAGGGGCTATCCACATAAGTTGCCTCTAATGCACAAGTAATTTCATACAAACTAGAAACAGGATTCCTAAGCAGCATACTATCAGCATTAAATAGTAAGACTTCAATATCCATACTTTTCATCCCAAGATTAGCTAAATACCTTGAGAAGAAGAGCATTGCAAGTGGACTCCTTTATTGCTCGCTCGATACGTTTTGGATTTGACATTAACAAGTCATCCCCTACCACCTGCAAAACCATCCAATCTTGGATGAAATCTAGCCATGTCTAGGTAAAAACCTGAAATTTCAGAGAAGCGTCCACCAAGGCAATGGATTGAGTTATATAAACAAAATAATTTCAGAGTAGCTCAATCACCAAAAAAGTATCAAAATCAAATTTCATAATATATCTAACAATACATAAAAGAGCCAAAGCTCTTATCTATGGGGCTGCTACATCCATTTAGCTCCTTTTTTTCATCATTTCCTTATTTTTTTATCTTTATTTTTTTTTTGTGAATTTTTTCTTTTACATTTTAATTTTGTTGTGTGTGTGTGTGTGTTTTTTTTTAAATATGTTGTTCCTCATTTTACTCTTTTGAGAGTATTTTTTTCCACGTGTTATTATTTTATTTTTGATTGGTTAAAATAATTTTCTTCAAATGTGTCCCTACTTAATATATATATATATTTTTTTTTTTTGTCAATTGTTATCTTTACACATTCTTTTTTAAAATAAATTCACAAATCCTTAAATAGTTAATAAATGAATTTCTCATTATTCAGTAAACAATAAACTCTTCAAGTGTTTCCAATATGGCAATACGTGCGGATCATGTTACAAAACTAGTATCAAGAAAAATTTACCTAAATATAAGCACAAACATAAATTTAATAACTAATATCTAATTGGTCTCATTGGAAGTATCCATATCAGCTTTTACAACCATCCTAAACTTACAGTGGTTTCACGTTGTTTACACGTTAGGTGTGTAGAGATTGCACAAAAAAGGATTATAGCCAAATACCAGTGGCAAGAAGACCAAACAAACCTGACAAAGTCCAAGGCTAGAAAAGTGCTTGATATGTTCCCAATCCTCCTTGTCAAATGGATCCTCAATTGAGACAATTGAGTAGTCTGATAAGACCAAAGAGAGAAATAAGCTAGAAAAATATCTTGGTTGAGGGGTACACATGCAACCCAAATTTTAAAACACGGAGAAAAAGATAATGAAAAGTGGAAACAGAAGTTGTACCAGTACAAAGTTCCTTGTACGTGTCAATCATATCTTCTCCTGACTTAAAATTCTGTCCTGACTTATTCGGAGATTTGAAATCCAGGTCATACTTTGTTCCTAAAAATTGGAGTTAGGAAGCAAAATTTCAGTTCTTAAGAGCACGCTGTGTAAATGGCTAAATGCATAAGACATCCTATGAACCCCAAATTGGGATATTAATGGGGCGTTAGCTGAAGCAATTCAATAGAACAAAACAAGAAAATTACTCATCCCCAGAAATCTGTGCCAAAGAAGTGTGCATCAACTAAATGTACTCCAAATAGATACTCAGTACATGGTGAAATCAAAGTTCGATATATACTAAAGCTTCTATAGGATCTTTTGTAGCAAAAAAATACTTTACCCATACAAAAGTCAGTGGCAGCAGCATCGATCGCTATCTTTATTCTATCGTTGTACCCTGTTCTGCTGATAGCCTCTTTTACGAGATCCAGACCTTCTTTAACACTGCAAATAAATATATACTATAACTAAACAAAAACACAATACAAAATTTCGGAACAAGTTCTGACCTTTCTGCATATGATCATAGTACTTAGCTAACATAAAATCTCTGTTCCACACATTGCAGTGCCGTATCTAAGATATGTTCATCATCTAGATAACCATTTCTTTTAATTTATATTTTTAAAGGTACTATAGAAGGGGGAGATTTGCATAAGATAGAGAAAACGAGGAGCTTTAAAACAACAGTGACACTTGCCTGGAGATGTTTGGAGCAAAACCACCATCTTCACCAACGTTACATCCTTGGGCACCATATTTTTCTGAAATAACAGCCTGTTCTTTTTATTAACAATACAATCAATGATTAAGTGGACGACAGTGGAGTCTGGTTACTAATGTGTAAATTGCTGTAATTCAATGATCCAATCAAGCTGAATACTGATTAGAAAACATATTGAAAATACGATTCTTGTAAATTGGTTGGTCCAAAGTTACCCAACAAATACTATCGCATTCATTCAAAATTAACCATGAGTTTTTGTGTACGAACATCTCAAGAACAACGTAGAAACTTACAAAAAAGCATAAAGTCAATTCAACCTTTTTTTTTAATGAAAAACCCATTAAACTGAACTATAGTAATGAAGAGCAAGTTGATTGATAGGTCCTCTTTTTAATTAGATAACAAGAGGAGAGCTTTATTCATCAAATAAATTTCAAATCTGCATCCACATTATCCAGAGTAAAAAAAACCCAATCATCATTTATTATTGTAAGAAATTGTTAATCCGGAAAGAGACAATTGGTTATTTTGAGGCCGCTACAATATGAGAATATATTACTAGGATCTAGTTCGTTTTCTCCATTATTCCTTTTTCATCATTCAATTTTACCCAATGAAAATTACAATACCGCAAATTGACAAAAATGTTCAATTTTTTCATAAGAACTTCTATCTCACCAGAACCAAAGCATTGAAGGTATTGTGAAGTGCAACAGTTCAGGAGGATAAAATCACCTTCAAGTGATGATAAGTTTCGGAGCCCATCTGCAATGCCTCTTCAAACTTAATTGCTCCAATCGGGAGAATCATGATTTCCTGATAAAATTTCAAATGAAATTACATTATAATTATATATCCCCGTAGTATTATAAATTTCATTTTAAAAGCAAAAGAAAAATCCTGCTGTGGCAGGCATAAGCTTGAATTAATAGGAAGGAGGAAAGAGAGGAAAAACAATGCCTCTATTGATTTTCTTTATACTGAAACTCATGTAAATACAAATTAAAACCTAAACTACAATTTAAAAGTAGAAATGCAAATACGACGTAGGTTTATGTGTTGCGTTGAGTTGACAATTAAGATCACAATTGTTGAATACGACAAAATAGAGATCATTGTTGTTGAAAAGCACACAGCTTAAAATAGCAAACCTGAATGGCTAAATTGTTCCCAGCATGTTTTCCTCCGCTTATAACAGTGAAAGCAGGGACAGGAAGAGTGAGATTGGTTCTTCCAGAAAGAACGGCAATGTGTTTGTATAGTGGAACCTGGTATTGTCCATTTATTAGAATGCCTTATACAAAATAAGGAATTGTACAAGGCAAACTTCATGACATTAATTCCCAAAAAGAAATTTTTTTAAAAAAAAAAAGCTACTAGAAAAAGTCATACCTCCTTTTCTGCAGCGCCAGCTTTGCATGCAGCAATTGACACAGCTAATATGGCATTTGCTCCAAGTTCACCCTGAAAATAACTTTACCTCAGAAACACACTTTTTCATTTTCAAAAGAAAAGCAAAGAAAGATAACTCCTTGCAAGTTGCAAATTGAAATGGAGATGCTTTCAGATTAACCAAAAACATAGAACAATCATTTGATGAACCATGCTGATTACGCCTTAGTTTTGGTTTTGTTGTGCTTTTGGAAGAGTTCTACTTTAGGAGAAGCAGAAACAAAGTCAAAAGTTCCAAAATTTATCTTTTTCAAACAAGTGAAAAAGTGCATTGGTGTCTGAGTACAAAGTACTAAACTGGCCATATGTTAAGAAAAAAGTCCCCTTTCATGTGTTGACTTTCTAGATCATATATAAATGATTGCTAAGTAACCTTTCCTTTTATTCTTAGAGAATTAGTACCGCAAGTTGTTCCCGACATGGAAATTATATCATCCTAAATCTGATGCAACTACGTTCAGACAACAGAAAGCAGCACATGCCAAGAACATAACATATATCTGTAATACTGTTATAACAATATGCTTAGGCATATCTGGGAATATTTCTTAAAAAAAAAAAAAAGTATTGACGATCTTCTAACTATTTCCCAACTATCAAGAAGCAGAGTCAAAGATAATAGCTCATAATATAGAATCACATCCGAAAAGTGATAAATAATACCTTCTTTTCAGTCTTGTCAAGGTCTATCATAGCCTGATCAATCTGAGACTGAAGCGTTGGGTCCATGCCAATCAGCGCTTCAGATATCTTTTCATTAACGTTTTTAACAGCTCTATTAACACTGTTTCCCAGATACATTCCCTTGTCCCCATCGCGCAATTCAACGGCTTCGTACCTGCATTCAGTAATTTATTTCTTCACATGCTAATATCAAACTCTGAAAAGCTCATTACACTACATTAAAAAGGCTCCAAATAGTCAAAAATTTTAAAAACAGCAACACGAATTTCAGCTTTTCCGTTCTTCAGAAGCTAATTTAAATTTGAAGTTCAGTAATCAAACTCAAAAAACGCAAAGAAAAATCAATGTCCCTACGAATCGGCTAAAAACAAAACAACAAATATTAATTTTCTCGGCAATCAATCAAACACCGGAGATAGAAAAATCAGAGGAATTTAAAAAAGAAAAAAGGTGGAAAAATTCATACATTCCAGAAGCATCGCCACTAGGAGCTGAAGCGCGAAACATTCCTTTGTTGGTGTAAAGGTCGACTTCAACCGTCGGAACTCCTCTGCTATCGAGGATCTGCCTAGCTTTCACCTTCGTAATCACGGAAGGAACCGCTTTTCTCAAATGATTCGACTGTATATTCAAATCACGACCACAAGATCAAACACAAAGGGAAATTAGAGACCTCGCACGACTCAAACTGGATTAATTTGATACAAGAAATCAAAAATCTTGATTCCACGGTAAAATTTTGTTTGTTTTCTCGGGAAACAAACAGAAAGGAGGATCAAAGAGGAACATTACGATGAAGAGGACGGGATCGGGAGTCTTGGCCCTGACGGCGGCATTGACGGCGTCTTCGATTTTCCGAGAAAGCATGTGCTTGTCCAGATACTCTTGCACCGACATGTCGTCGCCGTTATGGTCTATCTTCTTCTTCTTCTTCAAGATTTGAAGTTCACGGAGAAGCGACACTCAGTTGTAATAAGACTGGGTTAGCTTTGAGAAAGAAAACGATGTGTATTTCTTCTTATAGTGTTCTCGACGCTCCGAGCTTTCTCAACCCAGGTTCCGGGGTTTTACTCTGTACCGTGGAGGACCTGATATACAAAAACGTGTCGTTTCCATCATCGTTTTTCATTTTTATTTTTTGTTTTTCTAATAATTGGTTTTTTCAAGTTTATTTACGTAAGGGAAGGAAAAAAAAAAAAAAGAAGAGGAAAGGGGAAATGTCAAATCTCAAGTATTTTTTATCCTATAAAGAGATTTTTTTTAGGGAAAAGGAAAAAAGACACGTTTTTTTTTTTAATAAAAAAAATGTTGCTCGTCCGAGTCCCAACTCCCAAATTGAAAGTATGTCGTTCACCTGCTAGACATGTCTTTTCACAGTAAAATTTCTTATGTTTTAATATGAAACGACATGTCATCTTTATCTTAATTGTTAGTCGTTTGATATGAAACAACATATCTAGAGATGTTAATTGCACTGATCCGGCCCGATTCAGCCATGTTCCTCGTCTCGTGTCTAGGCCAATCCGCTGGGCTGGGCCTAGTCCATTTAACTTGTGGCATCAAGCCGGACCCATAGCCCATTTATTTGTGGATTGTGCCCTTAACATGCTCGTGCTTTTATCCGTACTCGTGCGTTTGTCACGCTTTTATCTTGCTCTTTATGTGCGTTTGTTGTGCTAAATAACAAATTTACAACAAATATAAGAAAACAAACATTAAACATAATGAAACTAAAATCTTAATAAAAGAAAGCACATCATTAATTAAGAAAATACCTCATTAAAAACTTTGTCAAGAGCAACAGGATAAAATATTAGTAAAGAAAAAAAGGTGCAATTATATAATTTTTAAAGCAATATATAGTTTTATATTTCATATTCACCACTTGAGCCCATATCGTGCTTTTAATTTGTTTGTGCCGGTATTCGAGTTAGGTCCTTAGCGTGTCATGCCTTTAATGTACTTTGTGTCTAAAAATTACGTCAAGCCGGTCCCGTTATTACACGTGAATGGATTATGCCTATTTAATAACCGTGCCGAACTGTGCCATTCCAATTTTTTAACGTGCCACATTTATGCCAGTCCGTCAGGCTCAACTTGTTTTGACATCTCTATACATATCGTTGATGCCTAAACTTTTCAGTGTCTAAGAATTGAACATGTTTTTCTTACCGAATTGCGAATTTACATGCTCATCTGTTCTTCAATTTTGCTGTCGTGTGTTGGGTACCAAAATATGATACTTTATTGTTCTTTTTTTTTTTCGGGTTTTTTTTTTTTTCATCCAACACTACTACACCGGCCTTAAAAAAAAAAAAAATCCACTGCAAGATAGTAAAGGTTATAACTGTCTTAACAAATTAGCCGACAAGCTGAGAAATTGTAATAAAGTGTGAGTTTAATACTACAAATTCAGGACTATAGATCATTCAACGCCAAAGGAACCCATAGTAAACGCTTATGTAAGCTGACAGCTTCATACACAAAGGCTTTTCTTATGCTACCACAAAAGCACTAGATGAACCCGTGAAATGACGAATTGATCCGAAAAGGCTCTTCGAGGCACCAAAATGTCTGATTCTGTACACACCAGGAGTTGCAGAGTTAGGGATTCTCCATTCTATGGTTGCCTTACTTCGAGCACTAAGTTTGGCGGGTCTTGACCATATGAAGCGCAGGCAGAAATCATCATCATCATAAGCAGGAACCCAGTCATCTTTTCCTTCAAGGATCTCCACAAGTGCAAATGTACCTTCAGTCATGAGATCATTCCGTGGGCAAGCAGACCAGAAGACTGCCGTCACTATTTCACCTCTCTTAAAGGTAGAGTTCTGCAGAACGTCAGAAATGACATCTCCGAAATTGGCACGGCGTGGAGTCGAGTCCATCATGACTGGCATAAGTAAGCTTATTTGCTTATCCAGGAGATCTGGAGGCTGCGGCCCCGGTTCAACAGGCTGGTTGGTAATGAGAGCACCGGCAAGCTTCTTGAACTCCTGAATGTAGGCACTTAATGTGTGTGGTCCATACAAAGTGGAGGCACCCTGATTAGCATATGACAATGAATTAAGCAACGTATATTTAAAATCCGTAACTCAAAAGGTAACTATGTAAAATGCTCTTAAAATTATTTGTTATTGTGTGTTTCGTGTGAATGTGAAATCCTTTGACCAGGAGTTCTGTTAGTACATTGGTGGAAACTCCTCAATAACCCTATGTCTGAATGGCAACTATTTCGTATATCTAGCTCTGTAAGCAAGAACTGACCTCGTATCTTTGCACCTCGTACTCTTCAAAAGTAGTTACATATTGTGAGTAGGAATTAGTCAACCCTGCTATAACAACATGAAGGTTTTCTCCCTTACTACCACTACTTAGCACTGTCTTTACTGCATCACGAAGACGCCGACCAGCCATTGTTGTGAATTCTGTTCAAAAAACCCCCAAAACAGGAGAAAAAAATAAGAAAGGTCCACAGCCCAAAGAAACAGTTTTACCAAGGGGAGGACAAAACAGGTTAAGATAAAGAAATGCATATGTTTCTGGAAGCAAATTTAAGTTATCACCAACAGAGAATATACAAACTATACGTAAGCATATTAAGTGAAAACTCGACCCAAGTTAACCTTCAAAAGAAGAAAAGAGGAAAAGCAACGCAAGCTACCTCCAGGTACACTCAGAATGGCAAGCTGCCCTATCCGGAGGATCTGGATTGGAAGTATAGAAGGCTGAAAACCATGGAACAATTTTCTCGTGAGGAGCAACATCAATCTCATGAGGGGAAAAAAGTAATAGTATGCTAAATTACATACATTCCTCTATTAGTCCAGGATAGTAACAAAGAGCAATATAAGGAACTTCATAAACTCAGAGTATCTGTAACTCACTGGCACCAAGTCTATTTTCAAAAACCCTTTGTATTACTTTCAAGCATGACTACCACTTTATAAACATGCATCTAACAAACCTTAAGCTTGTCGTTAACAAAAAAGAGTCTAGTGAGTCAGTGCAACTTGTAAAATCAGAAGACTTTAATACACATACAGTTTCCTATAGTTTATAGGTGAAATAAGTTATGGCTGGTAACCTGCACTAGATAAACTAACAAAGATATATTTGATATACCATTGACCCTTATAATTTTGTTTTAGATATATATGATATCTAAAAAGTTACCAACATCAAGTCTTAAAATAATGGCTTGGTTAGGGAATGGAGATCATTGAACAACTTGAGAATTTCTTTCAGTTTCACATTATTTTCATGTAAAATACGTCCAAACAAGCCAGCTACCTACCGCCCAATCATATGGTTGCTTCATTTCACCAGTATCAAGCAAGATTGGCTTTGGGTGTTGACAATCAACTTGTTTCTTGTCTGGAGTTTTCAGCACATTGCGCACCAACTTCCAGAAAGGATTTCCCTGATATAAAATATCATAACAAATAATGCCAACACAAAGCAGTCAGGAAGGAAAAGTATACTGTACAAGAGCGTAGGGAATGAATGACCTTGCATTTCCAATTACCTTATCATCACCTTGCTTAAAATCAAAAGCTCCAGGTCCATCAGTTGTTCCAGCCGCAAATCCAAACCCCATTGCAGCAGGACACGTTTTTACCACCTTAGCATCTCCACCCTGTTTGGAGATTTTTACTTCAAGTTGGGAGAAGTCTATATAAGCATGACGATAGTCAATCTTGCCTTTTAGCGTTTCAGACGCTTTGCCGAAAAGATCTACAGCTTTTTTGAATTGCCGCTCTCCAATAATACGTGTACTCTCAAATTCATCAGGGTAACTGCCATTTTAAGAAAGATTGATTATTTGGCATTTTATATTAAATAGTGTCGAATAATAAATGTCACACGCTAAGAGATCAAAGCACTCAGAAATGAATACCCAGGTCCTCTGCCATAGCATAACTCATTCTTTCCCCCGCAGGTACTATGATTGAAGTCACAAGGTAGCCCAGTGTCTATACAGAAAGCTCCAAGAACATTTGGGCTAACATCGCCGCAGTTTGATTGGCAAAATGCAGATACAAAAGCAGGTTTGTCAGCCTGCCTGAGAGCACCCCTAACACGTCTTGCAACACTCAAAGTCCTAGTTGCTGGTTTACCAGGAGGAGACTGGAAGGACGCAGCAAGCTCTAGTAACTCATGGTCTGCATGAAAATATCTCATAGAATTATTCAAAAGAATCTGTTTACCTAAAACCAAACAAAAAAATTGTATAAAGCCCTCTAAAGATGAATATTAGGTAAGTAAAGAGCATGACTCACGATTATTGGGTTGGTTAGAAATTATATCCGAGACTCTTCGAGGAATTCGTTTTTGACCAGATTCATCAGAATACATCTTTCTAACACCACTCTGCTCAAACCAGTCTTCCATAAAGCGTGCAGCAGCACCCTTGTTGTCCCCGCTTATTAATGAATTTGTGCGGCTCATAGAAGTTCCATGAGTGGCAAACCAATTAAAGCTACCCACTGGACCCCACTGATTATCAACAAACTTTAAAAGGGTAATCTCTTTGTCAACTTCGTACTTGTATCTACTGCGCTCTTCTGCAGGATTGTTAAGATAAGCACTAGGACTGCGATTTACACCAGCATCTAGGAGCTCTCCTGCAAGTTAAAAACCAAAACTCATATAAGAATATCATTTTGAATATCTATTCAGAGAGAAAAAGGACAACTTCAAGAACCTTCTCTCTACTTACCCTTGTTTATAAAAATTGATCCTGGACGAAGATTTTCATGAGCTTGTATAATGCTTTTCTCAATGCCATCAACAAGGACATCGAATGACTGGCGAACAAATCCAAGGGATGTTACAATATACACAACATATTGGAGATAACCCCCAGGACCAGCGTGGGTATGAATTCCACTGATAGCAACATTCTTTTCAGTGTACAGGTCCCCATACCTGCGAAGTGGCAGCATAAGGAAATTTCAATCAAGTCATACTAGAATCTATTTGCACATTTTAAATCTAGTGCTACTCCAACAAGTCCCCATATGAGCAAAATTAATTACCCTTTTATATGCACATACATATTATAATTTATAATAGTTGTGTATGTACAATTTATAATAGTTGTGCCAAGTTTGTAGAGCAGTAATATAATATCTTAAGACTTGAAGCAACAAGTACCTTGCTTTCAACCTCTCTAGAACTTTAATCGCCACAATTTGTGAGGCCATACAAGCATCAAGATTCACGAACACCACACGTTTTCCCTGCGGCTCCGCAATGATAAAGCTGCGCGCTCGAAGCCTGAAGTGAATACCGGATGCAATCTGCTCTGTATTAGCATATCCCATCATGTTGACGTCAGCCGCCGGACCGGTAATGTCATAGCTCCCGAGACCAATCAAATAGTTGGGATCTGATAACACCTCTTTACTGCCATGAAGCAAGAGCAAAATTGCAATCCAAAACCAGCCAAAAAGGCATGCTCTCCAACAATTGAAGCGAACAACAGTAAACAACTCCATTACGGCGCCACCAAATGGGAATATTATAACATCACTCAATACCTTACTTCCTGTGACTAAAAGACAAACATAGCTTACCAAAATTAGCTCTAAAACGCAAATAAAGCGCCAAAATCACAAAATACTTCCTAATTCCATACACACCAAAAAAAGGAAAAAAATAAAATCGTATTGTTACAATCATATATCATTGTCTGTGTATGTAAATCCACGATTGGTTTCAGTTTTCACCAAGAAAAGTTAACAAATTCAATCTTATTCTTCAATGGTGCTTAAAGAAAATTCCATAACTGCTATTTCAGTAAATTATGATCGTGATCAATTTTTCATGGAAATGATCAATTGACAGTAACTAGTGACGGCAAACAGTGACGAAACCCTAGGATGCCATAATTAGGCAAACATTTGTACGGTCGGAGATTTTGTATGTACCTTGAGGTTGACGGAGCTCCGGTTCCTGGGAACAAAACTGTATGATCTCAGAGCAGTTGCCGTATGTTTAATTCATTTTCAGAGCCATCCATTAGAGAAACTGATAGAGAGAGAGGAAGAGAGAGAGAGGGGGATTGTGGGAAGAGAGAGAAAACCGACACTTACGATCCTTCAGATGCAATGCAGTCAGGGACGACAAATATGCTTGTAATAAGTAAGTAACGGCCAAGGAAAGCCATCTCACTAGTACTGTTTTCGGCTTTACTAAAATTGCAAAGAGAAAACACGAACGGTGCATTTGGTTTGTGTCGTGTTATATATAAATTATGATTTGTGATTCGTTATAGTAATTTTTTTTATAAAAAATACATAAAAATTAAAAATAATTTAGAATCATAATTTTAAATTTACGAACCAAACGTCCATTAAAAAAATTTTTTAAATAAAAAAAATATTTCCTTTTATTAAAAATTGAAATTTGATGCAAAAGTTCTTTAGAATTAAAAATAAATAATAATAATAATTGATAGAGTGTTTGGGAATTGGGATGCATGGACGTTGGGTAAAACCCGGTTATGGGTTATTTGACTGAATTGGTCATGGAATTAAGGTTTTATTTTTTTTATCGATTTGAGTTTATAATTCGAGTTTTGATAAGTTTTCAGAAACAGTGACATCTAATTTTTTTACTACAGTAAAAAACTCTCATATAAAATCACATCTTTACTCAAATTAAAAACTTGAATCAGCGAACTAAACGAGTCCTAAATATTAAAAGGATTGGACACGGAATTCGGATCTTTTCCTGCCGATGAGGTTCTTTATTTTTTTCTTTTTTCTTTTAATTATTTTCAATGATATTCTATTGTGAATGATGTAGCATGTTTAATATATCCCTCAATTTTTTTTTTGCTTCTAAATATATCCCACAATTATTAGAGAAAAAACAAGTTTCTTTCTCTCTCCTTTTTCAATTGTCAAAAAAAAAAAAATTTTATTTATTGCGTCTGAAGTCTTATGGAGAAAATGATTTTGCATGTATTCCTCCTTATTAAATTTACTTTTCAACATTACAAGGAAAAAAAGAACTTTTTTTTTAAAATAGGTTTTTTTTTTTTTTTTAAAGAATTAAGACATTTAATTTGGATGCAAATCAAGCCTACAAACGCGTCACTATAATTGAGATGAAGTGCATGAATTTTCCGAGGCTGAAGTTGTTATGCATTGGCCGTTGCGTACTAGCCTTTTCAGTGTAATATAAGGCACGCTTACGCTAGAGCTTAGATCCTATTCCTGGGCTTGAACACAATTCAGTAAAATAAAAATTAGGAGAAAATTGTAAAATTTACTTTTAGAAGTGCATTAATTTAAATTTTTATCTCTTGATAAATATATTTTTATTAGTGTAATTATTTAATTAAAAAAAATTATGAATCAAGATGAAAAAATAAAAATCTTAACCCAAATAATTTTAAAAAATATTTATCAAAATTACTTAAAAAGTTAAACTCACCGAAAAAGACCCCAAATCCTGCCAAGAATTACTGTATCACTTGGAAACATCGATGAAACTCCGGTGGGCCCATTGTCCTGACTTCACACTTCAAGGTCATTTCTTAAGAATACCCACATACATTGCTTACCCATACCTATTTTTGATTTCTTGTGCTTTAATTCGCACGCACGAAATCTGGAGATAAATACAAAATCACAGGCCTATTATTAAGTTCAAATGGTTGGAAATATTGGGATAAGCATTCGTTCTTTATTCATTATCCGGAAAATGACATGTGTTGATCTAATTTAATGTCAATGTTCACCTAACGGCGAAGCAATTTCTGATGGGAAGGAAGAATATTATAAGTTTGTTTTTTGTCATTACCTTATTAGTTAAGGCATAAAAAATTTGCCAGCGTACCTTGACCTTTTCCTTGTTAGAGTAATTGATTAGACAGGTTCTAAACAAGATTTAGATTCATCCAATCAATTATAAAAGGAAAAAAGAAACATCATGAAACGATATTTGATCATACCTCGTGAATGAAAGTTTTTGTGTTCACGTCTTCTTCACAAAGGATCTCTTATTTCATTATGGCAAAAATACAAAAGATGGTGTATAAATAAAGAATTTTACCACCTCTTTGCTCAAATAAGTGTTGCACAAAAAATAAAGTTTTCGTGTCCAATGTATCATCCACATGTCTATTGGGACCCGATTAATTAAATGGTGAAAGTAATTTAGTTTAATTTTGCGTGGTAATAAACAATACTATATATATATATATATATATTTATTATACGAGGACACTAATGTGAACCAAATGATAGCTGAAAAAATTAAGATATATACTTTCTTTCACAGGAGATAATAAGAAAAGTAAATGCATTTTTTCAGAGATATTCGGGGTTGTTCTTTTAGAGTGTAATTTGAGTGTAATTTTTTAGTTGAATTTGAGTTATAACTTGAGTTGAAGTTAGAACTTGAATAAAGTTGAGTAAAATTGAATAAAATTGAAATTTAAAAGAACGTGAACTTGAATAAAGTTGAAACTTGAGTTATCTTTTTTTGAGTTTTTTGGACAAAAGAACATGCCCGAAAACACTAAACATCCCACTTTTTTTTTTTTTTTTTTTCCATATTTTCCTTAGCTAGTGCAAAATCACGAGTACTTCATTTTTCTTGCTTTGGCAAATTTTGATGATGGAAAATTATTGAAAAACAGCAGCATTAAATGATGGTGGAAAATTCTTCATTGGTTCAAATAATAGATTATTATATATGCTGGGACTGAGTGTGCCAGTTGTGTAGTGACATAAAGCTAGAATGGGAAGAGTATGACGATCCATAACGAGTATCAAAATAGACAAATAACATGAAAGAAATAACATTTTAAAAGAATTTAAGGAAAATGTGTGCAAAATTCTCTATGCCAAGTATCACCACTACGAACAAGCAGAGGAATTTATTCTTTGGTATTGATTTTCATTTAGCATCTTTCTCTCCTCACTCAAAACTTGTCTCTGTGTATGAACAATAAATTTGAAAAAAATTTCATCATCATGTGTAAATGCAGTCTGATAAATGACCTCGTTTTTGCCTTCCTGCACAACTTGTACCTCGATGTCACTAGACTCTAAGTTCAATTCCTTAAGAATGGACAGACAATTAATCGAAGATTGCGTTACTTTCAAACGATTGGTTACTATGAACGTCGCAGGACATGTTAATTATCCACCATCCCTTGCATCTCCATCATTATTGTGATATTCATGGTCGAAATCCGAGTGAAAAACCAGATTGAGGTAGGCGAAGAGATGAGACTTCTATCAGAAGCCAGTTGTTCATCATGACTGAGTATTGTCACTTAAACATCCATAATAATGAGGGGATTAAATACAAAAATTCTCCAATTATAACTTGTGTAACACTTTATCTCCTCAATCTTTAAAACGTAACATTTGTTCCCTCTTAATTGTGAACTTTTAACAAAAAAAAAACCTCCTTCTGTTAAACTTTTTAACATAAAACTAAAATAATAAAATTTAAGCGTATTTTGATAATTCTATATATTCCTAGAAAATATTAAATATTAAAAAACTTTTTCATTCTTATTTACACGTAATATATACAATATATATTATATAAACATTTTTTTAGAATGTTGATGTTTTGAACAATTTTATTAAAAATATACTATGAGTTAAATTAAAAATAATATATTGTGAATTTAAAATTTATTAGTTTTTTTTTTTTTTTGGCTGAAAGAGCTTTAACTAATTTATTAATAAGAAGATTAAGATTAAAATTTTGTTTTATTATTTTGTCATATTCATTATGATATTAAATGAAAATTAAAATATGCTTTTAAAAAATGTAAATTTAGAAGTGATGGGTAGAAGTGTAATTTTGCATCAAATTATTTGAGAACAATTGACAAGTGTCATTTTTGTTAAAAACTTTTACATAAGGATTTTTTTAACCTTTCATAGCATAGGATAAAGTGTTATAAAGTGTTATAAAAGTCAGAGGGAAATTTTATAATTAATTTCTAGGAAAAGAGGCCTCCTGAATTCCTAATATAAGGTCATTTAAGAAAAACCAAAGGAACCACTAGGACTAATGTAACTATCATGTAAGATAACGCTTCATTCAAAATGATAGTGTAATGACGGGGAAAAATTTAGGTCTAATCTGGACAGTCCAGTATTTGACCGAAATTCTTTTCAGAATAGTAAGTAGTAGAATTTTGATGTAATCAAGAAAATGTTATGTAAAAACTTTATGTACAGGGTAAAATCTCTCGAAAAGTGTAAAGTTATAATACAAATATTTTTACAAAGAAAATTCGTAAATATCACTTATGAATAGTGAGATATTAGTTAAAAGTTAGAAATTTTAACGGGTATATATTAGTTATGAAAAATTAAAATATTTGGTATGTGACTAAATGACCAGCTAGAAAAAGAATAGAAATATTAGAAGTAAGGAAAATAGTAAAAGTTCCGGAAACGGAATTTTCCCGAGTCAGTTAAAGCGGGAAACTGCCAAAGAAAGAGTACCGCAAGGGTACGTGTTTTGGGCAATTCTGAATCAATTAAGATGATAATTTCAGAAAAGGGAATTGACTAATGAGATACCTAAGAGAAATGGGTTGAATATGAAAAATTTGACCCAGGGTGCTCGGCAGTCCAGAAAATTAGTATAGAACCTGTACTGATTGTGAAATTATTAGTACCGGAAAGAGACTCATTTTGAGAAACGAAAAGTTCGGTCTCGACAAGAGAAATATGGGGAACATAGAACCACTCAAATAAAGTGTTAAACTTAAGTAGAACTAGTAAAATTAAATTATGAAAATTAATTTAATTTTTTTAATTTAATTTAAAAAGTAATATTAGATATTATTGAAAATAATATTATATAATATTAATTAATCTCTTAAAGAGTTCCACGGAGATACTAGAAGACACTCTTGTTTTCTTTGCCTTGCCGACCAAGAAGAAAAAAAAAAAAAAAGAGAGACGTGAGAAAGTTACGAAGAAAGAAAAAAAAACAAAGCAGAGAGAGAGATTCGTAAAAAAAAAAAAGACAGAGAGTTGTGAAAATCAAGCAGTTTCACTGAAATTTCTTCCATTCAATCCGATAGAAATGTAACCTGAGGCGTTCTAGCGGAAAAACCTCAACTTCTGGAAGTAAGATTTCAGAGTTTTCGTGAGAATTCTATATTTTCTTGATTTAGATGAATAGTAACCCATCTCAGAAAAAAACTTCTGTTAAAGTGAAAATTGAAACTGAGATTTTGTAGAGTATCGTAATAAGAGTTTAACGATGTAAGTGTTAAGATGATTGAATAAAGTTTTGGTGGATTTCTATCAAAAATCCGTGAGCTTAGATTAAGGAAGAACATATGTTTTGTTCAATTTTATGTTGGAATCTGTGTTCAGGAATGTAAATCTTGACTCCAGGTACCGAAATCAGAAGTAAAACGAGTTATTAAAAACTCGGGAAACGAGAAAAATAAGGCGAAACTCTGCCAAAATTTAGTTCGAGTAATTTAAACTAAAACTGGATTTCAAGAGGAATATAGGATTAAAGTGTGAAAAGAAAGATGTTTCGATAATCGGTGATGGTTAGAAACCGAACACAACGAGAATTCACAGTTTTAGACCAAAATTGAAAATTAGGCCCATGACTGAGTAATTTGCACGATTTTAGTGCAAATCCTTGAGATAGGAAATAGTTTGAGATTGAATACCAAACATAAGGATTGTAGACCTTTCCGAAGTAAATTTCAAAGTAATTATTGATCTTAAATTCTGAATCTAACGATCGAAAAATTTATGCAATAGGGCCAATTAACGGTTGAAGTTGGAAAGCGTCAAGGGAGACAAAGGACGCATACAGTAGAATTTTGAATGATAGATACAATGTGAATGCTAGATACTATGTTAGGTAAGTATCTACAAGACTTATGTAATCGTAGAACTTTATTCTACAAAAATATGTATCGATGTTAGGTCGAGATCAAACTAAGAAAAGTGAAATGTTAAAGTTTAACGAAAAGTTAATCTCATGATAAAATGCTCAATAATGCACAAATTCATAAGATTTAACTAAAGTTACCGTTTCAATGAGAAAATTGATAAACGGTAAGAGACCAAACGTCCTGTTTGTACCAGCCTTCGATAAACGGTAAGAGACTAAACATCCTATTTGTACCAGCCTTCGAAGGAAAGGTTATTATGAGACTACAAAAGATATGAAACCGTGACTGAGTTGGATTGGTTAGCTACCCCACTCCTCACTGGTTATGCGCGCTATGGTACAACAGGACAGGGCCCCTAAGAAGTAAAAGTCAAGAAAATGAAACACGAAAACCATTCCATATAACGATATGGTATCCGTAAATAAGAATGAAAAGAATGAGAAATACATAATGAAAGTTGTTTAGAATTTTGTACTAGGTTATATGATATGAATGCATTTATGGGTATGCATAATTATTGCATCTGTTATGACCTATTGATACTTGCTGAGCAAAAGCTCATTAAGTTTGTTCGTGTTATAGGAAGCACGGGTAAGGCACCAGCTCCCTAAAACTTGATGCTGGGCATGTAGAGAGGGTGTAGCAGCGGAATGTGGGCAAGTGGGTTGTGGACACATCATGTGTTTTGGAAACGCTGCTGAACTTTATATGTAAAATAAAATAGTGTTTTATGTATTTAATGACTAGTGTAATAGAATGTTGTCAGAATGCTACAGCATTTTAACGTACATGATAAGATTAAAAAAAAAATGGCCTGAAATTTTAAGAAGTTATAATTAGGGTCGTCATAGAGGTTAAGAAATGCTAAATATGAGTATAGGATGACGATCAGAAGTTAGGGTCGTCACAGATAGAGATAAACAGTCTTAGCAGATCATCAAGTACACATAAGCTGTTGCAAATAAAGCTAATACCAAAGCAACATCAATATTATACAATAGGTTCAGTTCAAAAAACGCAGATTACATTCCCTTCTTTTCTGCAAAAACTTGACAAATTAGTCAACGAGCACTTGGTTTCCGGTTTGGGTCCCTGATGAAAGTATTGGTAAGGGCAGATTCCGAAACAAATGAAGACAGTAAGAGACGCACAGCCTGCAAGTTTGGAAAAGTAGTACTAAAGCAATGAAATTGCATAACCCTTTTGGGGAAAATACAAAGCAAGAACAATCATATATAGTGCGTAAAAAATTATCACAAACATTTCGCAAAATTTGTTAGTGTCTTTACTCTTTGGCAGTATTCAAATGGGCAATCTTTTGAACGTGTCAGTATTATTTTTTTCCCTAACGGACCCCACATAAAAGTGAAGGAGGTTTTAAGAAAAAAGAAACCAAGTTAAGATCAGGTGAGAAAACTGCAATTCTGCAAGCACAGGATATAACATATATAGGCTTACCTCCTCTTTGCCCACATGCACAACTTGCGCTTCAATGTCACTGATGGGTACCTTCATTTCTTTGAGAATGGACATGCAAAAAATCGACGAAATAGGAGTGACGGTCAAGCTGTCTGTCACTATGAACATCGTCGAGACTCCCGTTAAAATACCTTCATCACTTTTACCATCAACTGTATTGTGAGATTTAGCATCGATAGGCGTAAGGCCATGATATTCAGAATTTGTGGGTGCAGACTTAATCCCTAATAGATCATTCTTATAGCTAAACCCAAAGGCAAGGCTTGGACTGACTAGCATTTCCTTGTGGTGATTTGACTTGAAAAGTTGCTCATCAAGATCCTTAACACTCTTGTACAATTGGTCTATGCATCCATTAAAAGAATTGGTGTCACGTAATTTTCCAGCAATATGCCCAAGTGGAACGGTTAGAAAACTCAAGACTAAATTAACGAAGTCCTTCTTTGCTTCTGCGTAACAAACCCGTTTCTTAGATTTGCTAATCATTAATTTCACTGAAATCTTTTCATCCTTCTCTTGCATGTCCTCTTCCTTTATTTGATTGGTTAGCTCATCTCGGTTAAGGCTAGGACTATTTTTGTTCACGTCCGGCAGATCACCTTTATTCTTCAGAAAGACTTCTGTCAAAGGTGTCCTTGATTGCAATGAGCATATGAGCAAATTCAAAACCTGAAAGAAAAACAAGTCTCTGAACTTACTGATGCTACAAAAATACCAAAAATAAAGGGGGATAAAGGGAAATAAAAGTACCTCTTCTGTTCCAACATTGAAGGTCCTTTCGTGCGCGTTACACATGTGATCCGTTATATCATGCTTGGCCAATAAAGAGAAGCTCTCTAAGCTAGACATATGCATCACTTGTAGCCCATCACTAATTATAAATCTTGCCATTCCATTAACAAACACGCCTTCGCGCTTTCTGACCACACTCTTTGTGATAAGCAATTCCCGATTCATGGGACGTCCGCATTTACAAAAGACATCTCTGTAATGACTATAACTATAGTTTCCACAATGCAACCTGCAGGTGAATAATTTACGCTCTGTATTGTCTGTATTGTCGATTTTCAGTTTAAGGTTCATGCAGTTATTTTCAGCCTCACTGCGGGGACTTGAAAACATGAGTTTACCAGCTTCACTGTGGAAATGAAAATGGTGCAGATCCATATTTTTCACACTTTCATACAAATTGTTCACACAGCCCATCGTCAGTGGCATTGAGCGCTCTTGTGCAAGTCTGATAATGGTACCAAGAGACATTGTCAAGAAACTGAAGAGAACATCGACAAATTCATCGTCTGATTCGACGAAGACAAGTTTGTTCCTCTTCTCATCTACCACGGCTTTCAAGCTAATAGAATCCACAGTTTTACCTTCCATCGACGTATGAATAAATCTCTATTCAATACAATGAGAGAAATAGAACAATATTGAGACTAGTCAATTATTGAGCTTAAATAGGGGTATTGAAGTTGAAAAATAGCAAGTCGCACTCAACATCTTTATATGCATATGTTTAAGGTTGAAAAAAGGAAGCCATTGTCAAGTTAACTAATCAAACGTTTTTTCCCTGCCACTTTCAAAAGCAAATGTGTGTGTGTAACCCTCAAACAGTCATTTTAACTTAGAATACTGTTGTTCAACCTGAAGAGAACTAAATAAACAGTAGAACAGACTTTCAAGCAAAAGAAAACAAATACCAAATGGATAAAACAGAATCTGTATCCTTTTTTTTTTCCTGTGAAACTTCCTCAAATAGAGGAGAATATTATCAAAGAAAGCAAAAGAATACAAATCAGAAACTCAGAGAATCTGTAAAAAAAAAAAATCAAAAGAATCAATCGAAACACGAACGTAATATGAATTTTGAAGACCATGATGCCCGAAACTATGACCTCTCCAAGAAATTCTGAAGAATAACAAACCTTGAAGTGGGGAAGAAAATTTTCAAATCAGTCGAGTTTTTTGTTTGCTAATGTTCAAATTACTCGAGTTGAAATAAAATGTTTCTATCATTACCTGTTAGAGAAAAAGTGTTGCCTTTTATAATACCTTCTGTCCAGTCGAATTCCCACTCACTATTTACTAATTAATTATTATAATTAGTTTTCAATGGTTTAATAAATAGGATTATTATCAATGACGACTCTAAATTTTAAGTTCATTTTCAATTTACTGGCTGAGCTTTAAAAATTCTCGTTTTACCTCATAAATTTTAAATTGTTCTCACTTTAATTTTTTTTATTATAAAATTTTGTTAAAAACTAATAGAAAAAAGAAAGTAATACAATCGCGTGGTAATTCTGTTTGAATTTCTGTTAGAAATAAACATATAAGAATCACATGGCAACAGTACTTCACTTCCTTCTTTTCCATCTAATTTTAACAAAAATTATAACAAAATGAGTTAAAGTGAGAACAATTCAAAATTTATGAGGTAAAATGAGAGTTTTTAAAGTTTAAGGAGCAAACTGAAAGAGGCACTAGTGATAATAATCCTAATAAATACTTGTCTCCCATCTTTGGACTTCGTAATGAATATCTAACGTAACCTCTTCCTAAGAGATTAATTGTTGGGATACTGGCAAAATCTAACAATTACTCCAAGCACAATCTAGACCGATCAGTTTTCCAATACCCTACTAATTTGGAAATGTAAAGTCGTTCTGTTACTTCTAGACCACCTTACCCTAGTAACCTTTTCAGTTTTCGTTCCAAATGTTCGATGAAAGTGTTTGTCTTTCATGTTTTTCTTTCCAATAACTTGCTTCCAAGTTTGTTTCGATAATGTTAACATACTTATGCTTATCAGATGAATAGTTAAAAAAAAATCGTACAAATGACAATGACGAGAATTACTTGCCTAGACAGCATTTAAAAAAAACGACAGTCACTTGTAAAACGACAACAAATTTCGGATGTCAACAGTTGCAGAACGGGACAACAGCTTAGGAACGACAATGTTCTTTAAATGATGATAATTATTAGAACCTACATACTGTCATAGAAACAAGGCAGCAGCAGCAACAACAACAATAAATTAAAAAGTCTCAACTCATGCTTATCTTCTTCTACTACTTAAAAGCACAAACTATCCTAAACGGGCCTACAGTGACGTGGGGAAGAAGCTTCCTCTTCCTCGATTGTTAATAGATCATTTAACTGCAACTCTTGGACTGACCAGTATTTTCATTGTGGACATTATTTGAGTTGAAGTATTGTTCGTCTAGATCCGGACACTCTTATACAACAAGAGATCTAAGCATTTTTTCAAAGAGCCATAATCAAATACTTTTTTCACCATAGTCTATCTTAACTTAGATTAAAATTAACAAAGTCTATCTTGCTTCCGCGTAACAGACCAAGGTTCTTAGATTTGCTAACAAAAAGCTTGACACACAATATATTCATCCTGACTTATCATGACTTCTTTGATTTGAAATCAGCTAACCAATCTCAAAAAAGAAATTTCAATATAGTTTAATCTTGGTACTGGTTTATGCTTCAGAAGAATTTCTGTCAAAGGGTGAAAGCTTCTAACATAAAGGAAAAGATAAAAAAAAAAAAAGATAAGTAACAACAAAGAAATGACATTTCAGAAGAATTTAAGGAAAATGGGTGCAAATTTCTCTATGTCAAGTATCACCACTATGAAAAAGCAGAGAAATTTTAAGATTCTTTGGTATTAATTTTCATCTAACATTTTTCTCTCCTCGTTCATTGAGGAGAAGAATTGCACTTTATAAGGTATTGAGTTTACATCTTAAAAGGTTAACCTAATTAAATAGGGTGACCCAATATTTTTATATAACTGTGATTATGTTTGTATTTAAATGATGTGGGATTTGGGCATTTTTACTCTTAACACACCAATGGTCTCAACACTCTTGTACAAATTGTTTAATGAACCCATCAATGTTGGTGATTGATTAGAGGCGAGCCTGATGATGGTTCCAATTAGGGTCGTCAAGAGACTGACGAGAACATCGACGAAATCTTCATCAGACTCAGCATAGATAACTCTGTTCTTCTTCTTGTCAATCAAGACGTTTAAGCTAATAGCATCAGTCATGGATTATGAGATTTGGTTCCTTTTTTTCGTTCAAATTCAGAAAGCATCAGTGAAAGGTTAGGACAGCGTATATATCGCATCAAATCTATTTTATTCGCACAAAACACGTATGCTTACTTAAATAAGAATAATTTAAGATTCTAAATGAGCTTGTTGTTCAACATGAAACTTAAGATATTGACAAATAATCCTTTCGGTTAGCAATTGTGCACTAGGTAATCGAAAACTAAAAGGCAGTGGAAAAGAAAAACATTGCGCAAACACCAACCTCTATCCAAAACAAAATTAGCAATATAGTCTAAGCTGCACATACTATAGTCTAAGCTATCTCACAAAGCAAAATCAATTTAGAATAATTTTAGGTTGAAGCAATATAGTTAGGTCTCGTTCACTTCACTGATTCGAGTTTAAAATTTAAGTTTTGCTACAGTAAAAAGTTCTCAGAAACAATCACATCTAACTTTTTTACTATCCTAAACGGGCCTACAGTGACGTGGGGAAGAAGCTTCCTCTTCCTCGATTGTTAATAGATCATTTAACTGCAACTCTTGGACTGACCAGTATTTTCATTGTGGACATTATTTGAGTTGAAGTATTGTTCGTCTAGATCCGGACACTCTTATACAACAAGAGATCTAAGCATTTTTTCAAAGAGCCATAATCAAATACTTTTTTCACCATAGTCTATCTTAACTTAGATTAAAATTAACAAAGTCTATCTTGCTTCCGCGTAACAGACCAAGGTTCTTAGATTTGCTAACAAAAAGCTTGACACACAATATATTCATCCTGACTTATCATGACTTCTTTGATTTGAAATCAGCTAACCAATCTCAAAAAAGAAATTTCAATATAGTTTAATCTTGGTACTGGTTTATGCTTCAGAAGAATTTCTGTCAAAGGGTGAAAGCTTCTAACATAAAGGAAAAGATAAAAAAAAAAAAAGATAAGTAACAACAAAGAAATGACATTTCAGAAGAATTTAAGGAAAATGGGTGCAAATTTCTCTATGTCAAGTATCACCACTATGAAAAAGCAGAGAAATTTTAAGATTCTTTGGTATTAATTTTCATCTAACATTTTTCTCTCCTCGTTCATTGAGGAGAAGAATTGCACTTTATAAGGTATTGAGTTTACATCTTAAAAGGTTAACCTAATTAAATAGGGTGACCCAATATTTTTATATAACTGTGATTATGTTTGTATTTAAATGATGTGGGATTTGGGCATTTTTACTCTTAACACACCAATGGTCTCAACACTCTTGTACAAATTGTTTAATGAACCCATCAATGTTGGTGATTGATTAGAGGCGAGCCTGATGATGGTTCCAATTAGGGTCGTCAAGAGACTGACGAGAACATCGACGAAATCTTCATCAGACTCAGCATAGATAACTCTGTTCTTCTTCTTGTCAATCAAGACGTTTAAGCTAATAGCATCAGTCATGGATTATGAGATTTGGTTCCTTTTTTTCGTTCAAATTCAGAAAGCATCAGTGAAAGGTTAGGACAGCGTATATATCGCATCAAATCTATTTTATTCGCACAAAACACGTATGCTTACTTAAATAAGAATAATTTAAGATTCTAAATGAGCTTGTTGTTCAACATGAAACTTAAGATATTGACAAATAATCCTTTCGGTTAGCAATTGTGCACTAGGTAATCGAAAACTAAAAGGCAGTGGAAAAGAAAAACATTGCGCAAACACCAACCTCTATCCAAAACAAAATTAGCAATATAGTCTAAGCTGCACATACTATAGTCTAAGCTATCTCACAAAGCAAAATCAATTTAGAATAATTTTAGGTTGAAGCAATATAGTTAGGTCTCGTTCACTTCACTGATTCGAGTTTAAAATTTAAGTTTTGCTACAGTAAAAAGTTCTCAGAAACAATCACATCTAACTTTTTTGCTACAGTAAAAAGCTCTCACATAAAATCACATATCAACTCAAATTATAAACTCGAATCAGCGAAGTGAACGTGCCCTTAGTGAAGCTGCACAACAATGACCCTAAAAGGAAAAGGTAATTTTGTTCTGCCTTTTATGAAGAGCTTTGTGGCGGGAGAATTTAAACTCAAGCCGCCAACATAAGATGACGTGTAAGTATTAATAGGCCAAAGTTGCAACTAAATAAAAGGTGGTAATGAATCCTAATTATTAAAGAACAAGTTATTGTTAAGTTGTGAATCCTAGATGTTGTTCTTTTGTAAAGAAACTCAGAAAAAATTTAAACTCAAGTTACAACTTTATTTAAGTTCGTGTTCTTTTATAAAATTTGAGTTTGAACTCGAGTTTGGGGCTAAACTCAAGTTTAAAAGTTTTCCCTTCAACTCAAGTTCAGAAACTCGAACTCAAATTGATGAACAGTATTTTTTCTATTCTTAAAAATACAGTAATTTTTTCGTTTTAATTCTGATTGAGATGATTTTTTTTCTATGCATTCACAACGAAAAGACGAATAAAACCTCACCCATATATCCTATTAAAATTTTTCATCACTATTGAGTTTTTATTAAAATACTATCTAAATACAAATTTAAGTTTTGGCCCACCCAAACACAAACTCAAAAAGATTCTCAATTTAAATCATAACTCAAATGTGCACATCCAAACACAAACTTAAATTACAACTTCAACTCAAGTTATAACTCAAACTCAACTCAAAATAATCACTCAAATCACCATAACTCAAAAATGTAAAAGAACAACCCCTAATTATTAATTCCGACAGTTATTGACTTAACGCGTAGATATTCATGGATCGACCTTTATACGGAAATTTAGAATTTGTATTGTGTAGATCAACATAAAAGGAGACAATCAGGCAAGTACTTCAAGTAAAGATAAATAATGTTCAAAACGATGGTTGATGAGCAAGTGTAGATTATAAAACCAAAAAGAAAAAAGAAAAAGAAAAGAAAGAAACTCACAAATAGACAGAGTTCAAATTAGACAGACCGAACTCCAAAGAGAGATGACAAGCATGGCAAAACCGTAGTACCTGAAAAAATTGGACCTTCTCAGAGTTTGTGTGCCTCGATCGTACGCAATATAAATGAAAATAATGCAGACATACAGGGAAATGGTAATAGAAGTGTTTGAGCAAGGAGTAATATAAGCAGAAGAAAAGTGTCATTGGTCTTTCAGAAAGCTAAAGGCACAGTTCTATTTCACGGGTCCCCATTTTAGCTTTTTTGAGAAAAGTTACTTAGCTTAGAAGAAAATTACAACCACACTACACAGTCACGAGTTGACCTAAAGAACTGTACAAGTAAACGCAAATAAATGTATAGCTTCAAAGAGCAAATGAAAGGCCGCTAAAACGAAAGGTGTTTAAGATCTAGGCTAATAATAAAAAAAAGGTATGTTTCGTTTTTTAGCTAATAAAAAAAAAATAATTTGTTTAGAATATATATGTAAAATATGATCATTGAATGAGTTCATTCACGAACAACTAGTTATTAGTACTTAAGTGGTTTTTTCTAATCTAAACATAAAAAGTACCGATCAGTGATTCACTAACTAGACATCGTTAATTTCTCGTATTTAAAGTTTTAAATTTTAAATTTTTACAGTTAAAAACACTTAAAAATATTATATATTATTTTTTTTACAGTTAAAAGTTCTTAGAAAATATCACATTTCAATTTAAATTGAAAATTTAAATTCGTAAAATGAACAGGGCCTTAATAAACTTCATTCTAATTAAATTAACTATAAATTAGTCAATTTAATTCTAACTCGGACTTGGCACAATTATAATATAATGGGATTGGACCATTTTAAAATAACTTTGTCACTCATAGAAAAAATTAAATCCTTGTGACATTATAATTGAATATATAAAGTGCAGAATTGAAATTTAATTAAACTTAGTGCATGTTTGTTCGTTGATTCGAGTTTTTAATTCTAATTGAGATGTGACTTTATGTGAGAGTTTTTTACTATAATAAAAAATTAGATGTGACTATTTCTGAGAGCTTTTTACTGTAACAAAATTTAAATTCTGATATCGAATTGGTGAAATAAACGGGACCTTAAATCAATCGAGTGGAATGATGAAACCACCAATTCTCATCATTAATCAAAGTATCAAATTCAAAATAATTCGATTTGCTTACAAAATGGAATTACGAGAAAATTCATTCTCTAAGGCCTCGTTCATTTTACCGATTCGAGTTTTTAGTTTTAAGTTTCTACAGTAAAAATCTCTCAGAAAATGTCACATCTAACTTTTTCTGCTACAGTAAAAAGCTCTCATAAAATGTCACATCTCAACTCAAATTAAAAACTCAAATCCGCGAAGTGAACGAGGCCTAATCTTAATTAACTTTAAACTTTAGCGCTTGAATTTTCTTGGTCATTATAAGAATGAGAGGTTGTCACGTGATGGTTCAAAATACCGTTTAGTTTGTTGATTTGATAGTTTGAGTTGAAATGTAATTTTATGTGAAAGCTTTTTACTGTAGCAAAAAAGTTAGATGTGACTATTTCTGAGAACTTTTTATTGTAGCAAAAGTTATTGACTTAACGCGTAGATATTCATGGATCGACCTTTATACGGAAATTTAGAATTTGTATTGTGTAGATCAACATAAAAGGAGACAATCAGGCAAGTACTTCAAGTAAAGATAAATAATGTTCAAAAAGATGGTTGATGAGCAAGTGTAGATTATAAAACCAAAAAGAAAAAAGAAAAAGAAAAGAAAGAAACTCACAAATAGACAGAGTTCAAATTAGACAGACCGAACTCCAAAGAGAGATGACAAGCATGGCAAAACCGTAGTACCTGAAAAAATTGGACCTTCTCAGTGTTTGTGTGCCTCGATCGTACGCAATATAAATGAAAATAATGCAGACATACAGGGAAATGGTAATAGAAGTGTTTGAGCAAGGAGTAATATAAGCAGAAGAAAAGTGTCATTGGTCTTTCAGAAAGCTAAAGGCACAGTTCTATTTCACGGGTCCCCATTTTAGCTTTTTTGAGAAAAGTTACTTAGCTTAGAAGAAAATTACAACCACACTACACAGTCACGAGTTGACCTAAAGAACTGTACAAGTAAACGCAAATAAATGTATAGCTTCAAAGAGCAAATGAAAGGCCGCTAAAACGAAAGGTGTTTAAGATCTAGGCTAATAATAAAAAAAAGGTATGTTTCGTTTTTTAGCTAATAAAAAAAAAATAATTTGTTTAGAATATATATGTAAAATATGATCATTGAATGAGTTCATTCACGAACAACTAGTTATTAGTACTTAAGTGGTTTTTTCTAATCTAAACATAAAAAGTACCGATCAGTGATTCACTAACTAGACATCGTTAATTTCTCGTATTTAAAGTTTTAAATTTTAAATTTTTACAGTTAAAAACACTTAAAAATATTATATATTATTTTTTTTACAGTTAAAAGTTCTTAGAAAATATCACATTTCAATTTAAATTGAAAATTTAAATTCGTAAAATGAACAGGGCCTTAATAAACTTCATTCTAATTAAATTAACTATAAATTAGTCAATTTAATTCTAACTCGGACTTGGCACAATTATAATATAATGGGATTGGACCATTTTAAAATAACTTTGTCACTCATAGAAAAAATTAAATCCTTGTGACATTATAATTGAATATATAAAGTGCAGAATTGAAATTTAATTAAACTTAGTGCATGTTTGTTCGTTGATTCGAGTTTTTAATTCTAATTGAGATGTGACTTTATGTGAGAGTTTTTTACTATAATAAAAAATTAGATGTGACTATTTCTGAGAGCTTTTTACTGTAACAAAATTTAAATTCTGATATCGAATTGGTGAAATAAACGGGACCTTAAATCAATCGAGTGGAATGATGAAACCACCAATTCTCATCATTAATCAAAGTATCAAATTCAAAATAATTCGATTTGCTTACAAAATGGAATTACGAGAAAATTCATTCTCTAAGGCCTCGTTCATTTTACCGATTCGAGTTTTTAGTTTTAAGTTTCTACAGTAAAAATCTCTCAGAAAATGTCACATCTAACTTTTTCTGCTACAGTAAAAAGCTCTCATAAAATGTCACATCTCAACTCAAATTAAAAACTCAAATCCGCGAAGTGAACGAGGCCTAATCTTAATTAACTTTAAACTTTAGCGCTTGAATTTTCTTGGTCATTATAAGAATGAGAGGTTGTCACGTGATGGTTCAAAATACCGTTTAGTTTGTTGATTTGATAGTTTGAGTTGAAATGTAATTTTATGTGAAAGCTTTTTACTGTAGCAAAAAAGTTAGATGTGACTATTTCTGAGAACTTTTTATTGTAGCAAAACTCGAATTCTAAACTCGAATCAGTGAAGTGAAGGAGGCCTAAGTTTTAATCAATAATTGGTGTTGAAATCAAAGCCTAAAACTACATGTGTGTTTGGAACTCATTTTAAAATAAATTTATTTTTCTGTATGAAAATGAAAATGAAAATGTTTTCAATCTCATACAAAAATTATTTTTAAAAATGTGCTTGATAATTTTATCAAGAGATTATTTTTAGTATAAAAAATCAATTAATGTCTCTCTCTTTTCCTCTTTGCTCAAGAGAGGAGAAAACAAAAATAAAAAATTAAAATTGAACCCATTCATTTCACCGATTTGAGTTTAGAATTCGAGTTTTACTATAGTAAAAAGCTCTAAAAAATAGTTGCATCTAACTTTTTTGTTACAATAAAATACTTTAACATAAAACCTCATCTCAACTCGAATCAACAAAAAATTATTTTTTATTTATCTCTCATTTTATACTAAATCAAAATATCATTTTCATTCTATTTTTTATCTTTAATTATGCAAACACCATTTCTCTCATATTTTTTATTTTTTCTTTCTCAAAAAATGCGATAACTAAAAATAAAAATAACTCCAAGCACATCCTCCAATTTTAGTTTAGAAAGATCTATTTTGCATGGAGGAAATAATTTTGTTAAACCTAGTGGTAACCGGACAAGAACTAAGGTGCTTACCTCACTTTGCTTATGTCATGATAATGACATCACCCATAATAAATAAAGAAGTTTAAGCAACACTGCAAGCTAGACCTCATTTATTTTATCAATTAAAATTTTTTATTTTAATTTTATTATAGTTAAAATTTTTTATAAAAAATTATATTTAATTAAATATATTACAGTAAAATTTTTTTATATAAAATTATAGATTAATTTAAATTAAAAATTTAAATCAACGAACTGAACGAGATATTTGAGTTTTTAATTTAAATTGAGATGTGACATTTTTAATGTTTTTAATTGTAGCAAAAAAAAAATAAAAAGTAACATTTTTAAGAACTTTTTATTATAATAAAAAATTAAATGTGATATTAAAAAAAATTTTAATTATAAATTCTTAAAATTAAAATTTCTCTAAACTGGGTATAAAATGGGGAAACCCATTATCTCACTGCCCTTTTTGGTTGGATAAATTTCTCTTTTAGACATTTGCAGAACTGTGATCATTAGCATTGAACTTCGTCACTCTCATCTTTATCAACTGGACATATGCGTGGCAATACAAAATTAACGCGATAACTATTAAGGTGAATAGGTGATCAAAGATTAGGGTAATAAAATGCTTTACAAAGTTACCATACACTTTCATTAGCTAAAAGCAAAATCCAAAAACAGTCGAGAAAATTAGGGCATATTTTTTTGTCTAAAAAATTTAAAAAAAGATAATTTGAGTTTTAATTTTATTTAAGTTCACGTTCTTTTAAGTTTTAATTTTATTTAATTTTATTTAATTTTATTCAAATTATAACTTTAACTCAAATTATAACTTAAATTTAATTTAAAAATTATATTTAAATTACATTCTAAAAGAACAACTCCTTTGGCATCTATAACCAGCTCAAATGACGAAAAACACTAGTTAGTACTAGTGTTTGGTAAAGTTCACGTCTGTGACCGTTGATCCGTCCCTTGAAGCATCTTGGTTCTTTCACTTTTTAGAATAAGCACTCAAGTGCCTCTTACTAGTTTGGGTGGGATGAGACATTTGACAGGCAATGATCTTTTCTACTTTTTGACGTGCAATGGTCTTTTTATTTTTTGACATGCAATGGTTTTCGTATTTGCATTTTTTGAGCATTTCCTGTGCAGTGTTAAATTAAAGTGTCAAATCATAATTTAAATGCTTGTAAATTTAAATTTTGATTTAAATTTAAATTTTAATTGTGGATCTATTCATTTCATTTTGATTTTAAAATATTTATAAATTTAAAATTATAATTTAAAATTATTTTTAATTTATGTGTATTTTTTATGAAAAAAATACTATTATGATTAACAAATTATAATTTGAATTATGAAATGAATCTAACAACTAAACAATTTAAATTTTCTTATAATAAAAAATTTTAAAAAATAATCACATTTAATTTTTTTATTATAATAAAAATTATCACATAAAATTATATTTTAAATTAAATTAAAAATTTAAATCAGTAAACTAACCTATAATATAATTCAAATTCAATTCAAAATCTAAAAGTTACGGTAATTAAAAAATACAACCGAAAAAGGAATATTCAGAATTTCAGGACTGAAGCGTGTAAACACATGTTGCTAAGCCCTAGCAACGGAGCCGAATCTCATTGCCGGAACCTGAAACTGAAGATCGACGATGCCGACCCTAGAAAGTTCTTCCTATGCTCCAAGGAATGCACAGCCTCCAAGTTTAGGCTTTTGAGCTATTATAAAGGCGCTGTTTGTGAGTGTGGAAAAGCCATGAGCAATGAAGTTTCTCTCTTTCAGAAGGAGTTGGAAAATTCCCCTTCCGATGCTCAAGATGGCGGAGTGTTTGTCAAAGTAATACACAGATATCTGATCAGTGATGACTTAGAAGTTATGCCCTTGTGTATTGCGGCGACCATTTCTTTGTTGTCGAAGTATGGTGTCACTCATTGGAGTACTATTGAGGAAAGAACATTCAATTTGGGAGCAGATGAGGTACGCGAAATCACATTTTTGTCTTCTTCAACTTCCATTTTATGACGTAGGACAGTGATAAAGAAATGGAATAGGAAGAGAGAGAGAGTGTGAAATTGTTGAAGAATTAGAGAAAAGACAATAAAATGAATAATATTAAAGATGAGAACTGGCTATCAATGTTTACCTCTATTTACAGGGAAGTAAAAACCAAGAACAAATGATGAGGACTATCTAACTCTCAATTAGGGGAAATTTACTAATATAACTTTGGAAAACTTACTAAACTCTAATAAAATCTTAGAAAATGAAACTTATTAAACTATAATAGAATATTAGAAAATTAAACTTGCTACTCTCTATTCTTGTCATATTGATTTTCTTCTTAGTTTGTTCTTGTTTCTCGTTACTTTGTTTATTGATTGCTCTTATATAGTCAGTTTCTGAGTTGATATGTTGTCTCTCGTCAGGTTTTGAATTTACTTTTGTGCTCGTTGGTATCAATATCGCCTTTGACATATAGTCTTCTGAAGCATTTGAACTGTGTTCACTATTTCCCAAGAAGAGCATTTGGGTCTCAAACGATAGAGGTGATGGATCAGGAGCAGAAAATTAATGTCAAGCTTTTTGTTAGCAAGTCTAAGAGGAGGGTTATCTGTGCTGTGAAGCAAAGAAAGACGTCGTTGATTTACTCTACAGTGTCCTAACTGTTCCACGTGGCCATATTTTCAAGAAAAATAATGGCAGCCCATTAAGGGGTTGTGTAGTTAACTTGTACAAGAGCGTCCAGGATCTTGATGGGCAATGCTTCAAGTCAAATGACCACAAAGAAGTACTGGTCAGTGCAAGGGTTGCCCCAGGTTTTGGCTACAGAGCCGTATTACTACGGTGAAAATTTAGAGAGGAATTCAGAGCCAGTGCGGCTCATGGTTATGGATTCCAAATCTAGCGATATCGAATTCATAAGCCGTGGGGGGGCTTGTAAAACAACCGGATTTGTTCACAGTGACTGAGAATCTGTCCTTTCTCGAGACATTTGATTTACCTTTTAATGACATTGAGGAGCGAACTGTGCATGTTGGCAAGGAGGAGGTAAGCTCATGTAAAAAACTCTATAAAGAGCAATTTATTAAATTGGTAAGAGGCTTTAGAAAATCTCTTAGAAAGGTTGTTCCTGCTAAATACACACTCTATTTTATTTTTATTTTTTAAAATACGGACTCTATTTCATTAAATTCTATTTCAGACTTTAATTTTTTTTCTTTTAACAACTGTCATTTTAATTCTTTCAATCAAAAGCACTCGATAACTAGTCATCTTTTTTAAACATATTTACAAGAGGCCATTATTTCTCTCTATCCTTTCCCCTTCACCTCGCCCCAACCTGCGCTCATTACTTCATTTTCTGCGGTCATTAATTACAAAAGTGCGCCAAGAGAGAGAATCTATCATACCTGGAGAAAGAAATCCTTTACTCAAATCATGGTTACACGAAGTTGATCACAACAACTAAAAGAAGGCGAGTATAAATCCCAATAAACATACATAAATCCTGACATATTTAGCAAAAAAAATCCTGACATATTGCGATTCTCATTTTTTTTTTAGGGCAAAAAGGCAGTTAAGAGTTGGGGATTCAATTCTTGTTTTCTTTTTCTTTCATCTTTTGTCGATAACATTTTTGTACGGTTGCTGGTATTCTTTGTTAGTATTCGCTAATATGAATATAAGTTGGGAAGATTATTGACGGAATTAAAGAAAGTCCTTGACTCTGTTCTTTTTATTTTCCGAAATAATATTATGTTACTGAAATAATATTGATTGTTAAGCAACTTGAGGAAAAAAATTAAAAAATAAAATTAGATGGTAGATACAAGGATGGCACTCTTATAAATATAAGTGTGTTTGTTTAGAGGAATTGAAATGACACTTGTAAAAGAAGAGATATAAGGCTCGTTTAGTTTGCTCATTTGAGTTAAGATATAATTTTATGTAAGAGTTTTATATTGTAATAAAAAAATTATATGTAATTATTTTTGAGAACTTTTTACTATAATAAAACTTGAATTCTAAATTCGAATTAATGAAATAAATAGAGAAAAAAGTCTGAGATGGAGTCCTCATTTCTAAAACTTGTAAAATAATTTATTTATATTTGTTAGTTTCGTGAAAGGAGTATAGTATTAATTACAAAAACGTTTCTTAGTTAATAAATGGGCATAACTCGTACTCTACCCTAACAAATGTTTTGAACAATCTTTTACAATCAGCGATTTCTCTTATTCAACCTCTCTTCAGCGATTTCAGATCTGGGAAGCGTGCTAAAAATAAAATAAAATAAAATAAAAGCGGTACGCTGATTTTCTGTTCTAACTATTTTGTCGTTGCTCTCTTTATAGTAGAAACTTTTTTTTTCTTAATCTGAAATGAAATCCAAACTCCGGTCAACTACAAGTATTTTAGTTGCTGTTATGCATCAAGTTTCAAGATATAATTTTCTCGCAGTAATAGTTTCGCCAAGTTTTAACGATCTCTTTAACTTTTATCAGCCTAATGATATTAATGGTAGGATTGTAAGACATCACTAACATCACTGATTCAATATTGCATATTTTCAATATTATAGACATGGATGCGGATCGAGCGAATACAGTTGTCTTGAAGGTCTTTGTGGACAAGAAGAAGAATAGAGTTATTTATGTTGAATCTGATAAAGATTTTGTCGACATTCTTTTCAGTTTCTTGACAATTTCTTTGGGAAATGTCGCCATTTCTCGCACGTAATCAATCTCTGGCTAACAGGATTGGTTGCATCTTTAACTTGTACTGCAGTGTTGAGAATATTGATGAAGAGCATTTCCATTCTGAACCATGTAAAGCCTTGTTGTTAAGCCCGAGCAACGGGGCTGAAATCTTTTTCAAGGCCCTGAAGCTGAAAATTTATGATTGTGTTTCCACAAAGTGCTTTAGGTGTAATGACTGAGAAAATTCCAGACTTTAAATAATACAATTTATT